GCAGCGTGGACAAGGGGTCCGGGGGCACATTCTCTATTAGCTTTAAAGAGCCACCTCCCGCCCTGGCTGGTGTGGCCCAGTGGATAGAGCCCTGGCCTGCGGACTGAAGAGTCCCAGGTTTGATTCCGATCAAGGGCATGGATCTTGGTTGCGGGCACATCCCCAGTGCAGGGTGTACAAGAGGCAGCTGATAGATGTTTCTCTCTCATCGATGTTTCTAACTCTCTATCCCTCTCCCTTCCTCTCAGTAAAAAATCAATAAAACATATTTTTTTAAAAAACAAAAATTTTAAAGACATGAAAAGTAAAATAAAAAGTCACCTGCGCCCAAACTCTATGTGCCCTTCAGCCGTGTCTTGTTGGACCAGACCCAACATCCCTGGTCCCAGGACACACAACTCATTGTCCCTGTTGGCCCATTTCTGAGATGGCAAAACTGAGGCCCAGAGATGTTCCCGTCCCTTGTTTGCAGTTACAGAGCCCACAGGTGAACCCCGGCTGCCTGACTGCTCCCTGCACGAGTTTGGTTTAATCATCTTTTTATTGATGTCAGAGAGGAAAGGAGAGGGAGGGAGAGAGAAACATCCATGATGGAAGAGAATCATGGATCGGCTGCCTCCTGCACACACCTCCCACCCCACCCTTACTGGGATCGTGTCTGCAACCCAGGCTTGTGCCCTTGACCGAGAATCGAACCCGGGACCCTTCCGTCCACAGGCCGATGCTCTACCCACTGAGCCACACCGGCCAGGGCCAACACCTGAGCTTTTGGCTACATAGAGACGTGGGCTGGGGTAAGCAGTTTGAGTTTATCGTTCTCTGCCAAGATACCCAGAGGGGAGCAGGGAGAGAAACACAGCGAACAGGCGGGAAAACATGTCGCCGTGACTTCGCCAGGTGGCCGCTGTGCCTGCTGGGGTCCCACGGGTGTTAGGGAACACGCGCGAGGCGTCCACGGCCCCCGGGCCCGATGCCCGGGCCCCGTGGGAGCCGGGAGCCGGTGCCTGCGCGCAAGCAGCCAAGAACAGAGCTTGGCCCCCGGTGTTTATGTGGGAGCTGTGCCCGCGGGCTGGGCAGGGGCCCAGAACACTGCCAACGCCCAGGCTCCTCCGGGAGGGCCGCCGTCGTGCAGGGAGCAGCTGGGAGCCCTGGCCGCCCCCGCTGCCCGGCCCCCACTCAGAGCAGGCCCTGCAGCCCGGTCCCCCTCGAATGCACAGCCTCTGCTCCCCGCTCATCCTGCCGCCGCCTGCAAGGCTCCCTGGGCCTGTTTCCCCATCGGTGAGATGGGTTCCATGAGAGAGCCTGCCTGCAGCCCTGTCCTGAGGAGTCACCAGTGGCTCTACCCACTGGGCCACACTGTCTCAGCACAATGCACACAGTAGGTCTTCTCGAGAAACGGCAGCTGGCACACAGTCAGCTTCCACCTTACGACCGGGTCCTCCTCAGGGAAGCGGCAGCTCATCTGGGCCTCTGGCAGGTGACTCATGCAGGCTGATGCTCTATCCATTGAGCCACACTGGCCAGGGCAAAACATCTATACTTTATAAAAGGGTAATATGCTAATTAGACCAGACATGCACGGAGGACCTGCATGGATGACCCCTTAAACATAATATATATTAACATATATATATATTCACACACACACACACACACACACACACACACATATATATATATATATATATATATATATATATATATATATATATATATATATTTAAGGCCCTGGATATAAAGGGAGATTGGCACATTGTGTGTGTGTTTGTTTTAAATATATATATATATATATATTTTTAATTAAAATATATATTTTATTGATTTTTTTCAGAGAGGAAGAGAGAGAAATAGAGAGTTAGAAACATCGATGAGAGAGAGAGAGACATCAATCAGCTGCCTCTTGCACACCCCCTACCGGGGATGTGCCTGCAACCAAGGTACATGCCCTTGACTGGAATCGAACCTGGGATCTTTCAGTCCGCAGGCCGACGCTCTATCCACGGAGCCGCACCGGTTAGGGCAGTGAAAATATTTTTTTTAAAGACTCGATCTCACTAATCTGGCAAAGCGCAGGCAGAACCAATATTCCCCCTGAAGAGAGTGAGATAATTGTTTTCAACAAGGTGCCTCCGAGCGGCGTTTTTAATGTTTTCCGAATTGGAAAATCCAGCACAGACCTGGACATAAAAAGCCGCTCAAAATTAATTTTAGAAGCGCGAGTGAGCGGCATCTCCTGCTTCTGCACGCGGAAGCGGGAGGGAAGGGCGGACGGCCAGAGAGTTGGCAGGAGGGAGGGGGCGGCAGGCTGTGAATGGGAGGACAGAGGGGGCAGATGTGGGTGAGGGACCAGCCCAGCGTGACATCGGGGGTCTGGGGCTGTCAGTACACATGAACTGAAGGAACGAGAGCCCGGTCAGAGCTGCTTAAGCGACAGCAAGGACTGGCGCGCGCGCTCTCTCTCTCTCCCTCTCTCTCTCTCTCTCCCTCTCTCCCTCTCTCTCTCTCTCTCTCTCTCTCTCTCTCTCTCTCTCTCTCTCTTTAAATATATTTTATTGATTTTGTACAGAGAAGAGAGAGGGACAGAGAGTTAGAAACATTAATGAGAGAGAAACATGCATCATCTGCCTCTTGCACACCCCCCACTAGGGATGTGTCCGCAACCGAGGTCCATGCCCTTGACCGGAATCGAACCCGGGACCTTTCAGTCCGCAGGCCAATGCTCTATCCATTGAGCCACATCGGTTGCGGCTGGACTGGCTCTCTTGGAACCCGAGTCTCTGAGGCCTGGACAGCAAGCTGCTGCCCCGCCCCGCTTTAGCTCCAGCTTCCTGGCGCCCAGCCCTCTGCCCCTCGTCCCCCCCCCCCCCCAACCGAGTGCGGACCCCAAGCCTCCCCTGTCCACAGCCTTCCCCTTTCACACCCCAAGGCCACGTCCGGGGCCTGGCCGGACGGTGGGTGCCGGAGAAAGCGTGTTCTCCCTGCTCCTCTCTCTGCCTTCTCGCTGTGTGGCCTTAAGCAGGTGGCTCACCCTCTCTGAGCCTCAGACCGTCACGCTGGTTCCAGTTGGGGAAGGTGGGAATGCACCGACCCCGGGAGACAAGCGTGAGAGAGGGGGGAGCATCTGGGGACCCCCCCCTGCAGCCCTGTGTTCTCCCTGCTTCCGCCTCAAGGGGGAGGGGCGCCCGCCGGAGCCCCCCAACTCAGCGGATGACGTTTCATGCTGTAGCCCCAGTTATCTGTTTCCCAGGAAACAAGTGAGGGACAGTGACTGCAGCAACGCACACGCTTACACATACACATACACACACGCACACGTACGCGTACGCGCACCCCGGCTGCCACCCAGACTGACAATTAACAGGAATGCAGTGAATGTTAGCAGGAGCCGCCTCGGCCTGCTGCTCCCTGCCGCCCGGACACCCAGGGGACACCCAGAAATGGGGAACCAGGATGGCGCCCTCTCTGACCCACAGCCCCGCCATGACCTCTTCCGGATGGATGGGCATGAGGGTCCCGCCCTGCCCCCCCACTGCCTGCCTGGCTCCCCCACAGGCTGCCCCAGCACGTGGCCAGCCACCCCACCTGCCATTTCCCTCTCGGCTAAAAGGCTGGCCCCTCAGCCCCATTCTCTTTTCTTTTTTTTTCTTTTTTTGGCAAGCCCTTATTTATTCATAAAAGCTACCGTTCACCGGGGCCTCTTGCCTCGCAGCTACAGTGCCCTTGATTCAGATGCCAGCGTGGCGAGTGCCAGGTGGCAGCCAAGATGGGGAGACAAGCATTATTCCATTCGGGTGTCATCTCCCTCTTTTTTCAGTCTCAGAGGCCCACTCCATGCTGGCAATTCTATAGGATTGTCGTCCGAACGAACTGAAGGTAGAAGTTAAAGTTGAGCTGACCTCTGGGGGGGGGGAGGGGAGTCGAAGGAGGGGCTTGAAAGAAGGAGGACTCTGTAGGACAGCCTACAGAGTTCCCCTTGCCTTCCTCTGACCTTGCTCCTCACTGCTCCTCAGAGGTCATAATCACACCAGGGCAGAAGCCATCCGAGCGGGAAGATGGGCATCTTTCAGCTCTGTGTTCTGTCCAGGGTTAATTGCATCTTTCCGCCTGAAGGGATTCTGTGTTTCCTAGCAGACACTACAGATATTGCATCTCAGATCGCCTCCTATTTTCCAGCTCACATTTGCATTCATCCGGGTCTCTCTTTCCCTGGCTGCCGTCCCCGCCTTGCCTTCCATCCTGCCCCCCCCCATCGCTCAACGTCTGTGTGTGCCAATTAACTGCCATCTTAGTTTGGTTGATTTGCATACCACTCCTGATTGGCTGGTGGGTGTGGCGGAGGTACGGTCAATTTACATGTTTGTCTATTATTAGGTAAGACTAGAGGCCTGCTGCCTGGATTCATGCACCAGTGGGGTCCCTCAGCCTGGCTTGCAGAATCAGGCCAAAACCGGCTGTCTGGCATCCCCTGAGGAGTCCCAGATTGTGAGAGGGTGCAGGCCAGCCGAGGGACCCCACCAGTGCATGATCGGGGTTGGGGAGGGACACAGGAGTTCTGCCCTCCCGTGGTCAATGCATGTCATAGCGACTTGTCAACCAGTCGGCTGTCTCCCCCCTGGTGGTCAGCGCACGTCATAGCAAGTGGTTGAGCCGCCTTGGCATATCATTAGCATATTATGCTTTGATTGGTTGAGCAGACCGCCAGACACTTAGCACATTAGGCTTTTATTATATAGGATGTTATTTATTTTAGAATATATTTCTATTGATCTTAGAGAGGAAGGGAGAGGGAGAGAATCAATGATGAGAGAGAATCATGGATCGGCTGCCTCCTGCACGCCCCACACTGGGGACAAAGCCTGCTCCCCGGGCCCGCGTCCCCTCAGCCGCGGGTAAGGAGCCCGTGCACGGCTGGGGCAGCGGCGAGGGCTCTGCCAACAGCTGGCGGGGCAGGCGCCATGGTTCGGCGACGCCCCAGTAACCAGAGATCTCGCCCCGTGCAGCACTATTTCACCGTGAACTTCAGCCATGAGAACCAGAAGGCCTTGGAGCTGCGGACGGAGGATGCCAAGGACTGTGACGAGTGGGTGGCGGCCATCGCTCACGCCAGGTGCGTCTCCCCCAGCCCCGGGGTCCACACACGGACGGCTGAACCCTGAGCCTGTGGGCCCGACCGGGCAAACCCACACCTTAGGACGAGGGAAGGAGGCAGCGGAGGAGAGGAGGGGCGATGGGAGCTTGACAGAGACAAGTTTGGGCATCAGAAGGTACGTGAGGTTCGCCCTGGCCCATGTTGCTCAGTGGATAGAGCGTCGGCTTGGGGACGGATGAGTCCCAGGTTCGATTCCCGTCAAAGGCACGGATCTCGGTTGCAGGCTTCTCCCCACCTGGACCCTGGTCAGGGCATGTGCAGGAGGCAACTCATGGATGTGTCTCTCTCACATCAATGTTTCTCTCTGTCTCTCCCTCTCCAACTCTCTCTCTCTCTAAAAAAAAAAAAAAAAAAAAAGGTACATGAGGTTGGGCACTGGCCTGGTACCCCATCCTAAGCAGTCTTTATTTATTTACTTTTATTAATTTCAGAGAGATGAAAGGAGAGGGAGAGAGAAGCATCCATGAGGAGGGAGAATCATCGATCTGCTGCCTCCTGCATGCCCTCTATTGGGGATGTTTCTGCAACCAAGGTACATGCCCTTGACCGGGGACTTGAACCCAGGACCCTTCGGTCTGCAGGCCGGCGCTCTATCCACTGAGCCACACCGGCCAGGGCCAGCAGGGTTGTTCTGAGAATCACGTGGCATCTTGTATGCAAAGGGGACCGGGAGATGACAGCGTCCTCATTTGTCACACATTCTGATCATCAGGATGGAAATAACTGGACTTCCCTCCTCTCCCCCCGCCCCCCAAAAATAACAGACATCAGTCTGGCCCTGGCCGGTGTGGTTCAGTGGGTAGAGCGTTGGCCTGTGGACCTGAGGGTCCCGCGTCCGATTCCGGTCAAGGTCAAGTACCTCGGTTGCAGGGTCCTCCCCGGCCCAGGCCTTGCTCGGGGCATGTGCAGAGGGCAAGCCCATCAATGTGTCTCTCTCACATCGATGTTTCTTTCTCTCTCTCTCTCTCTCTCTCTCTCTCTCAAACCAATGGAAATATCCTCAGGTGAGGATAAGGAAAAAAGAAAGAAAAGTTTAAAAAGTATGTCTCAGTCTGGCGGATGCTATGGTAGCGGAAGTCAAGGGTGTTTCTGGGACGCCCCACCCAGTCAGGGCGGGGGGCGGGGTCCGGAAGGTTCTGGGGACCCAGAGCTAAGCTAGGAAAGAGGACGGAGCTGGTCCAGGGAAGGGCGTCGGGGGGGAGGGGGGCGCGCGCGCAGAGGATGCTCCCAACAGAAGCCCTGTCTGTGCAAAGGCCCTGTGGTGCCTGGGGTGGGGCCGGGGGCCGTGGGAGGAAGCAGTGGTCCGAGCGCAGGGAAGGGGCTGGGCGACCAGTAGCAGCGTCCGGGGGAGGCCAGCCCCGGGCCCGGGCCGCGGTGGGAGCCCAGGGGCGGGGCGGGCCGTGCCTGACCGCCGCGGCCGCCTGTGCCCACAGCTACCGGACGCTGGCCACGGAGCATGAGGCGCTGATGCAGAAGTACCTGCACCTGCTGCAGATCGTGGAGACCGAGAAGACGGTGGCCAAGCAGCTGCGGAGGCAGATCGAGGACGGGGAGGTGGAGATCGAGCGGCTGAAGGCAGAGGTGACTGCCGGCCGGGATGGGGAGGGGGCGGGAGGGCCATAGGACCGGGCGGCTCCCCACCGCGGCCCCGCCAGCCTCCACCCCTGAGACCAGGGATGCTGGCCCAGCGGGAAGGTCCTGGGGTCGGATGTGGATTCAGATCCCACTTCTGCCACCTACGCCTGCAACCTGGAGCGGACCCCTAACCTGTGTGTGCCCCCCCCCCTCTTTTTCTTTTAACTCATTCGTGTTTATTTCAGAGAGGGAGGGCGAGGGGGAGAGAGAAACGTCCAGGATGAGAGAGAATCACGGACCGGCTGCCTCCTGCACGCCCCACGCTGGGCATGGAGCCCACAGCCCGGGCCTGTGCCCTGAGCGGGAATGCAGCCGTGGCCTTCTGGTTCGTAGGTCGACGCTCACCGCTGAGCCGCGCCCCCGGCCGGCCCCTGTGCCTCCCCTTCTTGTGGGCTTTCTTACATCTACCCCTCAGGGCTGCGAGGTTACGTCTGGGTAGATTCCTATTCTGGGATGGCACACCCACGGAGTAAGCCTTCCGCGTTACCAGCCTAAGGCTCCGGGGGTGGGCGCCGACGGATTTTGGGCCTGCTGGCGCCCAATTGCAATGCCCTTGTCACCCCCACACATCCAGACCTGGGGAACCCTCCCAGGCTCAGAGGTCCCCTCCTGGGGACTCCCTGCCCTGCCCCTTCCTGCCTGGCACATGGTAGGTGCTCAATAAGGACGTTGGACACATGGCACTCAGTAAGGCCATTGGGCACATAGTAGGCGCTCAATAGGGGTGTCGGGCACACGGTAGGCGCTCAGTAGGGGTGCCGGGCACACAGGAGGCGCTCAGTAGGGGCGCTGGGCACACAGGAGGCGCTCAGTAGGGGCGCCGGGCACACAGTAGGTCTCCTCAGTAGGGGCGTCAGGCACACAGTAGGGGCGCCTGGCACACAGTAGGCGCTCAGCAGGGGCACCGGGCACACAGTAGGCTCTCAGTAGGGGCGCCGGGCACACAGTAGGCGCTCAGTAGGGGCGCTGGGCACACAGGAGGCGCTCAGTAGGGGCGCCGGGCACACAGGAGGTGCTCAGTAGGGGTGCCGGGCACACAGTAGGTGCTCAATAGGGGCGCCGGGCACACAGTAGGTGCTCAATAAGGGCGCCGGGCACACAGTAGGTGTTCCATAAGGGGGTCAGGCTCTGTGGTGGGCACCGGAGAAGCAGAGGTCTGACTGTGGGTCCCAGAGCGCCTTTGGCACAAGCATGGAGCTCAAGGGCCCCCGGCTCCGGAAGTGAGTCATTTCGAGGCCGACGTGGGTGTGGGCTGGTGCTGCCTCTGCCCCAAATCAGGGGTTCCGGGGTCGGACGTGGGGGTTTGGAGGGCAGAGAAGGGGTGGTGCAGGGGCGGCTGTGAGGGTGTGCGGCAGCGGAAGCCTGTTTGTGGGAATTTTTAAAAAAATATATATATTTTACTGATTTTTTACAGAGAGGAAGGGGGAGGGATAGAGAGCCAGAAACATCCATCAGCTGCCTCCTGCACACCTCCTAGTGGGATGTGCCCGTAACCCAGGCACACGCCTTTGACTGGAATCGAACCTGGGACCTTTCAGTCCTCAGGCCGACGCTCTATCCACTGAGCCACACCGGTTTCGGCCAGAGATTTTTTTTTCAAGGAGACTCTGCAGGGCTGGCTGGTCCAGCTATAGGGCCACCCCCATTCTCTGTCTCTCGCCCACACATACCCCCCCGCAGGGCGCAGGGCACCTGTCTGCTCTGGCCCGGCTCCGGACACGGAGGCACAGAGCCCAGGGCCCAGGTGGCGGGAGGCACTGAGAAGCCGGGGAGTGGCAGGCGGCCCTGTAACCAAGACCAGGTCTTACAGGTCAGAGCTGGGAGGGCTCAGGACACTGGAGGCCGGGCCCAGACCTGGCTCCCTCGGCTCAGACCCCCTGCCAGTTACCTCTCCCCCGGAAGTCGGTGGATTAAAGGGTGCACATTAGGCCGGCGTGGCTCCGTAGTTGAACGTTGACGTAGGAACCAGGAGGTCACGGGTTCGATTCCCGGTCAAGGGCACAGGCCCGGGGTTGCGGGCTCCATCCCCAGTATGAGGCGTGCAGGAGGCAGCCGATCCGTGATTCTCTCTCATCATTGATATTTCTCTCTCCCTCTCCCTTCCTCTTGAAATAGATAAAAATATATCTTTTTTTAAAAAAAGAAAGCCAGTCTTTGGGGCGGGGAGCAGCGGGGGACAGGTAGGCAGTTGAGTCACCAGGCTCACACCATCCCTTCTGCTCAAATTCCTCCTGTGCCAGAGCCACCCGTCGGGCTCCTATCTGCCCTGCAAAACCTCTTCTGGAAAGCCCTTCCCATTTCCGCGGGGGCAGCCAGAGCCGGGCGCTCGCCGGTGAGCTGGCTGTGAGGTCAGCAGGGCAGCTCTCGATGCCAAGCGAGGAAACCAGGGTTCAAAGCCGGCCCACCCACCCCCGAGGGGCCTGCCAGGGCAAGAGCAAGGCTGGCTCTCTGAGCTCACTGGGGCTCCTCTGGGGCCTGGGCCCTGGGTGGCCCAGCCCCCTCCCCCCTCGCTCCCCGCTTAATTGTACCTATTTTTCCCTGGTCCTGCTGTGTGGATGTCCTGGAATGCCTCTCCCTTAGGGACTGCACCGATTTTAAATGCATACGCACGCACACACATACGTACATACACACACATACACATACACGTCGCCCAACTAAAGGGAGAAGGATACCAGGTGCAAATCCCAAACTTTGTGAAGAAAGCAGGCTAGCAGCCCAGCCAGCGTGGCGCAGTGGTTGAGTGTTGACCTCTGAACCAGGGGGTCAGGGTTCGATTCCCGGTCAGGGCACAGGCCCGGGTGGCGGGCTCCGTCCCCAGTGTGGGGCGTGCAGGAGGCAGCCGGTCGATGATTCTCTCTCATCATGGATATTTCTCGCTCCCTCTCCCTTCCTCTCTCTGAAATCAATAAAAACGTATATTTTTAAAAATACATTTTATTGATTTTTGTACAGAGAGGAAGAGAGAGGGATAGAGAGTTAGAAATATCGACGAGAAAGAATCATCAATCTGCTGCCTCCTGCACACCCCACACTGGGGATGTGCCCGCAACCAATGTGCATGCCCTTGACCGGAATCGAACCCGGGACCTTTCAGTCCACAGGCTGACACTACCCACTGAGCCAACTCATTTTCAGCATAAAAATATATTTTTTAAATGTATTTTTATTGGTCTCAGAGAGGGAGGGAGAGGGAAGGAGAGAGAGAGGAACATCCATGATGAGAGAGAATCATGGATCGGCTGCCTCCTGCACGCCCCTTGAGTCCGCAGGCCGACGCTCTACCCACTGAGCCACACTGGCTAGGGGCCGTGGTCGGCAAACCATGGCTTGCGAGCCACATGGGGCTCTTTGACCCCCTTGAGTGTGGCTCTTCCACAAACCACCACGGCCTGGGCCAGTCTGTGTTGAAGAAGTGGTGGTAGAAGACGTTTAAGTTTAAAACATGTGGCTCTCCAGAGAAATGCCAATCGTTGTCCTGTTGATATTTGGCTCTGCGGACTCATGAGTTTGCCGACTCCTGGGTCAGGGCAATAAAAACATATTTTTTTAAAAAACCGGCTAAGACGGCAAACTTTATGTTGCAGACATCTGACCCCCCCCCCCAAAAAAAAAAAACAAAAAAAAAAAAACAAGCATTGCCTGGCCGGTGTGGCTCAGTGGATAGAGCGTCCGCCTGTGGACTGAAAGGACCCGGGTTCGATTCTGGTCATGGGCTTGACCCCCAGTGGGGGGTGTGCAGGAGATAGCCGATCCAGGATTCTCTCTCATCATGGATATTTCTCTTTCTTTCTCCGAAATCAATAAAATATTTTTTAAAAAATATTACTTTAAGCCGAAACCGGCTCAGTGGTAGAGCGTCGGTCTGCAGATTGAAAGGTCCCGGGTTCGATTCTGGTCAAGGGCATGTACATTGGTTGCGGGCACATCTCTGGTAGGAGGTGTGCAAGAGGCAGCTGATCAGTGTTTCTCTCTCATCGATGTTTCTGTCCCTCTCCCTTCCTCTGTGAAAAATCAATAAAATATATTTTTAAAAAATATTACATTAAAAAGAACAGCTGCAGCAGCAGCAGAAAACCCAAGCGTCACGGCAGCCACGGTAGAGGCACGGGGACAGGTTCAGGCCCCAGGGGACGGGACAGGGACAGGGGTCACTCAGCTGGAGCCCAGCGGCCAGGGACCCAGGGGGGCAGGTCCCCCAGACGCGGGCCCAGGCTGGTGTCTGGCCCAGCGACCTCCCCCGGAGCCAGGGGCCTCGGCTCCCCACGCGCCCGTGGCCCTAGCGGCGCTGACCCGGGTGTCTGTCCCAGATCGCGTCCCTGCTCAAGGACACGGAGCGGATCCAGTCCACCCAGACCGCCACCGCCCCCAGCGACGAGGACAGCGACATCAAGAAGATTAAGAAGGTCCGCCGCCCGCCCCCCGCCCCGCTGGGAGTCCAGGGCGCCAGGAGGCTCAGAGGCACCCAGCGCCTCGCCCGGGACTTTGCACTCCTGAGCCCTGGTCCCCGCTCACCCAGGTCCCCCACTCACACTGGTCCCCCGGCCCCCCCCGTCCCCGCCCACCCAGGTCCCCCCTCACCCTGGAACCCGCTCACCAAGGTCCCCCCTCACCCTGGTCCCCCACTCACCCCGGGCCCCCCCCCCCCCCCCGTCCCCGCCCACCCAGGTCCCCCCTCACCCTGGTCCCCGCTCATCCAGGTCCCCCCTCAGCCTGGTCCCCCATTCACCCTGGTCCCCGCCACCCCTGGTTCCCGCCCCCCCGTGGTCCCCGCCCACCCAGGTCCCCCCCACCCCGGTCCCTGCCCCCCGTGGTCCCCCACTCGCCCTGGTCCCCGACCCCCTGATCCCTGCTCACCATGGTCCCCCGCTCACCCTGGTCCCCCCTCAACCTGGCCCCCGCTTACCTTGGTCCCTGCCCCCCTGGTCCCCGCCCCCCCTGGTCCCGGTCCTACCCCCCCCCACCCCCCCACCCCCATCCCCGCTCACCCTGGTCCCTCCGTCCCCCCTGGTCCCCCTCAGAGGCACCCAGTGGTCCCTGGGTGCCTCTGCCCCAGCGCCTGCCCTCCCTGCAGCCCTGGACCCTGCAGCCCATTGGCCCGCCCTGAGGGGTGGGGGGCTCCCAGTGGCCCCAGCCGGCCCCCCCAGCACTGAGGCCCCGCCCGCTCCCAGGTGCAGAGCTTCCTGCGCGGCTGGCTGTGCCGCCGCAAGTGGAAGACGGTCATCCAGGACTACATCCGGTCGCCGCACGCCGACAGCATGCGCAAGCGCAACCAGCTGGTGTTCAGCATGCTGGAGGCCGAGGCCGAGTACGTGCAGCAGCTGCACATCCTGGTCAACAACTTCCTGCGGCCGCTGCGCATGGCCGCCAGCTCCAAGCGGCCACCCATCACGCACGACGACGTCAGCAGCATCTTCCTCAACAGGTGGGCGCCCCCGCCCCCCCCTCTGCAGGGGCGCCCCATGGGGGGGGCCACACCCGCGCCAGGCCTCCCCCGGGACCCCGCCCGTGCAGAGGAGGAAACCGGCCGGAAGGAAGGCCGGTGCCCAGGTCACATGGAGGAAGCCACGCCCCCCCCAAACACGTGGTTTGGGGGGCAGAAGGGCAAAGGGTCCCGCCCTCACAATGTACCTCTAGGGCTGGTTCTGAGCACAGCCCCCTCTGCTGCCCCCCATGAGGGGACACGGGTTGATGTTTGGGGACTTTTAAAATATATTTTATTGATATTTTATAGAGAGGAAGAGAGAGGGATAGAGAATTAGAAACATCGATGAGAGAGAGTCATCCATCAGCTGCCTCCTGCACACCCCCTATTGGGGATGTGCCGGCAACCAAGGTCCATGCCCTTGACCGGAATCGAACCCGGGACCTTTCAGTCCGCAGGCCGACGCTCTATCCACTGAGCCACACCGGTTTTGGCATGGGGACTTTTTAAAAATAAATATTTTTTTATTGGTTTCACAGAGAGAGGGAGAGAGAGAGAGAGAGAGAGAAACATCAACGTGGATCGGCTGCCTCCTGCACGCCCCACACTGGGGATGGAGCCCGCCCCCCGGGCCTGTGCCCTGACCTGGTTCCTAGGTCCACGCTCAACCACTGAGCCACACGGCCGGGCCCCTCTGTGGCTGCAGCCGCCACACCTGAGCGGCGGTGTCCTTCCTGTCCGGTCCCCACGGGCCTGTGATGGGGCTGTGGGCAGGGACACGTCGTGGGGGCAGGCGCACAACACAGGGGCTGCCCTCCCACGGATCGGGGGACCCCCCAGCTCCCGGAAGGGCCAGGCTGTAAGCATGTGAGACCTTGTGGGCCAGCGGGTCTCCCTCAAAACTGACCATTCAGCCCTGGCCGGGCCCCTCGGGCCAACAGAGGTCGTTACAAATGTCAAGGGTTTGGGTGCGGGTTCTGATCTGGGCACAGACAAGAACCCACCAACGAATGCATCCATTGGGGGGACAACAAATCAATGTTTCTCTCTCCCCCACATCAGTCCATTCAAACGAACAAAACTGCCCTGGCCAGTGTGGCTCAGTGGCTAGAGCGTCGGCCTGCAGACCCAAGGGGCCCCAGGTTTCCATTCCGGTCAAGGGCACGTTTCTTGATGGCAGGCTCGCCCCCGGCCCCCAGGCCCTGGTTGGGGCGCGTGCAGGAGGCAACCTATTGATTTGTTTCTCTCCCATTGACGTTTCTCTCCGTCTCTCCCTCTCCCTCCCGCTCTCCCTAAAAATCAATGGGGGAGTGTCCTCGGGGGAGGATGAACCACAAAGCCTCGTCCTGGCCAGCTGGTAACAACCGGCTTTCTAGCCTGGGATGGTCCCAGCTGCTGTTCTGCCTCAGCCCCCAGGGGCTTCCCGATGTCACCTCTGGAAACTCCTAGCCCTTTTTCATCGGGGGCCCCCGTATTCCTTCCGCTCTGCCCCCCCCCCCAAACTACAGTCCGTGGGACCCGAGGGGTTTTCACCGCAGAGAAAGGGGTTCGCTGCTGGAGTCTCCCCGGGGACCCCCAAGCCGTGTACACCTCGGGGGGTGCAGGGGGAGGCACCCCAAGGCAGAGCTCCCCGCTTTCCCTTCCAGCGAGACCATCATGTTCCTGCACCAGATCTTCTACCAGGGCCTGAAGGCGCGGATCTCCAACTGGCCCACGCTGGTCCTGGGTGAGTCCCGGCCCCCCACCTGCAGGGCCCCCCCTCCAGGCCAGGGCGCGTCCTGGGGACACCAAGCGACCCCTGAGGGAGCCCGGGAGGACAGACATGGATGGAGCTGCTGCTGGAGGAGGTGACATAGCCTTCGTTCTTTATCTGCTTCTCCCATCCAGCTAAATAAAGAGCGAATATGCAAATGGTCCTCACTCCCTCACACCATAGGGCTCTGGGGAGAGAGGGATGGGGACCAGCCAGGCCCAGATGAGCTCTGGAGAGAGGAACGGGGACCAGCCAGGCACAAATGAGCTCTGGAGAGAGGAACAGGGACCAGCCAGGCACAGATGAGCTCTGGAGAGAGGAGCGAGGACCAGCCAGGCACAGATGAGCTCTGGAGAGAGGAGCGAGGACCAGCCAGGCACAGATGAGCTCTGGAGAGAGGAGTGAGGACCAGCCAGGCACAGATGAGCTCTGGAGAGAGGAGTGAGGACCAGCCAGACACGAATGAGCTCTGGAGAGAGGAGCGGGGACCAGCCAGGCACAGATGAGCTCTGGAGAGAGGAACGGGGACCAGCCAGGCACAGATGAGCTCTGGAGAGAGGAGCGGGGACCAGCCAGGCACAGATGAGCTCTGGAGAGAGGAACGGGGACCAGCCAGGCACAGATGAGCTCTGGAGAGAGGAGTGAGGACCAGCCAGGCACAGATGAGCTCTGGAGAGAGGAGTGAGGACCAGCCAGACACGAATGAGCTCTGGAGAGAGGAGCGGGGACCAGCCAGGCACAGATGAGCTCTGGAGAGAGGAACGGGGACCAGCCAGGCACAGATGAGCTCTGGAGAGAGGAATGGGGACCAGCCAGGCACAAATGAGCTTGGGAAGAGAGGAATGGGACCAGCCAGGCACAGATGAGCTCTGGAGAGAGGAATGGGGACCAGCCAGGCACAGATGAGCTCTGGAGAGAGGAGCGAGGACCAGCCAGGCACAGATGAGCTCTGGAGAGAGGAATGGGGACCAGCCAGGCACAGATGAGCTCTGGAGAGAGGAACGGGGACCAGCCAGGCACAAATGAGCTCTGGAGAGAGGGATGGGGACCAGCCAGGCACAGATGAGCTCTGGAGAGAGGAGCGGGGACCAGCCAGGCACAGATGAGCTCTGGAGAGAGGAGTGAGGACCAGCCAGACACAGATGAGCTCTGGAGAGAGGAGCGGAGACCAGCCAGGCACAGATGAGCTCTGGAGAGAGGAATGGGGACCAGCCAGGCACAGATGAGCTCTGGAGAGAGGGATGGGGACCAGCCAGGCACAGATGAGCTCTGGAGAGAGGAATGGGGACCAGCCAGGCACAAATGAGCTCTGGAGAGAGGGATGGGGACCAGCCAGGCACAGATGAGCTCTGGAGAGAGGAGCGGGGACCAGCCAGGCACAGATGAGCTCTGGAGAGAGGAACGGGGACCAGCCAGGCACAGATGAGCTCTGGAGAGAGGGATGGGGACCAGCCAGGCACAGATGAGCTCTGGAGAGAGGGATGGGGACCAGCCAGGCACAGATGAGCTCTGGAGAGAGGAGCGGGGACCAGCCAGGCACAGATGAGCTCTGGAGAGAGGAATGGGGACCAGCCAGGCACAGATGAGCTCTGGAGAGAGGAACGGGGACCAGCCAGGCACAGATGAGCTCTGGAGAGAGGAATGGGGACCAGCCAGGCACAAATGAGCTTGGGAAGAGAGGAATGGGACCAGCCAGGCACAGATGAGCTCTGGAGAGAGGAATGGGGACCAGCCAGGCACAAATAAGCTCAGGAGAGAGGAATGGGGACCAGCCAGGCACAAATGAGCTCAGAAGAGAGGAATGGGGACCAGCCAGGCACAAATGAGCTGTGGCCTGGGAGAGGGACAAGCCGCCTACCCATGGGCCCCTGCGGGTGCAGCTGACCCGGGCAAAGCCAGCCCGTGTCCAGGGTTCCTGCAGCCAGCCAGAGGGAGGGAATCCTGGGTCCCGGGTGCGGGGAGAGGCTAAGGCAGTTAGGGACGATCAGGCCAGCAGGGGAGCGGTTAGGGGCAATCAGGCTGGCAGGCAGAGGGGTTAGGGGCCATCAGGCAGGCGAGCAGTTAGGAGCCAGCGGTCCCGGATTGTGAGAGGCAGTCAGACGTCCCGCAAAGGGTCCTGGATGGGAGAGGGTGCAGGCCGTTCTGAGGGACCCCCCCTCCCATGCATGAATTTCGTGCACCGGGCCTCTAGTTTACAAATAATGTCCACGCACCCATGGGCGAAAACTCGGGAACCCCCTGCCGCTCTGCCTCGCCGGGACCCCGCTGCAAACACGGGGCTTGCCCCCAGCAGGGCTGTTTTCTCCCGTTTTGTGTGCTTGCAAACACACTGCATGTAGATTTCGGGTCTCGCCACGGGTGTTTGTAACAGGTCTGCCTGCTGCTGGAGGCGGGGTGCTCAGCACAGCACCCCCTGGCTCCTAACTGCTCACCCGCCTGCCTGCCTACCCCTGTCCTCCAGGGCACGTGTCAGACTCGACAGGGCCAGTGGTTAGCGCACCGGCCCATGGACTAAAGGGTCTCGGGTTCGATTCCGGTCCCGGGCGTGTGCCTCTGTGGCAGGCTCGATCCCGGCCCTGGTCAGGGCGGGTACGGGAAGCAACTAGTCGATGTGTCTGTCTCTCTCTGTCTCTCTCCTTCCCTTCCACGGTCTCTTAAGTATCAGTGGGAAAACATCCTTGGGGGGAGGATTAACAAAAATATACCTGAGATTCCGATGGGACCCCACGTCCCCTCCAAAGGCAGGCGCTGTCTGTGGGGGGAGGCCCTGACCCCGCTGACCCCAGTGACCCTGCCGACCCCACAGCCGACCTGTTCGACATCCTGCTGCCGATGCTGAACATCTACCAGGAGTTCGTGCGCAACCACCAGTACAGCCTGCAGATCCTGGCGCACTGCAAGCAGAACCGCGACTTCGACAAGCTGCTCAAGCACTACGAGGCCCAGCCCGACTGCGAGGAGCGCACGCTGGAGACCTTCCTCACCTACCCCATGTTCCAGGTGCGTCTGCCCTCCCCCCGCCCCCTCACCCTGCCCCCAACCCCCATCCTCGTGCTCCTCGCCGCTCCTCCCCCGCCCAGACCTTCCTCACCTCCCCCAGGTCCCAGGTCCCAGAGCGTCCTCACCGCCCCCCTTCCCCTCCCCCGTCCCGGTGCGTCCCCACCTCCCCGTCCCAGGTGGGCCCCGGCCTGCCTGCGCCACGAGGGAGCCAGTGCGCCATCCCGCAGCCACAGGGAGAGGCTGGCCCTGCCGTGCCTGCTGGGGCTGGAGAAGGGGGGCGGCGGGGGAGAAGGGGGGACGGGGCTGCCCCACAGGCAGGCGCAGTGGGAAGGGGCTGTGCTCCTCCTGGTCCCCAGGCCCTGCCCCTTCACAGGTCCTCCTCGGAGCTGAGGGCACCCTCCCCAGTGCCGCTCTGTGCCCCCTCTCCCCATCCCTCCGCACCCGCCCCCAGATCCCCAGGTACATCCTGACGCTGCACGAGCTGCTGGCGCACACGCCCTACGAGCACGTGGAGCGCAACAGCCTGGACTACGCCAAGTCCAAGCTGGAGGAGCTGTCCCGGTGAGCCCCGCCCCGGTGCCCCCCCCAACAGGGCGGCGCGCGGCCCCCAACAGCCTGACCCCGAGGGGGCTGGGGGGGCCCTCGCGTGCTCAAAGCCCCAGCAGCCCCCCTCTAGGCCCCCTCAGCTCCTGACGCGGGGGCCTCCTGCAGGGCAGAGGGGCGGGGAGCCAGGGAGGGCGCTGCTGCCCCGCTGGCAGGGGCGGGGGCGGGGGCGGGGCGGGGTCTGATTCCGGGGTTTCTGATGGGCCAGTCAGGGGTGAGCCGACCGGAAGAGTGGGGGAGGTGTGCAGGGAGGAGGGTCCGCGGACGGGTACCAATCCCACACGCACTTCCAACGGGGGCTCCTGGCCCTGAGGACACCTGACCCAGGGCACCGGGCACAGGGTGGGCACAGGGCAGGCACAGGGTGAGTACAGGGTGGGCACAGGGCAGGCACAGAGCGGGCACAGGTGCAGACACAGCAGACACAGGTGCAGCAGACACAGGGTGGGCACAGGGTGGGCAGAGGGCAGGCACAGGGTGAGTACCGGGCAGGCACAGGTCGGGCACAGAGCGGGCACAGGTGCAGACACAGCAGACACAGGTGCAGCAGACACAGGGTGGGCACAGGGTGGGCACAGGGCAGGCACAGGGTGAGTACAGGGCGGGCACAGAGCGGGCACAGGTGCAGACACAGCAGACACAGGTGCAGCAGACACAGGGTGGGCACAGGGTGGGCACAGGGCAGGCACAGGGTGAGTACAGGGCGGGCACAGAGCGGGCACAGGTGCAGACACAGCAGACACAGGTGCAGCAGACACAGGGTGGGCACAGGGTGGGCACAGGGCAGGCACAGGGTGAGTACAGGGCGGGCACAGGTCGGGCACAGGTGCCGACACAGCAGACACAGGTGCAGCAGACACAGGGTGGACACAGGGCGGGCACAGGTGCAGGCAGCACCCAGCTGCCCAGGAATGTGGCCTAAGACACTGACCCCGTCCCCCGGGTCCCAGCGTGCAGCCCACTGGGACTAAGGTGATGTGCCAGGACCGCCCTGGCCGGGTGGCTCAGTAGATAGGGCCCCGGCCCTCGGGCTGAAGGGTCCTGGGCTCTGTATCTCGGATTAGGAACCGGCTGTGCCGAGCGTCCCTCCCACACTGCCTGTCCCTGCAGTTCACGGAGGTCAGACTCAGCTGAGCCACAGCTGATCGCCAGGCCCCCTCGTCATAATCCGGTTTAGCCCTGACCAGTGTGGCTCAGTGGACAGAGCGTCGGCTTGTGGACTGAAGGGTCCCGGGTTCGATTCCGGTCAAGGGCATGGACCTTGGTTGCGGGCACAACCCCAGTGGGGGGTGTGCAGGAGGCAGCTGATCGATGTTTCTCATCCATGTCTCTATCCCTCTCCCTTCCTCTCTGTAAAAAATCAGTAAAATATATCTTTTAAAAATAATCCGATTTAGAGCCAGTATTTTAAAAACCAACATATAAGAGGGTTCCGGGAGGAAAGAAAAAAAAATTACAAAGGCCCTGAGAAGGCATTGGCAGGAGCCTTGAAACCTATCACGTTTGCCACAAACTTGTGAATTTGTGAGTTCACATTCATGAAGGGGCATTTCCCCTCAGAGTGAGTGTCGCCACCCAGTGGACAGAAGCGGTACTGCAGGGGATTTTTTATTTTATTTTATTTATTTATTTTTTCTCTTCTCTAGAAATAGTTTTTTCTGTGGGTGGACAGAGCTGGTGGTCATTGAGCTAATGATGTCTCCTGTAGAGCCTGTCTTTCTCCCCATGATGCTGTCTGTGCCTCCCCCGTTATGGGCATATATATGTATATATATGTATTGGCTCAGGAAGGGAGGGAGAGGGAGAGAGAAACATCTGTGATGAGAGAGAATCATGGACAGGCTGCCTCCTGCACTGTGGATGGAGCCCTTGACCGGGAATCGAACCCCGGCCTCCTGGCTCAGTCACCGAGCCACGCCAGCCAGGCACACTTCAGACTGTTAAATGCCAGCGGCCTGGCCTTAGCCGTCACCTCCGTCTCGGTTTCTCTGACCCGCGATCGCCCGCCTCCTGGGCTCCTTCCTGCTCCCGACCCCTTTGGGGGGGCCCCGCTGAGAACTGGGGGGCCAGGCTTTCTCCGCAGGCCTGGCCGGGCCCGGGCCCCCTCCCTCCGGCGTGGCTGAGTCCGACCGCGCGGCTCCCGCCCGCCCCGCAGGATCATGCACGACGAGGTGAGCGAGACGGAGAATATCCGCAAGAACCTGGCCATCGAGCGCATGATCATCGAGGGCTGCGAGATCCTGCTGGACACCAGCCAGACCTTCGTGCGGCAGGGTGCGCCGGGGCCCGGGGAGGGGTGCATGGTCCCTCCTGCCGGCGTGACGGGGTCCCCAGCTGGACACCAGCCAGACCTTCGTGCGGCAGGGTGCGCCGGGGCCCGGCGCCGGGGGGGGGGGGGGGGGGGGGGGGGGGGGGGGGGGGGGGGCGGTGGTCGGGTACATGGTCCCTCCGGCTGCTGAGGCTGCCTCTCCTGCCAACATGACCGCAGGCCCCCGGGAGGCTGGGGGAGTGACAGGGGGTCCCCACAGCTGGGGGGGACAGTGACAGCGGGGCAGGGGCTGGGGGGAGTGACAAGGGGTCCCCACGGCTGGGGGGGACAGTGACAGCGGGGGAGAGGCTGGGGGAGTGATGGGGGTCCCTACGGCTAGGGGGGGGACAATGACATTGGGGGAGGGGCTGGGGAGTGACAGGGGGTCCCCACGGCTGGGGGGGACAATGACAGTGGGGGAGGGGCTGGGGGAGTGACGGGGGTCCCCACGGCTGGGGGGGCAGAGAGAGCGGGGGAGGGCTGGAGGGCGAGGCCCGGGGGCAGGGCTGCTGCCAGGACTGGGGTCACTCGGATCGTAAGCTCAGTCCCATGTTTGACTCCCACGGTGCTCAGAGGCCAGGGCCACCCCAGAAACGGAGTCAGCCAGGGTCAGTTAAGGGTCAGCCAGAGGTCAATCAGGAGTCACCCTAGAGATGGGGTCAAAGATCAGGGGTCACCCTGGAGACTGGATCAGCCAGAGGTCAGCCAGGAGTCAACCTGGAAACAGGGTCAGTCAGGGGTCAGCCAGAGGTCAGGGGCCAGGGGTCACCCCAGAGACAGGCTCATCCAGGGGCCAGCCAGGGGTCAGCTGGCCTCTCTGCCTGCAGGGTCCCTCATCCAGGTGCCCATGAGTGAGAAGGGCAAGATCCCGCGGGGCCGCCTGGGCTCCCTGTCCCTGCGGAAGGAGGGCGAGCGGCAGTGCTTCCTGTTCTCCAAGCACCTCATCATCTGCACGCGGGGCTCGGGCGGGAAGCTGCACCTCACCAAGGTGGGCGGGGCCGGGGAGGTGGGCGGGGCCTGGAGCTGCCCCTCCGCCGGGTGGGCGGGGCCTGGAGCTGCCCCTCCGCCGGGTGGGCGGGGCTCCGGGGAAGCTGGCTCGGGTGGGCGGGGCCTGGAGCTGACCCTCAGCCAGGTGGGCGGGGCTCCGGGGAAGCTGGCCCAGGTGGGCGGGGCCTGGAGCTGCCCCTCAGCCAGGTGGGCGGGGCTCCGGGGAAGCTGGCTCAGGTGGGCGGGGCAGGGGCGGGGGCAGGGCTCTCAGCATCACTGCCAGGGCCTCGCACACGGCACACGGCCCCAGGCCTTCGTGTGCGGATCTCCACAACGGAGGGGGGGGTGGGGGGGGTGGGGGGGTGAGAACCCCTCCATCGGAAAACCCCGGATCCTGGATCCCCAGCGCGGGCGTGCGGGGGGCAGCTGACGCATGATCCTTGCTCATGGCTGTTTCTGAGAGACAGGAACACCAGTGGATGGAATCAATAGGAATGAAAGTTTCAGTGTCGCTCGGAGCGTCACGCCCCCGGCCCCCGGGCCGCTCTCTTGCAGAACGGGGTGGTGTCGCTCATTGAGTGCACCCTGCTGGAGGACCCCGAGAGCACGGAGGAGGAAGGTAGGTGCGGGGTGCCCGTGCACTTACACAAACAAGCACGCACACACGTACACACAGATATACACACGCCCACACGTACACACAGATACACACACACATATACACACGTACGCACAGATATACACACGTACACACAGATATACACACGTACACACAGATATACACACGCACACACGTACACACAGATATACACACGCACACACGTACACACGTACGCACAGAGATATACACAAGTACACACAGATATACACGTGTGCACAGATATACACACATACACACATATATACACGTACACACGTACATATATACACGTACACGTGTGCACGCACAGATATACACACCGAACATGTACTGTCAAAAGGAAATTTAAAAACAACAAATATACACATCGAGATATACACACGTACACACACGTGTACACAGAGATATACACGTAGTCGTGTGCGTGCAAATATGTGCACACACAGATATGCACACGTATGCACACAAGTATACACACACGTACACACAGAGATGTTCGTGTGCACACGCACATGCACACTCGCTCAAGGCTGGGCCCGGGCGTGGGCCCAGGGGGAGGAGGGGCCAGCCCCTTCCCCGGACCGGAAGCAGCCAGAGGCCTGTGCCCTGGACGCCCGCCTCCTTGCAGGCAGAGCGTTAGGGTCCCGGCCCCGCCCTCCCCCCCCCCCCCCCACACACACACACACCCCACCACGCTCACTGGGCGGCTGACGGCTGTTCTGCACCCGGAAGCCAAAGGGCCCGGCCAGGAGGAGCACCTGGACTTCAAGATCGGGGTGGAGCCCAAGGAGGCCCCGCCCTTCACCATCATCCTGGTGGCCTCGTCCCGGCAGGAGAAGGCCGCCTGGACCAGCGACATCAGCCAGGTGAGCCCCTCACCCCTGACCCCCCCACCCCTGACCCCCCCACCCCTGACCCCCCCACCCCTGACCCCCCACCCCTGACCTCCCCACCCCTGACCCCTCCACCCCTGACCCCCCACCCCTGACCCCCTCACCCTGATCCCTACGCCCCTGACCCCCTGACCCCCCACCCCTGACCCCCTGACCCCTCCACCCCTGACCCCCTCACCCCTGACCCCTCCACCCCTTACCCCTCCACCCCTGACCCCCCACCCCTGACCCCCTCACCCCTGACCCCTACGCCCCTGACCCCCCCACCCCTGACCCCCCCACCCCTGACCCCTACGTCCCTGACCCCTACGCCCCTGACCCCCTTGCCCCTGACCCCCACGCCCCTGACCCCTACGCCCCTGACCCCTGACCCCCCACCCCTGACCCCTCCACCCCTGGGCCCCCCACCCCTGACCCCCCCACCCCTGACCTCTCCACTCCTGACCCCCTCACCCCTGACCCCTTCACCCCTGACCCCCTCACCCCTGGCCCCTCCACCCCTGCTGACCCCTCCACCCCTGCTGACCCCTCCACCCCCACTGACCCCTCCACCCCTGACCTTTCCCCCCCCGCTGACCCCTCCACCCCCACTGACCCCTCCACCCCTGACCTTTCCCCCCCGCTGACCCCTCCACCCCCACTGACCCCTCTACCCCTGGGCCCTCCATCCTGCCCCTGCCCGGACGGATGGACAGGTGGACGGACGGAGGGCGCCCTGGGCGGGGGGAGGGCCGGTGCCCGGCTCTCGGGGGGGATGGGCGGGCTCTGACACGGCCCTGTGCTTCCAGTGTGTGGACAACATCCGCTGCAACGGCCTCATGATGAACGCCTTCGAGGAGAACTCCAAGGTCACGGTGCCCCAGATGATCAAGTGAGCGCCCGCCGCGGGGTCGCGGGGTCGCGGGGTCCAGCGCGGCCGGCACTGGGCCAGGCGCCGGCTCCCGCACCCGGCTCTCGTCTCCGGGGTGTGTTGTCTGTGCGGAGTTTATGTCTGTTTGGGTTTGTGAGAGAAAGCGGGAGGAGGGGGAGAGAAACCCTGACGGGCGGATGCGTTCGCTGCTCCATTCTGTACGTGCCCCGCGCGGACAGGGCGTGCTCACGCCTGTCTGGGCGAGGGCTTTGGCTCCGTGGGTTTGGCATGAGGCTGTTTAAAATGTAACTTCAAAGCAGCAAGCAGACTGTCCAATGACAGCGGGGAGGGGAGGGAGAGCTGGGGGAGAGAAGAGATCAACCGAAGACTTGTCTGCAGGCATATACGCACAACCACTGGACGCAAAACTCTGGGGAGGGAGGGCGTGTATGGGAGTGGGGGGGGTTGGTAAGATATGTACACAGATAATACCTTAATAAAAAAAAAATGAGCCAAAGCTGGTTTAGCTCAGTGGCTAGAGCGTCGGCCTGCGGACTGAAAGGTCCCGGGTTCGATTCCGGTCAGGGGCATGGACCTCGGTTGCGGGCACCTCCCCAGTGGGGGGCGTGCAGGAGGCAGCTGGTCGATGTGTCTCTCTCATCGATGTTTCTAGCTCTCTATCTATCCCTCTCCCTTCCTCTCTGTGAAAAATCAATAAAATATATATATTTTTTTAAATGAAAAAAATAAAATAAAAATAAATAAAATGTGACATTCGAGCCCATATGGTGTGGCTCAGTGGTTGAGCGTCAACCCATGAAGCAGGAGGGCAGGGTTCGATTCGCTGACAGGGCACAGGCCCGGCTGTGGGCTCCGTTCCCAGTGTGTGGCGTGCAGGAGGCGGCCGATCTGTGATTCTCTCTCATCGTTCTTTTAAGTTTACGTCCATTGTAATAAGAGGGTAAGATGCTGATTAGACCAGGAGACCTTCCAGGCGTCCTTCGGGACAAAGCCATGGGGGCGGGGCCGAGGCAGAGGCCGTTAGGGGCAGTCAGGCCAGGAGGGGAGGGCAGTTGGGGGTGATCAGGCCTACAAGGGGGGACAGTTGGGGGCGAGCAGGCCAGCAGGCAGGGTGGTTAGGGGCGATCAGGCAGGCAGGTAGATGAGCAGTTAGGAGCCAGCAATGGCGAGAGGGATGTTCAACTGCCGGTTTAGGCCAGATCCCCTAAACGGGCAGTTGGACATCCTCTGAGGGGTCCCAGATTGGAGAGGGTGCAGAGAGGAAGGGAGAAGAGAGAGAGAGAAACATCCATGATGAGAGAGAATCATGGACCGGCTGCCTCCTGCACGCCCCACACTGCGGATTGAGCCCGCAACCTGGGCGTGTGCCCCGACCAGAATCAAACCCGGGACCCTTCCGTCTGCAGGCTGCCGTCCTATCCACTGAGCCACACCGCCAGGCCTCTCTCATCATTGATATTTCTATCCCTTCTTCTCTGAAATCAATAAAAACGTTTTTTAAAAAAACAACAACATGCCAAGACCGGTTTGGCTCAATGGATAGAGCGTCGGCTTGGGGACTGAAAGGTCCCGGGTTCGATTCCGGTCAAGGGCATGTACCTTGGTTGCGGGCACATCCCCAGTAGGGGGTGTGCAGGAGGCAGCTGATCGATGACTCTCTCTCGTCAATGTTTCTAACTCTCTGTCTCCCTCCCTTCCTCTTTGTACAAAATCAACAAAATATATTTTTTAAGAAAACAAACCAATAACAATGGCCGGTTTCTAAGAATATTGTTGCCATAAATAAATAAAAAGTTGCAGCCCCTTCTTGGTGTCCTTCCCCCAGAGTTTTTTTCTTTTTTTTTTTTATTGATTTTTCACAGAGGAAGAGAGAGGGATAAAGGGTTAGAAACATCGATGAGAGAGAGACATCGATCAGCTGCCTCCTGCACACACACACACACCCCTCCCCCCCACTGGGGATGTGCCCGCAACCAAGGTACCTGCCCTTAACTAGAATCGAACCCCGGACCCTTCAGTCCTCAGGCCGCACTGGTTTTGGCCCAAAGTTTTTCTTGTTCCACGAGCAGCCAGTCCTTCATCAGCCTGTCTGTCTGTCCATCCCATCTGCCTGTCCGCCCCGTCTGTCCGTCTGTCCCATCTGCCTGTCCGCCCCGTCTGTCTGTCCGCCCCGCCTGTCTGTCCGCCCCGTCTATCTATCCGTCCCATCTGCCTGTCCGCCCCGCCTGTCTGTCCGCCCCGTCTATCTATCCGTCCCATCTGCCTGTCCGTCCCATCTGTCCGTCTGTCCCATCTGCCTGTCCGCCCCGTTTGTCTGTCCGTCCCGTCTGTCTGTCCGCCCCGTCTGTCTGTCCGCCCCGTCTGTCTGTCCGCCCCGTCTGTCTGTCCATCCCATCTGCCTGTCCGCCCCGTCTGTCTGCCCTGTCTGTCTGTCCCCCCGCGCCGCCCGCAAGTTCTCCCGTCTGTCTGTCAGCCCCATCTGTCTGCCCTGTCTGTCTGTCCGCCCTGTCTGTCCGCCCCGTCTGTCCGCCCTGTCTGTCCGCCCCGTCTGTCTGCCTCGTCTGTCTGTCCGCCCCGTCTGTCCGCCCCGTCTGTCTGTCCGCCCCGGCTGTCTGTCCGCCCCGTCTGTCCGCCCTGTCTGTCCGCCCCGTCTGTCTGCCTCGTCTGTCTGTCCGCCCTGTCTGTCCGCCCCGTCTGTCTGTCCGCCCCGGCTGTCTGTCCGCCCCGGCTGTCTGTCCGCCCCGGCTGTCGGTGCCTCGGGAGACAGCGATGGGTGGGCCAGGACCCCGGGGCGAGCCCGGTGTGACCGGTGCCCCCCCGCCCCCGCAGGTCGGACGCCTCGCTGTACTGCGACGACGTGGACATCCGCTTCAGCAAGACCATGAACTCGTGCAAGGTGCTGCAGATCCGCTACGCCAGCGTGGGCCGGCTGCTGGAGCGGCTCACCGACCTGCGCTTCCTGAGCATTGACTTCCTCAACACCTTCCTGCACTCCTACCGCGTCTTCACCTCCGCCGCCGTGGTGCTGGACAAGCTCATCGCCATCTACCGGCGGCCCATCAGCGCCATCCCCGCCAGGTGGGCGCCGGCCGGACCGGGGGGGGGGGGGCGGGGGGCGGGGCAGGGGCGGGGCCTGATCCCTCCTCCCTCCTCCCTCCGGCTCCCGCGTGGCCACCTGGCTCCGTCCTCCCGTCTCACCGCTCAGCCCCGCTTTGAGGGCCAGCCTGCCACACCTTCCCCATTTAAGAAAGAAAGTCCAGCCAAAACCGGTGCAGCTCAGTGGACAGAGCGTCGGCCTGCGGACTGAAAGGTCCCGGGTTCGATTCCGGTCAAGGGCACGGACCTTGGTTGCGGGCACAACCCCGGTGGGGGGTGTGCAGGAGGCAGCCGATCCGTGATTCTCTCTCCTCTTTGATGTTTCTCTCTCTCTCCCTCTCTCTTCCTCTCTGAAATCAATACAAATAGTTAAAGAAAGAAAAAGGGAAGGGCGGAGCGAAGGAGACAGGGAACGTGTTCCCGCTCTCTGAGCCCGCATCCTGGGCACAGCTGGGCCGTTCAGCAAGGCTGGGGGGTGGCTGTGAGGGGGGGGGGAGGCAGGCCTGAGCCTGTGATGTGCCCCGGAGGTCCGGATAGGAGTCTGTGACTGGGCCGTGGTCTCGCTGAGCCCGCTGGTGCCCAGCGTCTGAGGCTGGGGACCGCGTGGGCGCTGTGCTCCCCGTTACCCCAGGCACGACGTGGGCTCCCGGCTGTCGGGGGGGGGGGGGCAGGGGAGGCCAGGCTGGCCCCGGGTGCAGCCGGAGGCACGAGGAGAACCAGGGCCCTGCCCCCCTGCGCCTGCGCTCCCCGCCTGCAGCCCCTGTTCTCCCGCTCGGGCCTCCAGGGCGGGCGGCTCTGACCTGGGCATCAGCCCCCCCGGGGGCCCCGAGAGCAGGAGACGCCCCGGGGCCACGCCGACCCCCTCCCCCGCCCCCGCAGGTCGCTGGAGCTCCTGTTCGCCAGCACCGGCCAGAACAACAAGCTGCTGTACGGGGACCCCCCCAAGTCCCCCCGCGCCGCCCGCAAGTTCTCCTCGCCGCCCCCGCTGTCGCTCACCAAGACCGCGGCCTCGCCCATCCGCCGGCGCAAGCTGTCCCTCAACATCCCCATCCTCACGGGCGCGCTGGGCGGCGCCCCCGGCGGCGCCCCCGGCTTCGCCGCCGTGGCGCCCCTCGGCAAGGCCGCGCTGGACACCGGCAAGCTCTGCGTGGCCGGCGGCTTCGGCAGCAAGGCCGGCGCCGAGGCCGAGGCGGCCGAGAAGCCGGGGGAGCCCCTGGCCCCCGGCAGGCAGGGTGAGCGGGCCCGGGGGACTCACCTCGGCTCCCGGGGGAGGGGGTATAGGCGGGGGTGGGGGTGGGGGGGGGGGGGGGGGCCTCTGAGTCCCCGGGGTGTCCCCTCCACAGGGAACACATCCGGGGCCAGGCCACAGGCACCACCAGACCTAATCCCACCCCTCAGACTGGGTGTGTGTGTGTGTGCACATGTGTGCGTGTTTACATGTGTGTGTGCATGTGGGCACACACATGTGTGTACTCGTGTGTGTGTGTATGTGTCCGTGTGATTTGTGTTGTGTGCATGTGTTCGTGTTTGCATGTGTGCTTGCTTGTGTGTGTGCATGTTTGTGATCATATGTGTGCTTTGTGCACATGAGTATTCATGATTATGTCCAAATGCTTGTGTGTGTTTGTGTATATGATTATATGTGTTCAAGTGCGCTTGTGTGCGAATATTCATGATTATGTGTGTTCAAGTGTGTTTGTGTATGAGTATTCATGATTATGTATGTTCAAGTGTGTGTTTGTGTGTGAGTATTCATGATTATATATGTTCAAGTGTGTGTGTGAGTATTCATGATTATGTATGTTCAGGTGTGTGTGTTTGTGTGTGAGTGTTCATGATTATATATGTTCAAGTGTGTGTTTGTGTATGAATATTCATGATTATATATGTTCAGGTTTGTGTGTTTGTGTTTGTGTATGAGTGTTCGTGACTATGTTCAAGTGTGTTTGTGTGCATGTGTGTGTGTGTGTGCACACGTGTTGGACACTATTCTAAGGAGAAGACCTGGCGTCCAGTGCAGCTCCCTCGCTCCGTCGCCGAGGAAACGGGGGGCGGGAGGTGTGCACCGTCCGCTCCCCAGAGTGTGTGCCCACGGGTCTCCCTGCGATGGGGCCCGGCCAGCGCTGACACGTCACACACACCCTCCCGCTCCCAGTGTGGCGTGGACCAGCCGCGGCGGCCCTCCCCCCCACACACACCCCCCCACCCCGCCTGCCCGCCCCGCCCTCGGCTCAGACTCCGCTCACCCTCCCCCACGGCGAACCCCTGCATTCTGTCTCGCCCGCACCCGCAGGCCCGAATCCCAAGGCCGGGGACCGCCCGGCGGACGTGAGGCCGTCCCCGCCCCTCCCGGGCTCCGGGGTCTCCGTGCGGGAGGAGTCGGACCCGGAGCAGAGCCAGAGCGAGGAGGCCGACCCCGAGACGTCGCCCACCAAGTCCCCGACGACACCCAAGCCCGTCAGGAGCAAAAACCCCTCAGGTACCGCCCACCCGAGGGCGTGCAGCCCCGGGCAGGGACGGGTGGCCGAGCCCAGGGGGGGGCGGGGGGAGCGGGCAGTGGGCCCCACGCCCCGTAACCCGGGGTGGCCATGGGGGAGCTGGGAGGGGCCTGCTCTCACCCGGCATCATCCCTGGCCCCACCCAGGGCCACTCCTGGGAGCCCCGTGAGGGGCCTGTTACTCCCATTTTTCTTTTTTTTTTACATTTCATAGGGAAGAAAGGAGGCAGGAGAGAGAAAGAGAAACATCCATGATGAGAGAATCACTGATTGGCTGCCTTCTGCACGCCCCCAGTGGGGCGGAGCCCGCAACCCAGGCCTGTGCCCTGATGGGGAATCGAACCGTGACCCCCTGGTTCAAGGTCGATGTTCAACCATTGAACCACACGGGCCGGGCCTAACAGTCACTGTTGATAGCATCTGCAGACACAGAGCTGTTTGTACGGTCCTAATACCTTTCACCTTCACCACCCTCCTTGAGGGGGGGGTCCTACCCCCACTATCCAGAGCAGGGGTCCTCAAACTTTTTAAAGTGGGGGCCAGATCACGGTCCCTCAGAGAGCTGGAGGGCCGGTCTATATGAACTACTAATTCCTACTGTAACACCTCGGCTGCGCTCACTGCCCAAAAAACCTGGCGGGCCGGATCAGACTCCTCTACGGGCCGCATGTGGCCCGCGGGCCGTAGTTTGAAGACGCCTGATCCAGAGATTGCCTCCTGAGACCAGAGAGGTTAAGTAGCTCCCTGAGGCCACACAGCACGGAGGGGAGGACGCGGCGTGCCGGGCTCTGTATCCCGCCACGCCCGGCCTGTGCCCCGGGAGATGGAGAAGGCGGAGGGGGTGGCGCTGGGGTGGGCCGGGGTGCGGGTTACGGGGTGCAGAGCACACGCCCTGGGACCCTGGCCTTCCTTCCTCCCCAGAGTTCCCCCTGTTTTCCTACAACAACGGGGTGGTCATGCGGTCCTGTCGCGAGCTGGACAACAGCCGCAGCGGCCTGTCGGCGGCCTCCGCCTTCGCCATCGCCACCTCGGGCGCCAACGAGGGCACCCCCAACAAGGAGAAGTACCGGCGGCTGTCCCTGGCCGCCACAGGTGCGGGGCGGGTAGGGGTGGGGGTAAAGGGGCGAGGGATGGGCTCACGGGGCCCCTTCCTCCCGCCGCCCGCCCTCCTCCTGCTCGGCCTGCGCCCAGCAGAGGCCCGCCACCCACGGCGCCCGGCCACCCCTCCCGCCGCGCTCCTGGGAGGCCCCGGTGGGCGGGGGTGGCAGCCGTCCCACCGGACCGAGGAGCGGCCCAGCCCGCCAGGCCCGGGGCAGGAGGCGAGGCGCGTGGGAGGCCGGCTCCGTGTCCCCGTGACCCCCGCCCTCTGCCGCCAGGCTTTCCCGCGGACCAGAGGAACGGGGACAAGGAGTTCGTGATCCGCAGAGCGGCTACCAACCGTGTCCTAAACGTGCTGCGGCACTGGGTGTCCAAGCATGCGCAGGTGGGCGGGGCCGGGCAGTGAGTGTCCAGGCATGCGCGGGTGGGCGGGGCCTGGCCCTGGGTGTCCAAGCATGCGCAGGTGGGCGGGGCCGCACAGATGGGCGGGGCCTGGCCCTGGGTGTCCAAGCATGCGCAGGTGGGCGGGGCCGCACAGATGGGCGGGGCCTGGTACTGGGTGTCCAGGCATGCGCAGGTGGGCGGGGACGGGACAGATGGGCGTGGCCGGGTATTGAGTATCCAGGCATGCGCAGGTGGGCGGGGCCTGGCCCTGGGTGTCCAGGCATGCGCAGGTGGGCGGGACCAGGATAGGTGGGCGGGGCTGGGCAGGTGGCCACGTGCCTTTCTTTTTTTAAAAAGAAACATACATTTTATTGATTTTTGCAGAAAGGAAGGGAGAGGGATAGAGTTAGAAACATCGATAAGAGAGAAACATCCAACAGCTGCCTCCTGCCCGCCCCCCATTGGGGATGTGCCCCTTGACCGGAATCGAACCTGGGACCCTTCAGTCCAAAGGCCGGCGCTCTATCCACTGAGCACACCGGCTAGGGCGCCATGTGCCTTTCCTGGGGAGGTCTGCGGGCGCCGCTGGGACCCCGCCGGGACCCCTGAGAAGGGAGTGAGGCGGCGCCTCCGCCCGCGTCGGACTGGAAACCGCCGCCTCCCCGGCCCTGAGCCGGACCCCGCGGGCAACCGGAGTGCCCACAGCCCGGCGCCTCTCCCCCAGGACTTCGAGACCAACAAGGAGCTCAAGAGCAAGGTGGTGGGCTTCCTGGAGGAGGTGACGCGCAACCCCGAGCTGCTGACCCAGGAGCGGAAGGCGGCCGCCAACATCGTGCGGTGGGGCCCGGGGCCGGAAGAGCCGGGGGGGGGGGGGGGCGGGGGGGGCTAACTGACACCCAGGGGTGGCCAGCAGCCGGGGCGTCACCGCTGGAGGGCCCGGGAGAGGGGGGTGCCTAGAGGCGAGGCGGGTGCAGGCAGGTCATCCCTGCGTCTGGCCCCTCAGGACGTTGACGCAGGAGGATCCCGGCGACAACCAGATCACACTGGAGGAGATCACACAGCAGGTGAGCGGGGCCCGCTGCCCCCCAGCACCCCCCTGCAGGGAAGCGGCCGCCCCGGGCCCGCCTGCAGGAGCCCCGGGGCCTCAGGGCGCCTTCTTGCTGTGAGGGCTCCCCCAACCCTGCGAAAGGGGGAGCAGGCTGTACCCCACACCTCCCCGCCCCCGCCTCTGCTCCCAGGCTCACCCTCTTTCCTAGGCCCCAGCAGAGGGAGTCCTGGCCAGTGCGGCTCAGTGGATAGAGCGTCAGCCTGCGGACTGAAGGGTCCCGGGTTCAATTCCGGTCAAGGGCACGTACCATGATTGCGGGCACATTCCCAGTGGGGGGCGTGCAGGAGGCAGCTGATGGATGTTTCTAACTCTCTATCCCTCTCTCTTCCTCTCTGTAAAAAAAAAATCAATAAAACATTTAAAATAAAAAAAAGAATACAGATTATAAAAGAAGGGGGGAGACGAGGGGACGGCCTTCCCCCCCACCCCTACCCTAACAGGCCAGCCCTCCTGGGCCTCCTCTCCCATCTGGTCTGCCAGGCGGGGCCTTCCGCGTCACACCCGGCCGTCCAGCCGCCCCCCAGTCTGTGGAGACCCCCCCTGGGGCTAAGCGGGGCTCCCCAGGCTAAGGGGCCCCACCCCCTCAGGCCGCGGGCGTGAAGGCGGAGCCCTTTGAGAACCACTCCGCCATGGAGATCGCCGAGCAGCTGACCCTGCTGGACCACCTGGTTTTCAAGAAGATCCCTTACGAGTGAGTGGGCGGGCGGGCCTCGGCTCCCCACCCTCCCCGGCCCCCCCCAAATGACAGCCTCGGCAGCAAAGGGACCAGGAGGGCCGCCTGACCGCCCCCTCCCCCGTCCCGGGGGCCCCGTCTCCCGCAGGGAGTTCTTCGGACAGGGATGGATGAAGCTGGAGAAGAACGAGAGGACCCCGTACATCATGAAAACCACGAAGCATTTCAACGACGTGAGTGTGGGCGGCGGCCCCGGACCCGCGGGGGGGCTGGGGGAGAGCGGACACCCCCCCCCCTTCATTCTGCAGGCAGGCGCTCTATCCACTGAGCCACACCAGCCAGGGTTCATTGTGCCCTCTCATCCTTGCTCCTCTGAGCAGCTTCCCAGTGAGAAAGGAGGTTTGGAGGGACAGGGGTCAGGGCCCCTTGCTGTGCTTTTTTTTGTTGTTTTTTTTAATACATTTTTGTTGATGTCAGAGAGGAAGGGAGAGGGAGAGGGAAACATCCATCACGGATCGGCCGCCTCCTGCACGCCCCACGCTGGGGATCCAGCCCGCCACCCCCGCACGTGCCCTGACCGGGAATCGAACCTGTGACCTCCTGGTTCCTAGGTGGACGCTCAGCCACCGGACCACACCAACAGGGCATCTATTATGTTTTTCAGTACGGGGAGGGGAGCTTAGGAAAAGAGGGGCGTCACAGTATATTAAAAGGCGGGTTCCTGCCGAAACCGTTGTGGCTCAGTGGATAGAGCATCAGCCTGGGGACTGAAGGGTCCCGGGTTCGATTCCGGTCAAGGGCATGATGAGAAAGAATCATGGATCGGCCGCCTCCTACACACCCCACATCTCCGGTAGGGGGTGTGCAGGAGGCAGCTGGTTGATGTCTCTCTCACATCGATGTTTCTAGCTCTCTTTCTCTCTCCCTTCCTCTCTGTAAAAAATCAATAAAATATATTAAAAAAAGGTTGGTTCCTTACAGTCAAGTTAGCTGCAGCAGCAGCAAGGATGGTTACAATACCCAGGATGTCAGCGGGTAAGCATGCTAAGACACGCTTCTTACTCATTTAACAGGTGATTTGCAGGGGTCCTTTTTTAAAAAAAAAAAATGTATTTTTATTGATGTCATGTGCCCTTGACCGGAATCGAACCCGGGACCCTTCATTCCTTAGGCCGGCGCTCTATCCACTGAGCCACACCGGCCGGAGCTCATTGTGCCCTCTCACTGGCCTTCCTCGTCCTGAGGAACACTTCTCCCGTCTGCCCGAGGGCGGGGTGTCAGAGTTTCAGACACTCACTCCTCTCCTCCTCCTCCCTGTCTCTCCGCCTGGGCTTCAAGATCAGTAACCTGATCGCCTCGGAGATCGTCCGGAGCGAGGACGTCGGGGGCCGCGTGAGCGCCATCGAGAAGTGGGTGGCGGTGGCGGACATCTGCCGCTGCCTGCACAACTACAACGCCGTGCTGCAGATCACCTCCTCCATGAACCGCAGCGCCGTCTTCCGGCTCAAGAAGACCTGGCTCAAGGTCTCCAAGCAGGTGCAGGCGCGGGGCGGGGGCGGGGCGGGGCTGGGCTGGGGCTGGGGCTGGGCTGGGGTTGGGCTGGGGCTGGGATGGGCTGGGGCTGGGGCTGGGCTGGGGGCTGGGGATGAGGATGGGGGGCTGGGGCTGGGGCTCGGGAGCATGGGCGCGGGGGGTGTGGGCATGGAGTGGGGCGCGGAGTGGGGCACCGGGCGTGGGGGCGTGGAGGTACAGGCCGCGGGCTAGCAGCCTCTGCTCCTTGCAGACTAAAGGGCTGATCGACAAGCTGCAGAAGCTCGTGTCCTCGGACGGCAGGTTCAAGAACCTGCGGGAGGCGCTGAAGAAGTGAGTGTGGGTCCCCCCTGGCCACCGCCCTCTGTGGGACTGCGCCCCGCGGCAAACCCCCCCCCCCCCCCAATCCGGCTGAGCAGGAGTCTGTGTGTCTGTGTCTGTCTGTCTGTCTGCCTCCCCACCAGAACCCCCACCAGGGCAGGTCAGCCTTGTCCCCCGTCCTCTGTCCGGGAGACCTCAGCCCGGGGCCCTTTGTGGGGACAGGCCCAGGGGGACCCCCAGAGTCCTTGATTCTAAAATGCACGGTTTTGGGGATTTAAAAAAAAAAACATTTTAGTATTTCTGCCACTGGGAGACATCTTCAAGGTGATGCCTGTGTTGAACAGGAGCGTGTTTATACTTCCTGTACTTGGAATCGGGCCTCAAAACAAAAGCACTTCCCTGGCAAGTGTTGCTCAGTGGTTAGAGCATCGGCCCGCAGGTTTGATTCCTGGTCAAAGGCAGGTACTTCAGTTGCGGATTCTTTAAAATTATTTATTCGTTTAGTTAGTCCTCACCTAAGGATATTTTTCCATTGATATCCTTTTTAGAGAGAGAGTGGAAGGGAGGGAAAGAGAGAGAGAAACATTGATGTGAGAGAGAGACATCCATTGGCTGCCTCCCCCATGCACCCAGCTGGGGATGGAAGCCTGCATCCAAGGTGCGTGCCCTTGACCAGCATCGAACCCGAGACCCCCGGGTCCGCAGGCCAGTGCCCTACCCACTGCACCACATTGGCCAGGGCTGGGTGGCAGGTTTGAATCCCAGTCTGGCCAGGATGCGGGAGAGGCAGCCAGTCGATGCATCTCTCCCACATCGATGTTTCTCTCCCCGTCTTCCTCTTCGCTCTCTCCGGAGATCAATGGGGAAATAGTCTGGGCTGAGGCTTTTTAAAAAGGACCTTCCCAGCCGAGACCGGTGTGGCTCAGTGGATAGAGCGTCGGTCTGCGGACTGAAGGGTCCCGGGTTCGATTCTGGTCAAGGGCATGTGCCTTGGTTGCGGGTACATCCCCAGGAGGAGATGTGCAAGGGGCAGCTGATCGATGACTCTCTCTCATCGATGTTTCTAACTCTCTATCCCTCTCCCTTCCTCTCTGTAAAAAATCAATAAAAAATTAAAATTAAAATTAAAAATTAAAATAAATTTTTAAAAAAAGTACCTTCCCAAACAGTGCATCTTAGAATCAAATCAATGCCCTTCGACCCACAGCTGCCCCTCGGTCTGCAGGGCCCCCCCTCAACTCCTGAAGCTCCCTCCCCCCCCCCCAGCCCCCCTGAGGCGCTGGGGGGTCCCCGAGAGCAGGAAGGTCCCTGCTGGGGGCGGGGCCTGTGCCCTCCTGGCCCCGCCCACCAGAGGCCAGAGGCCCCGCCCACCAGTTGCCAGCGCCCCTGCACGGAGTGAACCCCCACCCTGAGTGACCCCGCCCCGAGCGACCCCGCCTTGAGTTATCCCTGGGTCCCCGTGCAGCCCCTGGTTGCCCCTGGTTACCCCTAGTTACCATGGAGACCAGGACGCCTCCCGGCTCTCCAGGGCCCGCGGGTGCCTGCTGATGGGATGGGGAGCCCTGTTCTGGGATCAGCACCCCTCGGGCTGTCAGCTCAAGGTGGTGGCCCTGAGCCCCCCACCCCCGGCCCGCCTGTCCGTCCGTCCGTCCGTCCCCGTGTCCTCGCGTCTGGTCTGTCCGCCGCTCCATGTCCATGGCCTGACCATCCCGCTCTGTTTGTGTCCTCAGACCGCGTTGTGTCCCCCGCCCGGGCTCCCGGAGCCCCGTGGACTGTGCTTGTGGGGAGCCCCCCTCCGTGCATTCACCACCCGCGCGTCCGTCCGTCCGTCCGCCCCCGGCGCCTCCATCCGCCTCCTTCACATGGCTTCTCGGCCGCGGCCGCCTCCGCGGCCCACGGGCCCCCATTCTGTCCGCGCGCCCCCCTCCCCCCCCCCGTCCCTCCTCAGGGGCCCCGGGCCGTGTCCCTGCCAGCCCTGCAGAGGGGGTGAGGTTGGGGCCACTGAGGGCCCCCCCCCCCCCGATTTCCGGGGCGGAGGGCGGGAGGGGGCAGTACCGCGCACAGACGGAGCCGGGAGGGGCCTCCCTGCGTGAGTCCTCGACCCCACTCCTTGTCCCCGCCCCTTTTCCAGCCAAGCCTGCACCCGAGTCTCCCTCCCTCCAGCCTCTCCTATTTTTCAAAAAATATATTTTACTGATTTTTTACAGAAAGAAAGGGAGAGAGAGAGAGAGAGAGAAACATTCATGATGAGAGAGAAACATCCATCAGCTGCCTCCTGCACGCCCCCCACTGGGGATGTGCGTGCAACCAAGGTCCATGCCCTTGACCGGAATCGAACCCGGGACCCTTCAGCCCGCAGGCCGAGGCTCTGCCCACTGAGCCACACTGTTTTTTTAATTCTATTTTTATTGATGTCAGAGAGGAAGGGAGAGAGAGAGAGAGAGAGAGAAACATCCCTGATGAGAGGGAATCTCCGCTCGGCTGCCTCCTGCCCGCCCCACGCTGGGGAGGGAGCCCGCCCCCCGGGCCTGGGCCCTGACCTCCTGGTTCCTAGGTCGACGCTCAGCACGGAGCCCTGGCTGCTGGGCAGTCCTGCCCCTTTTCTAGAAACAATATTTTTATTTTGATCCGGTCCACGCCGACGGCACTCGCTCTGCTGTCCCTGCTCCCCAAACCCCGAGGCTCCTCCCTCCCCACGACCGGGTCCGAGCCGGCCGCGCCCCAGCTCCCCGGTCCGCGGAGCCGGCCCCTTTGAGAGGGCCCGTGTGTAAGCGGACGCGTCTGTCCCTGCCGTTTGCCCCCAAGCTGCGACCCGCCCTGCGTGCCCTACCTGGGCATGTACCTCACCGACCTGGCCTTCATCGAGGAGGGAACCCCCAACTACACGGAGGACGGCCTGGTCAACTTCTCCAAGATGAGGATGGTGCGTGCCCCGCCCCGCCCCGCCCCGCCTCGCCCCGCCCCGGGACCCGCCCACAGCCCGGGAGCAGCGCAGGGACCAGAGCCCCGTCTGTCTGGCTCCGGCCACACCTTCCTCTCCCCCGCCCACCCCGGGCATGGATCCCGGGGTCCCGGGCCAGACAGCCACTGGGGCGGCGCCTCCCGGGGCCAGGGGACCCCAGAGCGGGGTGAGGGGCGCCTGGCTGCTCGCCGCCCCTCCTCCCTCCTCCCTGCACCCTGGGCCCCGCCCCATGGGAGTCCCCTCCTTCCCAGAGGGGCCTCTGGGAGCCGCACACAGTAGGCCCTCAGGATGGGAGGGGCACTGCCATGCCCGCCGAGCACGGGGGGGGGGGGGGGGGGGGGGGAAGGGGGGGTGTCCGTCTTCCCCGCAGAGGGGGGGGGTCTATCTGCCCCGCGGGGTGGGGTGGCACTGAGAGGGGAGCCTGTCTCCCTCGAGAACCCCCTCCTTCCACAGATCTCCCACATCATCCGAGAGATCCGCCAGTTCCAGCAGACCGCCTACAAGATAGAGCACCAGGCGAAGGTAGGGTCAATCAGGCCTAAAGAGGAGGGCAGTTAGGTGACCAGGCTGGCAGGGGAGGGCATTTAGGGGCAAACAGGCTGGCAGGGGAGTGGTTAGGGGCAAACAGGCTGGCAGGGGAGTGGTTAGGGGGTGACCAGGCTGGCAGGGGAGGGCATTTAGGGGCAAACAGGCTGGCAGGGGAGTGGTTAGGGGGTGACCAGGCTGGCAGGGGAGGGCATTTAGGGGCAAACAGGCTGGCAGGGGAGTGGTTAGGGGGTGACCAGGCTGGCAGGCAGAAGCGGTTAGAGGCAGTCAGGCAGGCAGGTAGTCCTGGATTATGAGAGGGATGTCCGACAGCCAGCTTAGGCCTGATCCCACACTGGGATCAGGCCTAAACAAGCAGTCAGACATCCCTTGAGGGGTCCCAGATCGGAGAGGGTGCAGGCTGGGCTGAGGGAGACGCCCCCTTGCATGAACTTCGTGCACCGGGCCCCTAGTGTTAATATAAAACCCGCTTCACCCCTTTGGCCGCCGGTGCCTCCAGGAGTGCCTGGCTCCCCCGAGACCCCGGTGCCCACAGTCAGGGGTTCCAGAGGCCCCTCCCACCGCCCTCTCTCCCTCGCCCTCCCCCCCCCAGGTCACCCAGTACCTGCTGGACCAGACCTTCGTGATGGACGAGGAGAGCCTGTACGAGACCTCTCTGCGCATCGAGCCCAAGCTCCCCACCTGAGGCCGCCCCGCCCCCCGCGCCCCCGCACCCCCGCCCGCGCTCCCCGGGGGCCCCGGGCCACGTGTACATACCTGTCCGTCCCGGATTCTCCTCCTCATGTGCTCCCCCGAGAACACAGACCGGCCCGCCTCAGTTCCCGAGCGGTGACCGCACCAGCCCCCCTCCCCCCACGCCCCCGCCAGCCCGCGTCCACCACGGGCTTCCCCCCACCCCCACCCCCCGCCGGGCCGGGCGGCCGGCCAGCCCCCAGCGCCTCCCAGCATGCCCCATGTAGTGGCTACAACGGGGCGGGGCGGGGCGGGGCGGGAGAGGTGGGACGGGGGCCCATACCCCGAAGCCCAGCCATCGACCCACCTCCCCGTGGACGGCCAGAGCCGCAGGCCTGGGACCCCTCGCTCCCCGTCTCCCCAGCCACCACCCGGGCACCCCGTCCTCCTCCGCTCTGGGAATCACACCGGACGGACAGATGGGCGGACAGCGGGCCCCGAAACCCAACGAGGAAAACGCAGTCACATCGCCAGGTGGACGTCTGCTGACCGATCGCTGCCCCAGGTCACTGCGAGCCGGGAACACACACACACACATGCACACACATACACACATGCGCACGCACACACGCATGCACATACACACATGCACACACACATGCACACACGCGCCACTTCTCCGTCAGAGCCTCATGCCCCCGCCCCCAGCTTCATGAGCTGCTCCAGGTCCGTCTCTGCCTCGTGACAGTAGCTCCCGCTGCCGCTGCAGTTAGACCCTGTCCCCCACGTGTGTGTGTGTGTGTGTGTGTGTGTGTGTGTCCCTGCCCACAGCGTCCCCCCGGAGGCCCCTCGCAGGAGCACGGCCCCCCTGCGGGCCCTGTGAGTACGGCCCTGTTTTCTCCCTGGGACACGGGGGGTGGGGGGTGGGGGGGCAGGCCGTGGCGGCCCCAGGCCTGGCCTGCCGCCCTGAGCAATACCCACCGGTCTGAGGACCCTGCGTCCGGTCCCCACACTCCCCCCACGTCCGGCTCGTTTGGAGAAAAAAAAAACAAAAAGCAAAAAAAAACACACAGAAAACGAACTTTCCGTTTTATAACGATCAATGTTTCCTGATTACCTCTTGCTAAATAAATCTATTCTATCTCAGGGTGAACGGTGCGTTTGGGTGGCGTCCTTCGTTTGGGGGGCACATGGTCCCTGTCGGGCAGGGACGTGGGGGGCTTGGGACCAGACCCCAAGGGACGAAGACACTCTGCTCTGTGGGGACTCCCACAGTTTAACGGCTGAAAATTTCTATCCCGATCGGCGTGGTTCTGTGGTTGAGCATTGACGTAGGAACCAGGAGGTCAGGGTTCGATTCCCAGTCAGGGCACAGGCCCGGGTTATGGGCTTGATCCCCAGTGGGGGGCGTGCAGGAGGCAGCCGATCCGTGATTCTCTCTCTCATCGGGGATGTTTCTTTCTCTCTCCCTCTCCCTTGCTCCCTGAGATCAATAAAAATATCCCACCCACAATATCTACACGGATAACAGAGAAACATGCAAATGAACCGTCCCTCCGCTACATTCGCCAGCCAATCAGAGCGAGTATGCAAATAAACCGAACAAAGATGGGGGTTAATTTGCATACACAGGCGTGGCGGAAGCCAGCGGAGGCAGACTGGGCGGCCAAGATCGCCTCTTCCTCCAAAGCCCTGTTTTTGTAGGAATCTTCCTGCATCAGGCCTCTCGTTAATAATAACATACTAGCCAAAACCGGTGTGGCTCAGTGGATAGAGCATCGGCCTGCGGACTGAAAGGTCCCAGGTTCAATCCCGGTCAAGGACATGGACCTTGGTTGCGGGCACATCCCCAGTGGGGGGCGTGCGGGAGGCAGCTGATTAATGTCTCTCTCTCATCGATGTTTCCAACTCTCTGTTACTCTCCCTTCCCCTCTGTAAAAAAAAAAAAATCAATAAAATATAAAAATAATAATAATAACATACTAAGGTAATTGGGGGGGGGGGTAATTCCTTACCCAAGGAGACCCAAGGTTTTTATTGATTTTAGAGAGACAGGAGGAGAGAGAGAGAGAGAGAGTCATTGATGTGAGAGAAACATCGATCAACTGATCAATTGATCAGCCGCCTTCCCTATGCACCCCAACCAGAAATCGAACCTGTGACCTGGGTATCTCTCCTGATTGGGAATCAAACCTGCGGGTTTGGCATATGGGATGACGGATTTTTTGCTTGTTTTTGTTGTTTTTTAAATCCTCACCCAGGGATATGTTCCCATTGATTTTTAGAGAGAGTGGGAGGGAGGGGGAGAGAGAGAGAGAGAAACATCGATGTGAGAGAGACACATCGATGGGTTGCCTCCTGCATGTGCCCTGACCAGGACCAGGCCAGAGAGGAGCCTGCCACCGAGGTCCATGCCCGTGGCCAGAATAGAACCCGGGATCCTTCAGTCCGCAGGCCCATGCGCTACCCACTGAGCCACACTGGCAGGGCCTCACCCTGTGCTTCCCGATCCTGGTCTCTTTCCCAAAGGTGCCCTGGGGCGGCCTCGATGGTGTGGGGGCGGGGGGCCAGGTGGTCGCTGTCACAGGAACATGAGGTGCCACCCGGGCATCACGCCTCACCACACACAGCCACACGCACCCACATGCATGCACACACACACACACACATGCATGCACACGCATGCACCCTACCCCAGGCCTGACTCCCTGACCGCTGAGGGCTGGTGCCCGGTGAGGGGGGACGCCCACAAAGCAAGGAGCCCCGTTCCAGCTCCAGCCCTCACCGCCCTGCAGGCTCCAGGCCCTCGCCGCCCAGGATCCGGAAGCCACCGCCCCGCCCCGCCCGGGTGTGCCAGCCGGAACCCCGGAGGCCACCGTGCCGCCACCTCCACGGGGTCACCGGGTGCCGGCGAGGTCACGCTCTGCTCCCCTCCCACCTCGGCCACCGCCCTGCACGGCAGTTCTCAAACTTCCTGGCCAACGGCACCCCTCGGCACCCTTCTGGACTATGGAGATCCCCACGCGGAAGCCCACACACACACACACACACACACACACACACACACACGGTGGCAATACTGCTGCCTTCCTCACGTGTGTTCCAAAGTGAACCCGGGGAAAACTTTAAAAATTACGATGGCCCGGCTGCTGGCTCTGCGGTTCAGCGTCCACCTAGGAAGCAGGAGGCCCGGGTTCGATTCCCCGTCGGGGCACAGGCCCGGGTTGGGGGCTCCATCCCCAGTGTGGGGCTTGCGGGAGGCAGCCGATCCGTGATTCTCTCTCATCGTGGATGTTTCTCTCTCTCTTTCTCCCTCTCCCTTCCTCTCTGAAATCAGTAAATATGCCAAACCGGTTTCGGCAGGGGTGAATATCGTTTTAATCTAAAGAGAGAGCATGGCCCTAACCCCTTTGGCTCAGTGGATAGAGTGTCAGTCTGCGGACTGGAAGGTCCTGGGTTCGATTCCAGTCAAGGGCATGGACCTTGGTTGCGGGCACATCCCCAGTGGGGGGCGTGCAGGAGGCGGCTGATGGATGTTTCTCTCTCATCGATGTCTCTAAGTCTCTCTCCCTCTCCCTTCCTCTCTGTAAAAAATCAATAAGATGCATATTTTAAAAATAAAGAGAGGGGGCGGTTGCACAACACTGTGAGGGCACTCAGCGCCCCAGAAGGAGACACTTTAAAACGCTCGATTGCAGGTTATGGGAACCGAACCCCAAGAAAAACAAACAGGCCCCTGGGAGTGTCCTCGTGACCGGACGCCAGCCCGGCCAGCTGACGGGAGACGTCTGCCTGGCACCCCAGATTGCTCAATGGTGTGCTGTGCGGATTGCATCAGCCAGATGGAAACAAACAGCAATGGCCCAGCCGGGTGGGGCTCAGGGGCGGAGCCCTGACCTATGTATGAACCGGGAGGTCCGGGTTCGATTCCCGGTCAGGGCACGTGCCCGGCTGTGGGCTCCATCCCCAGTGGGGGGCGTGCAGGAGGCAGCGGTCGACCGATGATTCTCTCTCATCATGGATTCATTGATGTTTCTCTCTCTCTCTCTCTCTCTCTCTCTCTCTCTCTCTCTCTCCCCCTCTGCAATTGATTTCAGAGAGAAAGGGAGAGTCAGAAACATCGATGAGAGAGAAACATCGACCAGCTGCTTCCTGCACCCCTCCTACTGGGGATGTGCCCACATCCAAGGTCCATGCCCTTGACCGGAATCGAACCCAGGACCTTTCAGTCCGCAGGCTAACACTATAACCACTGAGCAACACCAGTTAGGACCCAAGGTTTTTTTTGTTTTGTTTTATTTTTCTTTTATTTATATTTTATTGACTTTTTTACGGAGAGGAAGGGAGAAGGATAGAGAGTCAGAAACATCGATGAGAGAGAGTCATCGACCAGCTGCTTCCTGCACCCCTCCTACTGGGGATGTGCCCGCAACCAAGGTCCATGCCCTTGACCGGAATCGAACCCGGGACCCCTGAGTCCGCAGGCCGACGCTCTATCCACTGAGCCACACTGGTTAGGGCCTGAGTTGTTGTTTTGTTGTTGTTTTTAATATATAATAGATTTTTTTTTATGAAGAAATAAACATTCCTGAAGAAATACTAAGCAATTTTATTTTCTTTCGTTCTATTTATTATAATAGATTTTTTATTGATTTTGGAGAGGAAGGGAGACAGAGGTGGAAACATCAATGATGAGAGTCATGGATCGGCTGCCTCCTGCACACCCCCCACTGGGGATGGAGCCCACCACCCGGGCCTGTGCCCTGACCGGGAATCGAACCCTGACCTTCTGGTTCCTAGGTGGATGCTCAACCCACTGAGCCACACCGGCTGCGCTTAAAAAAAAAATATTTTTTTTTAAGGGGAGAGGGGGTTTGCTCGTCAGAAAAGTGTCTCTAACTGGGCCTGGGGGGTGGGGCAGGGGAACAGGGGGATCCTGGCTGAGGGGAGAGGAGGAGAGGGAGGCGGGACTGGTGAGTGACAGCTCTGCTTAGGGCTGGGTGGACCGGGGGCTGGTGGGAGGGGCCTGTGTGTCCGCGGGGGAGCCGCCAGCAGGTGCCAGGCCGGGGCACTGGATGGCGAAATCGCTGGGCTCCTCCGGTCCGGCCTGATTCCATTCCTCCGCGGCCCTTATCGGCCTTATCATCGCGGCTCAGGTGTGCTCCCCGCAATTAGGACCCACACGCCTGACTCATGACCCAGAAACACTCAGGCTCCTTTCGCACTGCGGACAGGGAGCGGGGAGGGACAGTTCACGCAGGGGGCAGGGGCAGGGGCAGGGGCAGGGGCAGGGGCAGGGGGCAGGGGCAGGGGGCAGGGGCAGGGGCAGGGGGCAGGGGCAGGGACAGGGGCAGGGAGCAGGGGCAGGGGCAGGGGCAGGGGCAGGGGCAGGGGCAGGGGCAGGGGGCAGGGGGCAGGGGCAGGGGCAGGGGGCAGGGGCAGGGGCAGGGGCAGGGGGCAGGGGCAGGGGCAGGGGGCAGGGGCAGGGGCAGGGGCAGGGGCAGGGGCAGGGGGCAGGGGCAGGGGCAGGGGCAGGGGCAGGGGCAGGGGCAGGGGCAGGGGCAGGGGCAGGGGCAGGGGCAGGGGGCGGGGCAGGGGGCAGGGGCAGGGGCAGGGGCAGGGGCAGGGGCAGGGGCAGGGGCAGGGGCAGGGGCAGGGGCAGGGGGCAGGGGCAGGGCAGTGGGCAGGGGCAGGGCAGGGGCAGGCAGGGGGCAGGGGCAGGGGCAGGGGCACAGGGGCAGGGGCAGAGGGAGGGGCAAGGGCAGGAGCAGGGGCAGGGGCACAGGGGCAGGGGGCAGGGGCAGGGGGCAGGGGGCAGGGGGCAGGGAAAAGAGGAAACCGGTCTGGGGCAAGGGCAGGGGCAGGGGCAGGGGGCAGGGACAGGGGCAGGGGCAGGGGCAGGGGGCAGGGACAGGGGCAGGGGCAGGGGGCAGGGGCAGGGGCAGGGACAGGGGGCAGGGGCAGGGGGCAGGGGGCAGGGGGCAGGGGCAGGGGGCTGGGGCAGGGGCAGGGGCAGGGGCAGGGGCAGAGGCAGGGGCAAGGGGGCAGGGGCAGGAGCACGGGCAGGGCTCGGGAGCAGGGGCAGAGCACGGGGGCAGGGGGCAGGGGCAGGGGCAGGGGGCAGGGGCAAGGGCACTGGGGCAGGGGTCTGGGGCAGGGGCAGGCAAGGGGCAAGGGGGCAGGGGGCAGGGGCAGGGGGCAGGGCAGGGGCAGGGCAGGGGGCAGGGGGCAGGGGGCAGGAGGCAGGGAGCAGGGACAGGGGGCAGGGGCAGGGGGCAGGGGCAGGGGCAGGGGGCAGGGGCAGGGGGCAGGGGCAGGGGGCAGGGGGCTGGGGCAGGGGGCAGGGGCAGGGGGCAGGGGGCTGGGGCAGGGGGCAGGGGCAGGGGCAGGGGGCTGGGCAGGGAGCAGGGGCAGGGGGCAGGGACAGGGACAAGGGCAGGTGACAGGCGGCAATGGGGAGGGGGCAGAGGGTAGGCGGCAAGACGCAGGGGCAGGGGCAGGGGCAGGGGCTGTGGCTCACTGTCCCTCGTTGCCCGCCCCCCTCTCAGAGCCCTCCTGGTCCCCAGGGCACGTCAGGAGGTGAGCACAGCCCCCCCCCCCCCAGCCCCAGCTGTCACCTTCGGACTTGGGATGAGTGACAGTCACACCGCCTGCAGGGGGTGGGGCCAGGGGGGAGGCCAGATCCAGGAAACACGACTTTCCTTTCCTTTTCTTAAACACTTTTCTATCACTTCACAGAGGAAGGGAGCGGGGAGAGAGACATCCATGCTGAGAGAGGATCACGGATCGGCCGCCTCCTGCACGCCCCCCACTGGGGATGGAGCCCGCCACCCGGGCCTGTGCCCTGACGGGGAATCGAACCCGGACCTCCTGGCTCATAGATGGATGCTCAAACACTGAGCCACGCAGGAAACACGATTTTCAAAGTATTTAGCCGCGGCCACACCCACATGGGGCACGTGGGGCCGTGTGTGCGAGGAGCAGCTGGGAAGGTCAGGAAGAGGATGTGCCCTCCGCGGCGGGGGGGTTGGGGGGGAGAGGAGGGGGGAGAGGAAGGGACGGCAGGAGGGAAGGGATGGGGCGGAGCTGAGTGCGGGACAGGGGCTCGCCAGCAGCTGATGAGGAAGGGGGGGCATTTCCAGTGGGGCCGGGATGTGTCATACAAGGTCTCCAGCGACAGCCTTATGCACCTCCTGCATCCACTCCTTCCTCACTCTTCACACTCTCTGGTTACTCACCTCTACATGCATCCGCCCGTCCATCCATCTATCCATCCACCCATCCTTCCATCCATCCATCCATCTCACATGTGTCAAACACAAGGCCCTCGGGCCAAATCCGTCCCGCCAGGCCTTGCAATGTGGCCCGCACCGCGCTGTCATCACTGCACTCCGCTGCGTTTCCATCACAATGACAGTTTATGACTGTTCAGTAAACCATTCGGCCCGCGATTTAGGCTGGATTTTAGATTTTGGCCCCTTCTCTGACTGAGTTCGACACCCCTACATCAACCCATCCACCATCCTTCTATCCATCCATCCACCCATCCTTCCATCCATCCATCCACCCATCCACTCTTCTATCTCTTCATTCATCTACTCACCCAGGCTCGCCCCCACTTTTCTGCGCCCGGAGCCCCGCCCTCCCACCAGGCCCCGCCCCCGCCTCCGCCAGGCCCCGCCCTCCCGCAGGCCCCCCTCCACAGGCCCCGCCCCCGCGCTCGGCCTGCTGGGCGCTCGGGGCAGAACCGGAGCCTCGCACTCCGGCTAGGCCCCGCCCTCCCTCCAGGCCCCGCTCTCCCTCCAGGCCCCGCCTTCCCAATGCCCCGCCCTCTCCAGGCCCCGCCCCCGCGCTCAGCCGGCAGGGACCTGGTCGCGCGCCCTGCAGAGCCGGAGCCCCGCCCTCTCAATGCTCCGCCCTCCCGCCAGGCCCCGCCCTCCCGCCAGGCCCCGCCCCCGCGCTCAGCCGGCAGGGACCTGGTCGCGCGCCCTGCAGAGCCGGAGCCCCGCCCTCTCAATGCTCCGCCCTCCCGCCAGGCCAAGCCCTCCCGCCAGGCCCCGCCCCCGCGCTCAGCCGGCAGGGACCTAGTCGGGCGCGGGGTAGAGCCGGAGCCCCGCCCTCCCAATGCTCCGCCCTCCTTCCAGGCCCCGCCCTCCCGCCAGGCCCCGCCCCCGCACTCGGCCCTTGGGGACCCGGGCGCGCGCAGGGCAGAGCCGGAGCCGCCGCCGCCGCGATGAGGTCCGCGCTGCCGCTGCTCCTCGCCGGCGCCTGGCTGCTGGGCGCCCTGAGCGCCGGCGCCGCCGGCCTGTACTTGGGCTTCTCAGGTGCGTGGGGGGCGCCTGCGGGGCGGCGGGGGGCGGGGGCGGCGGGGGCGGCGGGGGCGGGGGGCCGGGCCGGGAGGAGGGTGAGCGCGCCCTGAGGAGGGTGAGCCCACAGGGTCCCCCCAGCCCCGCGGGGTGCAGAGGCGGGGGAGCCCCGGGAGCCCCAGCCCCGCGCCCTCCACCCCGATCTGGGGGTACAGGGGGGGCCGATCTGCCCCGCGGGGCCTCCCGGCCGCTCCGGGGACCGGCGCCGGGGATCCCCAGCCGCGCCCGGCCCGGGGGCAGGAGGGCGGGACCGGCCTCGGCGGAGCGCGGAGGCCCTGGGGTCCGGGTGAGCCCAGCGCCCCTGTGAGCTGCTGCCCCGCATCCCGGCCCCTCCTCCCCTCAGCTCCCCCCTGCGGGGCCTCAGGCCACCCCCCATCCCACCCCCACCGGCCCCTGCCCCTCCCCGGGCAGGAGGAGGTCTCTGAGGCTGGGATCTGCCCCCTCTTCCCCCATTGATACAAGAAAAACCCCGCCAAAGCCGGTGTGGCTCAGTGGATAGAGCGTCGGCTTGCGGACTGAAGGGTCCCGGGTTCGATTCCGGTCAAGGGCACATGCCCGGATGGTGGGTTCGATCCCTAAGGGCGTGCAGGAGGCAGCCGATCCATGATTCTCTCTCATCATTGATGTTTCTAGCTCTCTTTCCTTCTCCCTTTCTCTCTGAAATCAATAAAGAAATATATATATATATATATTTTAAAGAAAAACCCCAATCTTGCAAACCCAGACCCAGCAGCCCCTCCACCCCCAGAGCTGTGCCTGGCCCTGGTGGTGAGGGGGGCCGGGACCCCTCTAACTCCAGGGCTGGGAGGCCGGATGGAGGGTAAATATTGTGGTCCCCGTGGCAGCCCCTGAACTGCCTGAGGCCCTGCCTCCGTGGGTCAACCCTGAGTTCCCCAATGATTCCCGTGGAATCCCCCCCCCCCAACGAGTCAAAACCATAACCACAGGCCCAGCCAGTGTTGCTCAGTGGGTAGCGCCCAATCCATCCCAGGTTCGATTCCGGCCTGGGGCACGCACCACGGTGGCAGGCTCCATCCCTAGCCCCAGCCAATGGATGCATCATCGATGTTTCTGTCTCTCCCTCTCCCTCTCTGCAAGAAATCAATAAAATATACATATATATAATTATTATTTTTTTTTTTTACTTTATTGATTTTTTTACAGAGAGGAAGAGAGAGGGATAGAGAGTTAGAAACATCGATGAGAGAGAATCATCCATCAGCTGCCTCCTGCACACCCCCCACTGGGGATGTGCCCGCAACCAAGGTCCATGCCCTTGACCGGAATCGAACCCGGGACCTTCCAGTCCGCAGGCTGACGCTCTGTCCACTGAGCCACACCGGCTTCGGCAATAAAATATTTTTTTTTAAAAGTGGCTCATGCAGGAAGCAACCAATGGATGCGTCTCTCCCCCCTCCCCCCTCCCCCCCACTCCCTTCCACTTTCTCTTTAAATCAGTGGGAAAATATCCTGTGGAGAGAATTAAAAAAAAGACCTGGAAAAATGGGATAAAATCAGGAAGCAGGCCTGTTCGGTGACCCCTGATCTAGACCGTCCCCAGGCAGCCCCCCCCCCCCGACTCCCCCAGAACCTTCTTCCCCGGGTCACAGTCTATGGTGACGGGTGTAGCTGGGCTTGGGGCCCCGCTCCGGGGTTCCCCTGGCTTCCCCCACGGACCTCCTGTGTCCCAGGTTTTCACACCCACGTGTTGATTTAAAAAAAATATATTTTTATTGACGTCAAAGAGGAAGGGAGAGAGAGGGAGAGAGAGAGAAACATCTGTGATGAGAGAGCATCATGGCCGGCTGCCTCCTGCACGCCCCCCGCTGGGGGATGGAGCCCACAACCCGAGCCTGTGCCCTTGACCGGAATCGAACCCGGGACCTCCCAGTCCACAGTCCAGAGCTCTATCCACTGAGCCACACCAGCCAGGGCTCCACATGTTGCTTTAAACCCCCCCCCCCCTCAGCGGCCAGCAAACGCCGGCAGGTGATCCCCCAATTCCACCTGCCCCCAATGCTGCTCCCCAACCTTCTCAGACCCCCAGCTGCCTGCACCCCGGTCTGCAGACCTCCCTCTGACACCCACCTCGGGGCAGGCGTTGGGGGGGCGTGCATGTCCCCCCAGGTTTCCGGGGCGGGTCTGGGACCCCCAGAGCGAGATCTAGACTCTGTACAGCACAGGTCTTCAAACTGGGGGTGAGGGGGGGCATAAGGGAGTTCCAGGGGTTCCGCACAGACTGGGGGTCCCTTGCCAGGTCCGAGCTCCTAGGAAGGAAGCCGGTTTCCAGGAGCCAGGGCCTCGGGGTGTCAGCTGATGGGGTCCCGGGAGCGGCTGAGTGTCCATGTGACTCGGGCGGGGCAGGAATGCCCGGGGTTGAGCAACACTGAGCTAAACACAGCCCTCCCCGGGCGGAGGGGGCGGCTGGGGCAGATCCACCAGGACCGTGTACGCACTCACACCGCGTGGCCAGATGATGATGGTCTCTGGACGCACAATCATCCGGCTACTCCGTGTCTATCCTATAGAATAAAAGGCTAATATGCACCCTCGACCGGGAGTTCGACCAGCAGGCAGGCCTGCCAACTGCCCATTGTCCCCTCCCCCTGGCCAGGCTGGCTGGACCCCACCCATGCACGAATGCATGCACAGGGCCTCACATACATATACACACACTGAGTGACCAGATTATTATTATTATTTTTTAATATATTGATTTTTACAGAGAGGAAGGGAGAGGGATAGAAAGTTAGAAACATCGATGAGAGAGAAACCTCCATCAGCCGCCTCCTGCACGCCCCCCACTGGGGATGTGCCCGCAACCAAGGTACGTGCCCTTGACCGGAATCGAACCCGGGACCTTTCAGTCCTCAGGCTGATGCTCTATCCACTGAGCCAAACCGGTTTTGGTTATATCTTTTTTTTTTTTTTTTAATTCTTTATTGATTTTTTTACAGAGAGGAAGGGAGAGGGATAGGAAATTGAAACATTGGTGAGAGAAAAGCATCCATCAGCTGCCTCCTGCACACCCCCCACTAGGGATGTGCCCGCAACCAAGGTCCATGCCCTTGACCGGAATCGAACCTGGGACCCTTCAGTCCGCAGGCCGACGCTCTATCCACTGAGCCACACCGGTGAGGGCCCAGAGCAGATCTATACCATTCCAAGCCCCATGGGTCACGGGGGACGGAGGGGGGGAGGGAGGTAAACAGGACGGAAATATACACGTTTTGTCCTGTGACCCGGAGATCGGATACAAGCAGATTGTCCGTTGGGGCGATGTTCTGGGGCGGGTGTGGGTGCAGATGGGGTTCAGGAGGAAGAGAAACTGTGTAAGACGTCAGGAAGGGGCTGCCGGTGTGTCTGGGGCTGAGTATAAAGTCACCAGGACTTGCTCTGGCCTGTGTGGCTCAGTGGGTAGAGCGTCAGTCTACAGACTGAAGGGTCCCGGGTTCGATTCCCGGTCAGGGCACAGGGCGTGTATGTCGTTTGGCTTGTGGGCACAACCCGGCCTGGGCCCTGGCCTCCTGGAGCGTGTGTAGGAGGGAACCAGCCAACGCGTGTCTCTCACATCACTTTTTCTCTCTGTCTCTCCCGCTCACTTCCTCTCTCTCTAAAAATAAATGGGGGAAATACCCTCGTGTGAGGATTAAAGAAGTGAATTTTTAGAGAACTTAAGCATAAGGGGGTGAGGAGAGGGGGGGTAGACAGGGAGGGGCCCACAGGCAATGGGCAGGGCCATGTTCGTAAATAGGGCTTATTTTATTTTATTTTTTAAAATAGGTTTTTATTGATGTCATAGAGTAGGGTTGTCGAACTCAATCAGAGAAGGGGCCAAAATCTAAAATCCAGCCTAAATTGCGGGCCGAATGGTTTACTGAACAGTCATAAACTGTCATTGTGATGGAAACGCAGTGGAGTGCAGTGATGACAGCGCGGTGCGGGCCACATTGCAAGGCCTGGCGGGACGGATTTGGCCCGCGGGCCTTGTGTTTGACACATGTGTCATAGAGGAAGAGCGAGGGAGAGAGAGAAATCGAAACATCAACGACGAGAGAGAAGCATGGATTGTGGCTGCCCCCTCGCGCCCCCAACTGGGCATGTGCACTGACGGGAATCGAACCTGGGACCCTTCAGTCGGCAGGCCGATGCTCTGTCCACTGAGCCACACCAGCCAGGGCTGTAAAGAGGGTTTAGTGGGAACACACCCAGTGGCGTGGCCAGGCCTGATCCTGCAAGGCCTAAGACGTACTCTCCGTCCTTTTCACTGCACGTGGTTGGGAGTAAATAGATTTTTAAAAAAATATACATGGAGTGGCCAGATAATGATGATCTCTAAACACCTAATAATCTGGCCACTCAGTGTGTGTGTGTATATATATATATATATATATATATATATATATATATATATATATATATATTAGAGGCCCAGTGCATGAATTCGTGCATGGGTGGGGTCCAGCCAGCCTGGCCAGGGGGAGGGGACAGGGGCGGTGGGCCGGCCTGCCTGCTGGTCGCACTCCTGGTTGAGGGGACCATTTTCATATGAGCCTTTTATTCTATAGGATACAGACGGAGTGGCCAGATTACTATGCGTTCAGAGATCATCATCATCTGGCCACTCAGTGTGTATTTTTATAGATTTCAGGGAGGAAGGGCGGGAGATAGAAACATCCGTGATGAGAGAGAATCACGGACCGGCTGCCTCCTGCACGCCCCCCACTGGGGATGGAGCCCGCAACCCGGGCCTGTGCCCTGACCGGGAATCGAACCCGGACCTCCTGGTTCCTAGGCCGACGCTCACCACTGAGCTACACCGGCTGGGATGACATATATTGATTTGTTTTTTCTTATATATTTTATTGATTTTTTACAGAGAGGAAGGGAGAGGGATAGAGAGAAACATCGACGAGAGAGAATCATCCATCAGCTGCCTCTAGCACCCCCCCCACTGGGGATGTGCCTGCAACCAAGGTCCATGCCCTTGACCGGAATCGAACCTGGGACCTTTCAGTCTGTAGGCCGACACTCGATCCTCTGAGCCAAACCGGTTTCGGCACGTATATAGATTTTTAAAATTAACTTCTTATCGAGCGTCTCCTGCAGAGGACACAGATCGTTAAGCCTAACTCCTCTCTCTCTCTCTCTCTCTCTCTCTCTCTCTCTCTCTCTCTCTCTCTCTCTCTCTCTCCTCTCTCTCTCTCTCTCTCTCTGCAGAGATGGTTCGCTTCAAGTCCTGGATGCTGCAGGTCGGTACCCACTTCTTCTTTCTGAGGTTTCTCCCGCCTCGGCTTCCTGTTCTCTGGCCAGGCCCGGCCATCTGGGAGGCAGAGGGAGGGGGGAGGGGGACGGGGGAGGGGGAGAGGGAGGGGCGTTTCCAGCTGTGGCCTTCGGGTCTGTCTGCGGGGAAGGGTACAGCTGAGTCACCAGGAGGGACGAGGGCCGGCAACCAGCCTTGCAAGCCTCAGGGTTCATTCTACAGTTTTGTTTTTTTTGTTGTTTTGTTTTTAAATAGGTTTTATTGACTTTTTAAAAAAATATATTTTATTGATTTTTTACAGAGAGGAAGAGAGAGGGATAGAGAGCTAGAAACATCGATGAGAATCATCCATCAGCTGCCTCTTGCACACCCCCTACTGGGATGTGCCCGCAACCAAGGTCCATGCCCTTGACGGGAATCGAACCTGTGACCCTTGAGTCCGTAGGCCGACGCTCTATCCACTGAGCCACACCGGTTTTGGCTGTGTTTTTTTTTTAAATATATTTTTACTAGTAGCCCGGTGCATGAAGTTCGTGCATGGGGGAAGGGAGGGGGTGTCTCTCAGCCTGGCCTGCACCCCCTGCAATCTGGGGCCCCTCAGGGGATAACCGGCAGTCAGACATCCCTCTCACAATCCAGGACTCTGACACCTGACTTCTCCAACGCCCACAGGCCTGGAGCAGCTGGGGGGGCGGGGCTGCTGCCATCTTTTCAGGCTGATTTGCATGCCTCACTCTGATTGGCTGTTGAGCGTAGCGGCGTGATGGTTGATTTGCATGGTTCTCTTTTATTAGTGTAGATTGATGTCAGGGAGGGAGAGAGAGACATCCATGATGAGAGGATCATGGATCAGCTGCCTCCTGCACGCCCCCTACTGGGGATGGAGCCCACCACCCAGGCCTGTGCCCTGACCGGGAATCGAACCCTGACCTCCTGGTTCACAGGTCGAGGCTCAAACGCTGAGCCTCGCCAGCCGGGCACTTTGCCGCACACCTGACCGGCACCAGTGGGGGTGCCCAGGGCTGGTGGATGGGGGCAGGTTCCTGTTCTGGGGCCCCTGGGGCTGGGGTTGCCCTGTGATGCCCTGCCGTTGGCGTCTGAGACCCCGGACGGCAGACACCGCTGCTGGGGTCGGGCCTGGGAATGGCCGGCAGCAGAGACGCCCTCCGCCCGCCGAGCTCTTCCGGGAGCCGCCCCGGGCCCAGGGCCGAGCCGCCCGGCCGGAGCCGGGGCTGAGCCTGTGGCGTCCTCCCAGCACCGGAAGGCCTACAGCACGACGGAGTACCAGCACCGGCTGCAGACCTTCGCCAACAACCGCAGGAGGATCACCGCCCACAACGCCAAGAACCACACGTTCCAAAGTACGGGGAGGGGGGGGCGGGGGGGGGGCGTCCGGGGGCGGGGGACACCCGTCCCGGACCTTCCCCCTCCTATCGGTATCTCTGTACGATGTTTTTCTTTTACAGCGTCCTCCCCCGAGGATGTTCTCCCATCGGGGGGAGGGAGCGCGGGAGGGAGGGGGGAGACAGAGAGGAACATCGATGGGAGAGAGACACAGCGAGGGGCTGCCCCTGCAAGCGCCCCGGGACCAGGGCCCGGGCCGGGAGGAGCCTGTAAGCAGGGAACGTGCCCGTGGCCGGAATCGAACCCGGGACCCGCTGGTTCCCAAGGCCAATGCTCCATCCACTGAGCCACACTGGCCAGGGCCCCCAGGGGGATTCTGAGGGCACAGCCAGGCTTGACCTCGGGCACTGAGCTGGCCTCGGGGCTGACCTTGGGCACTGAGCTGACCTCGGGGCTGACCTCGGGCACTGAGCTGACCCTGGGGCTGACCTCGGGGCACTGAGCTGGCCTCGGGGCTGAGCTGACCCTGGGGCTGACCCCGGGCACTGAGCTGACCTCGGGGCTGAGCTGACCCCAGGCACTGAGCTGACCCCGGGGCTGACCTCAGGCGCTGAGCTGACCTCGGGGCTGACCTCGGGCGCTGAGCTGACCTCGGGGCTGACCTCGGGCGCTGAGCTGACCTCGGGTCTGAGCTGACCCCGGGCACTGAGCTGACCTCGGGGCTGACCTCGGGCGCTGAGCTGACCTCGGGCGCTGAGCTGAACTTGGGGCTGACCTCGGGCGCTGAGCTGACCTCGGGCACTGAGCTGACCTCGGGGCTGACCTCGGGCGCTGAGCTGACCTCGGGCACTGAGCTGACCCCGGGGCTGACCTCAGGCGCTGAGCTGACCCCGGGGCTGACCTCGGGCGCTGAGCTGACCTCGGGCGCTGAGCTGACCTCGGGCGCTGAGCTGAACTTGGGGCTGACCTCGGGCGCTGAGCTGACCTCGGGCACTGAGCTGACCTTGGGGCTGACCCCGGGCACTGAGCTGACCCCGGGGCTGACCTCGGGGCTGAGCTGACCCAGGGGCTGACCCCGGGTCTCCCGTCTTGACATTAATAAAGTGATGTGGCCACGGACCCAGGGCACACCGGGCCCTGTTCTCTGCTTCTCTCTCGGACCCACAGCTCAGTCTGTTTCCGTCTCACGTGTGGCCTGTTTCTCCCTCTGTGCAGTGGGAATAAACCCGTTTTCCGACATGACCTTCGCGGAGTTCAAGCACAAGTACCTGTGGTCGGAGCCTCAGGTGGGCGCCTGCGCCGTGGCCGACCCTGCGTCCCTTCGCTGCCACCTCGGGAAACCGCACACCGCCCTCCCCGCACTGGCCCGGCCGCCGCTGGGCGGACCCGAGAGGCCAGCTCCCCCAGCCCCTCAGCCCAGCCCGGCTGCCGGGTAACATGCAGACAGATGCTGGGCTGAAAGTGAAATTTTAGTTAAAAAGGGGAAAAAAGATGATATTTTATTTTATTTTTAAAATGTATTTTATTGATTTTTTGCAGAGAGGAAGAGAGAGGGATAGAGAGTTAGAAACGTGGATGAGAGAGAATCATCAATCAGCTGCCTCCTGCACACCCCCTACCGGACATGCCCGCAACCAAGGTCCATGCCCTGGGCCGGAATCGAACCCGGGACCCTGCAGACCACAGGCTGATGCTCTATCCACTGAACCACACCGGTTTCAACAAGGATGATATTTTATTTTATTTATTTTTAAAATATATTTTATTGATTTTTTACAGAGAGGAAGGAAGAGGGATAGAGAGTTAGAAACATCGATGAGAGAGAATCATCGATCAGCTGCCTCCTGCACACCCCCCACTGGGGATGTGCCCGCAACCAAGGTGCATGCCCTTGGCCGGAATCGAACCCGGGACCTTTCAGTCTGCAGGCCGACGCTCTATGCACTGAGCCAAACCAGTTTCAGCTGGGGGAGCTTTTTAAAAAAAAAAAAATTTTTTTTTTTATTGATCTCAGAGAGAGAGAGAGAGAGAGAGAGAGAGAGAGAGAGAGAGAGAAACATCCATGATGCGAGAGAATCACAAACCGGCTGCCTCCTGCACACCCCCCACTGGGGATCGATGGGTAGATCTGGGATAGGGGCCACACGCAAACAGAAGAGACGAGACGAGAAATAATCATTTGGGCCAGATCCAGTGTGGCTCAGTGGATAGAGCGTCGGCCTGCGGACGGAAGGGTCCCGGGTTCAATTCCGGTCAAAGGCATGGACCTTGGTGGCGGGCACATCCCCTGTGGGGAGGTAGGGGGAGGCGTATAGGAGGCAGCTGATGGATGTTTCTCTCTCATGGATGTTTCTGTCTATCCCTCTCCCTTCCTCTCTGTAAGAAAATCAATACAATATATTTAAAATAAATTTAAAAAACTTTAAAAAAAGGTTGGCCTTTGTTCTTGCAGAACTGCTCGGCCACTAAAAGCAACTACCTGCGCGGCCGGGGCCCCTACCCCAGCTCGGTGGACTGGAGGAAGAAAGGACCCTTCGTCTCCAAAGTGAAAAACCAGGTGCGCCCCCCCCCAGCGCCCCTCCCGCTCCCCCTGCGGCGCCCACGCCCAGCCCCGCGGGACCGGGCCGCAGGCCTTATCGCCCCTGTGCAGCCCGTGAGGCAAGCACCGTCTGTCTGTCCGTTAACAGGTGATGAAACCGGGGTGCAGAGGGCGCAGGGCGGGGGGGCGGGGACCATGGGGGCGGGGGCAGGGGCACAGCAGAGGCTGCTGGGACGGCAGGACGGGGCGGGACAGGTGGGGGCGGGTGTCTGTGCGTGTGGCGGGAGGAGGGGTATCTAGGAGGCAGACAGGCAGGCTGGGCCTGGGCAGCCTGAGGTAGGGGGTGGGGCGTTGATGGGGGTGATTTGTTTTACAAATATATATATATATATATTTAATATATATTCTTAGCCGGAATCGGTTTGGCTCAGCGGTAGAGCGTCCGTCTGTGGACGGAAAAGTCCCAGGTTCGATTCCGGTCCAGGGCATGTACATTGGTTGCGGGCACATCCCTGGTAGGGGGCGTGCAGGAGGCGGCTGGTCGATGTTTCTCTCTCATCGACATTTCTAGCTCTCTATCTCTCTCCCTTCCTCTATTTAAAAATCAATAAAATATATTAAAAAAACATTCAAAAAATATATATTTTTATTGATTTTTTAGAGAGAGGAAGGGAGAGGGAGAGCTAGAAACACCGATGAGAGAGAACCATCCATCAGCTGCCTCCTGCACGCCCCCCACTGGGGATGTTCCCGCAATCAAGGTACATGCCCTTGACCAGAATCGAACCCGGGACCTTTCCGTCCACGGGCCGACGCTCTATCCACTGCGCCACACCGGTTTCGGCAGCTTTTTTTTTATTTTTATTTTTTTTACTATATCTTATTGATTTTTCACAGAGAGGAAGGGAGGAGAGTTAGAAACATCGATGAGGAGAGAGGATCACTGATCAGCTGCCTCCTGCACGCCCCCCACTGGGGATGGAGCCCACAGCCCGGGCCTGTGCCCTGAGCGGGAATCGAACCCTGACCTCCTGCTTCCTAGGTGGACGCTCAACCACGGAGCCAGGAGGTCCGGGCCTGGGGAGCGGTTAGGGCTGGGACTGCGGGTGGAACGCGATGGGAGGAGGGAAGGTGAGAGAGGTTTAGACAGAGAGCCTGGCCACGGGGAGGGAGGAGGCGGGGCCTCGGGAGGGAGGAGGCGGGGCCTCGGGAGGGAGGAGGCGGGGCCACGGGGAAGGAGGAGGCGGGGCCACGGGGAAGGAGGAGGCGGGGCCACGAGGAGGGAGGAGGCGGGGCCACGGGGAAGGAGGAGGCGGGGCCACGGGGAGGGAGGAGGCGGGGCCACGGGGGGGGAGGAGGCGGGGCCACGGGGAGGGAGGAGGCGGGCCCACGGGGAGGGAGGGGGCGGGCCCACGGGGAAGGAGGAGGCGGGGCCACGGGGAGGGACCAGGGGCACAGGGAGGGAGGAGGCGGGGCTACGGGAAGGAGGTGGGGCCACGGGGAGGAGGTGGGGCCTCGGGGAGGGAGGAGGCGGGGCCTCAGGGAGGGAGGAGGCGGGGCCATGGGAGGGAGGGCCCGGGACGCGGGAAGGGAGGGGCCGGGGAAGGTCAGAGGGGCCGACGGGCGGCCTCACGCGGTGCGGTGCAGTCACGGACCCGCCCCCTCCAGGGCGGCTGCGGCAGCTGCTGGACCTTCTCCACCACCGGGGCCCTGGAGTCCGCCATCGCCATCAAGACCGGCAAGATGCTCTCGCTGGTAAGCGGCTGGCACAGCGGGCAGGAGGCACCACCCCGAAGGCCGTGCCAGCCCCTCCCGGGCGGGCAGCGGGGCCAGGGGAGCGGGGCGCAGCCCCCCGCCCCGGGCCCTGTGCCACCACGGACCGGGGCCCCGGCCCCCCAACCAGCCGGCTGTGGGGTTGGCGCTTCGGACACGGGGCGGCCCCACCTTCGGGGACGGGCTGTCTCCAGACCCAGAGCCGGTGGGCATGGCTCCGCGGGCAGTCGGCGCCCGGGGCCCGGCCCCACCGCGCTCACTGGTGTCCTTACCCCCAGTCGGAGCAGCAGCTGGTGGACTGCGCCCAGAACTTCAACAACCACGGCTGCAAGGGGTACGGCCCGCGCTCCGAGGGGCCCGGGAGGGGCCGGGCGGGGAGGGAGGGCTGCCTGGCTCGCCCTGTGCCCCGGACCTGCCGGGCCCCCTCTGGTGACTGTCCTGCCTCTCACAGGGGCCTCCCCAGCCAGGCCTTCGAGTACATTCGCTACAACAAGGGCATCATGGGCGAGGACACTTACCCCTACACCGGCCAGGTAACCCCCCGCCCGCCCCCACCCCGCACGCCCCTCCCCACCCCCTCCTCAGGCCCGGGCCGCCCCGCCTGCCGGAACCCAGCTCCCTCTGCCTCCCCGGGGCCACGCCTCCTCCTCTCTTATTATTATTATTTTTAAATATATTTTTAATTGATTTCAGAGGAGGAAGAGAGAGGGATAGATAAATAGAGAATCATTGATCCGCTGCCTCCTGCACGCCCCCTATTGGGGATCAAGCCTACAGCCCAGGCATGCGCCCTTGGCCAGAATCGAACCTGGGACCCTTCAGTCCGCAGGCCGACGCTCTATCCACTGAGCCACACCGGGAGAGGGCTCCTCCTCCTCTTTTATTTTTTGACTAGAGGGAGGCCTGGTGCACGAATTCCTGCTCCAGTGGGGTCCCGCCGGCTGGCCTGTGGGATTCGGCCGAAACCGGCTCTCCGACATCCCCCGAGGAGTCCCGGATGGCGAGAGGGCACAGGCCAGGCCGAGGGACCCCACGGGTGCATGACTGGGACCAGGGAGGGACACTGGAGGGCTCCAGGGCCTGTCCAGCCAGGCTCGCCCAGTCCCTATCGGCCGGACCCCAGCAGCAAGCTAACCTCCAGCGTGTGCCCCCTGGTGGTCAGTGCACGTCATAGCAGCCTTAGCACAGCGTTCGCACATTATGCTTTGATTGGGTGGGCGGACGGCCAAACGCTTAGCATAGTAAGCTTTTATTCTATAGGATTATGTTTTGATTTCAGTAAGGAAGGGAGGTGGGGAGAGAGAGAGAGAAATCTCAGTGATGAGAGAGAGTCATGGATCAGCTGGCCCCTGCACGTCCCCCGACTGAGGACCTAACCTAGGGGTGTCGAACTCAATCAGAGAAGGGGCCAAAATCTAAAATCCAGCCTAAATTGCGGGCCGAATGGTTTACTGAACAGTCATAAACTGTCATTGTGATGGAAACGCAGCGGAGTGCAGTGATAACAGCGCGGTGCGGGCCACATTGCAAGGCCTGGCGGGACGGATTTGGCCCGCGGGCCTTGTGTTTGACACATGTGATGTCATGCCCTGGGCGTGAGCCCTGACCAAGAGTCGAACCCTGACCTCCTGGTTCAGAGGTTGACACTCAGCCACTGAGCCCTGCCTGGCCTCCTCCCTCCTCTGGGGCTGCTGCTTGTGATGTGGCCCCCCGGGTCTGACGCGGTGCCTCCCCCCACCCCGGGTCCGGGGTCCGGGTGGTGCCCCCCCTTACCCCCCCAGCTCCCACCAAGTCTCCTGCCGCTGGCCTGTGAGCTTCTGGGAAACCCACGTCCCCCAGGCCCCTCGCCGGCCCCAGGCCCGGCCCCCGCGGCGTCCACTCCTCCGTGAGGCCAGGCTGCGTGGGGGAGGCCCTGACCTGTGACCCCTGCCCTTTGCCCTCCGCAGGACGGCAAGTGCAAGTTCCAGCCGGAGAAGGCCGTCGCCTTCGTCAAGGACGTGGCCAACATCACCCTGGTGAGTCCCTTAAACCGCGGGGCCCGGGCCCACCCGGTCTGCACCCCAAGCTTCCTCCGTTTTCTTTCCTTTTTAATACATTTTTTAATTGATCTTTTACAGAGAGGAAGGGAGAGGGAGAGAGAGCTAGAAACATCGATGAGAGAGAAACATCGACCAGCTGCCTCCTGCACGCCCCCCACTGGGGATGTGCCTGCAACCAGGGCACATGCCCTTGACTGGGATCGAACCCGGGACCCTTCGGTCCGCAGGGTGATGCTCTATCCACTGACCCACACCGGTTAGGGCTCAATAAACTATATTTTTTAAAAGATAAAAACAAAACAAGGTGGGGGACGGCGAGGCCTGTGGATTCCCGGTCTGGCCCTGCCCGGGCCCGGGGTGAGTTCAATGCTGACCCCGTGGAGCCGGCTCGCGGGTGGCTGGATGGCCTCCCGGGATGTGACAGGCCCTGAGAGAAAAGGTTCCCACCCCGTCCCTCCCGCCTCGGGCACGTCTGCACGGCCCTGCCCGACCGACCGACCGACCGACCGACAGACCGACCATGGGTCCAAGAACCGCCGCTTGGAGTGGGGCGGGGAGGGGACCCCTGTCCACCCCTGCGCCCCGTCCGCCCCCAGAACGACGAGGAGGCCATGGTGGAGGCGGTGGCGCTGTACAACCCCGTGAGCTTCGCCTTCGAGGTGACCAGCGACTTCATGATGTACCGGAAGGGCATCTACTCCAGGTGAGACCGCCCAGCCCCTGCCCCACGCCTTCCTGGGTGGGCAGGGCGGGGGCAGGGCCCGGCAGGGCTGGGGCGGGGCCTGCAGGATGAGGGCGGGGCCTGGTAGGGTGAGGGCGGGGCGGGGCCAGGTAGGGAGGGGGCGGGGCTGGCAGTGCGGGGGTCGGGTCAGGTAAGGCAGGGGCGGGGTTAGGCAGGGTGAGGGCGAGGCCTGGCAGGGAGGGGCGGGGTCAGCAGGGCGAGGGCGGGGCCAGCCAGGGCGGGGCCAGGAAGGATGAGGGCGGGGTCAGCAGGGCAAGGGCAGGGCCTGATAGGGCGGGGCGGGTCAGGTAAGGCAGGGGCGGGGTCAGGCAGAGTAAAAGCGAGGCCTGGCAGGGGGCGGGGCCAGGAAGGGCGGGGGCGGGGCTGGCGGGGCGAGGGCGGGGCCAGGCGGGGCGGGGCCAGCACCTCACCACTCCCTCCCGCAGCGCCCCTTTGCGTGCTCACAGCTGAGAGCAGGCTCCCAGGGCAGAGAGGGTGGGGGTGAGGGTGGGGGTGAGGGTGGGGGTGAGGGTGGGGGGTCGGGCCCAGGCCACAGGTCAGAGGAGCCGCCTGAGTTTCCAAAACCCGGTTCAAAACTCTGAAAGTGCGGAACGGGGAGAGAGCGGCTGCTCCCACGGCACCCACGGGCTCCCCGCCGGTGCCCGCTCCTGAGGCAGCCGGGAAGCTCCCCCAGCCTCCCCCCCAACACACACACCCCGAGATGCTGGCGCCCCAGGGCTTGTTCCTCAGCATCTCCTGCTGCCTCCAGCTGGACGGAGGCCTGGGGAGACCTCGGGGCCTAAGGAGCTCAGACCTGAGCTGCTCCCTCCCTGGGCGGCCGCCCCGCCCACCAGGCCTGCCCTGGGAGCCCCCGTCCTCCCTGAGGCTGGTCCCTTCTCCAAGCTCATCTTCCATCAAACCGTCCCCCTCCCCCGGCATCCCGCCCAGGGCCCGGCCCAGCCGCACACAAGGGCCCTGTTCCCTTCCCAACCCACCCACCCGTCCCCTCCGAGTCAGATCCCCTCCTCGGGGCTCCCTCAGCCTCCACAGTCGAGGCCGTGTGTGTGGAAGCAGCTGGACGGAAGTTGGGGGTTGGGGGGCGCAAGGAGTGAGAGCAGAAGTGTGCGTGCTGCTGGGGTGCGGGGACCTCCCCCAGGCCTGGCGCTGCCAGGAACGCCAGCTGAACTAACACAGAGCCCACAGTCTCTCCTCAGAACCTCCTGCCATGTTTTAATTGACTTCAGAGAGGAAGGGAGAGGGAGAGAGGGGAACATCCATGATGAGAGAAAGAATCATGGATCGGCTGCCTCCTGCACGCCCCACACTGGGGATCGAGCCCACAGCCCGGGCATGTGCTCTTGGCCGGGAATCGAACCCGGGACCCTGCAGGCCGCAGGCGGACGCTCTCCCCACTGAGCCACACCGGCCCTTTCTTGATGGAACCGAGTTCCCCGGTTCTGGGAAGCCTGCTGTTTGCTTGGAAATAAGCACCAGCGCGACAAAGCCCTTGCAAGCAGACTCTAGGCTTTGCGGGACCAGCCAGGGAGCCCTTAGGCCTCATTCCCACAGCTGGGCGGGGCCAGGCAGAGAGGGGCGGGGCCAGGCAGGGTCATAGAGTGGGTGGGGGCGTGGCCAGGCAGGACAGGGGCGTGGCCAGGCAGGATCAGGCAGAGTGAGGGCAGGGCCAGGTGGGCGAGGGCGGAGTCAAGCAGGGAGGGGCGAGGCCTGATAGGATGGGGGTCGGGCGAGGGCGGGGTTAAGCAGATAGGGGGCGTGGCCAGTACATCGCGGCTCCCTCGCCTGCGCCCCTTTGCTCATGCACAGCCAGGCCCCCCTTCTGGAGCGTGTTCCCCCTCCTCCCCCCACATTGTCAGCCCGTTTCCCTCTGTTTCCCAGCACTTCCTGCCATAAAACCCCAGACAAGGTCAACCACGCGGTGCTGGCTGTGGGGTACGGAGAAGAAAACGGGAAGCCCTACTGGATCGTCAAGAACTCCTGGGGCCCCCAGTGGGGGATGAACGGGTAGGCGGCAGGTCCCTGTGCTGGGGGGCAGGGGGTGCGGGAGGGGGTATCTGCTCAGGTCGGGAGCTTTGGGGGAAGGGGGGTGAGGGAGGGAAAGGAAACCTCCATGCCAGGGCCCCCCTAGCAGCCCCTCGCCTGGCCCTGTGCTGGGCCCAGATCTGGACAATTCGGTCCAGGTCCAGGCAGCAAGTCAGTACCCGATGGTGGTCAACAGCGCCCCCTTGTGGGAGAAAAGGGCTAGAACCAGTGGCCTAGGCATGAACACCCAGTGGCCAGATGATGATCTCTGAACACATGATCACTGGCCACTCAGTGGACAGCTTATAGAATAAAAGGCTAATATGCACATTATCCCCTCGACCGGGAGTTCGACCAGCAGGCTAGCTGGACCCCACCCATGCACGAATTCATGCTCCTGGCCTCTCACACACACACACACACACACACACACACACACACACAGAGTGGCCAGATTATTATGCATCCTGAGATAATAATCTGGCCACTCAGTGTATGTTAAGGTTTTTATTGATATCAGTGCAACGGTTCCCAACCTTTCTAATGCTGTGACCCTTTATTTTTTAAAATATATTTTATTGATTTTTCACAGAGAGCTAGAAACATTGATGAGAGAGAAACATTGACTCAGCTGCCCCCTGAACACCCGACACAGGGGATGTGCCTGAAACCCATGTACCGTATTTTTCGGACCATAAGACGCACTTTTTTCCCCCCAGAAGTGGGGGGGGGAAAGTCCCTGCGTCTTATGGTCCAAATATAGCCTACACATATACTTTAAAAAAAAAGTTTTTTTACTTGCCCGGCTCTGTGTGGTCTCTGTGTGCTTGCCCGGCTCTAAAATGGTTCTAAATGCTGCTGTTTACTTTACAGGGTTGATTACATGTGTTTATGACTGTGATGTTGGGTTTTAATGCACATAAAATATTTTAGGACACTATTTGTTTCAGAATCTTTTTTCCTTCATGTCCCTTCTCTAAAAACTGGTGCGTCTTATGGTCCGAAAAATACGGTACATGCCCTTGACCGGAATCAAACCCGGGACCCCTCAGTCCATAAGCCGACGCTCTATCCAATGAGCGACTCAGGTTTCGGCTGCCATGACTCCATGTTGTGGTGGCCCCCTCAGCCATAAAATTATTTTCAGCAGCGGTTCTCAAGCTGTGGGCCGCAACATGAGGAACTGTATTAAAGGGTCACGGCATTAGAAAGGTTGAGAACTAATGTATAAGAGGGAGAGGGGAGAGAGAAACATCCATGAAGAGAGAGAATCCTGGACCGGCTGCCTCCTGCACGCCCCCCATGGGGACCGAGCCCACACCCCGGGCCTGTGCCCTGACCGGGAATCGAACCCTGACCTCCTGGTTCTTGGGTCAACGCTCAGCCGCTGAGCCACGCTGGCAGGGCCCCTGAGGTGACTTTGTCCACGTCCTTACTTTGGGGGGGCCCCGGTGGTAATGGAATAACTCCGGGGGAGGGGGCGGCTAGGGAGGGCTCTCCAGGGGCCCTCAGGGGGTTCTGGGAGGACTGAGAAGAAGGTGGAGGCGACCGGATCAGGTCAGTGATGTCCTGGAGGCGAACAAGCCCAGGGCCACCGTGTTAGCAGCAATTCGGGGGTTCATCCGTGGCGTCGGGCCTCGGGGGCCGCAGACACCCGCAGAGGCCTCAGCCCGCGCTCCCTCCCGCAGGTACTTCCTCATCGAGCGCGGGAAGAACATGTGCGGGCTGGCGGCCTGCGCCTCCTACCCCATCCCACAGCTGTGAGCCCACGGAGATCCCAGGATGCCCCGCTCCAGCCGGGAGACCGTGGGGGCCCCCAGCCCTCGCTCTGCATCCTCGCCCCGACTGAGGAGGAGGAGGAAGAGGAGGCGTTCCAGCCACCGGCCCGCCTGCCTCCCCACAGCGGACACCAGCCGTGCCTTACTTAGCCCGGACCTAACGGGCTCCAGGATATTCTCTCCCCCAGAGGCCTCGTGCACCCAGTAGGGTGTGCGGGGCCTCTGTGTGTTCTTCCCCCAATAAACGCTCAGCGAGATCCTCCGGGCCGGGCCTGCGCCCTGTCATTCAGTCGGGGCCGATGGGGCCCCCTGGGGGCACCGGCCTCCGAGGGGGGCGGGGAAAGGGGGCGCCAGGGGCTGCCCAGGAGTCTGGGTGATCATGGGGAGAGCATTTCAGGACACGGGTGCCTGGGGCCTCTCGTGACACCCTCTGTGCAGACACTGCGATGTCGTTTTTTAAATTATTTTACTAGAGGCCCAGTGCACAAACTCGTGCACAGTTGGGTCCGGCTGGCCCCGCCTCCAGGGGGACCCCACTGGGGGAGGGGCCGTGGGAGGGCTGTAGGGCGTGTCCGGCCTGTCTGGCTCAGTCCTGAGCCCAGCAGCAAGCTAACAGCCGTCATAGGGATCGGGTGAGTAGCCTTAGCATCTCATTAGCATATTATGCTCTGATTGGTTGAATAGACGACGGGACACTTAGCATATTAGGTTTTTATTATACATTTTATTGATTTCAGTGAGGAAGGGGGAGAGATACATCTATGATGACAAAGAATCACGGATCGGCTGCCTCCTGCAGGCTCCCCACTGGGGATGGAGCCCGCAACCCAGGCATGTGCCCTTGGATGGACACTGAGCCACTACCCACTGAGCCACACCAGCCAGGGCCAGACCGTGTTGTCAATCCTGGGGTGACGTGGGATAAAGCCCAGCCCAGGAGCCGCTGCAGCCCGCCAGGGGGCCCCGGACCCCACAGCACACCCTCCAGCGCGTTTAGTTTATTCCACGAAACCTCCACCAGGCCCAACCCCGCAGATGCTCCTCCACAGACAGCGAGCCACCGTGCACCGCGTACGGGGGCCCTGGCAGCAGGAGCGCAGGCGTGTTTCTCTGTCACACACGCTCATTACACCCATGAGCCCGCCCTCGGGGCTCCCTCAGCGAATCCCCAGGTTCTCTAATGCAGCAGTGCCCAGCTGGTCCCACCCGCAGGCAGCAAGTTCATTGTTTTCTTTTTTAAAAATATGCTTTGATTTCTTACAGAGAGGAGGGGAGAGAAATAGAAACATCGATGAGAGAGAATCATCCAGCTGCCTCCTGCACACCCCCCCCATCCCACCGGGAATGTGCCCACAACCAAGGTCCGTGCCCTTGACCGGAATCAAACCTGGGACCCTTCAGTCCGCAGGCTGATGCTCTATCCACTGAGCCACACCTATTAGGGCTCAAGTTTAGTTTCAGACGGCCCAGTGGGGTGACGTCAGTTCTCTGGGCTTGCGAGGCTGCCATGCAGGCCTCCCCGGGGCTGTCAGGTCAGCACGTCGGGCCTGAGTCCCAGGCCAGCCCTCCATCCGGCTCTGGGGGGGCTCCCCGCTTTGGGGGTGCCTGCAGGGAGGTCAGAGCTCATGCCGAGCACAGGGTAGGTCAAGGACAAAGCCCCCTCCCGAGCGAGACCACATCCCGGCTCAGCCACCCGCCCTCCCTGTCTGTCAGTCCTTCCAGGCAGAAGCCACCTCCATCTGTTCTTCTGAAACCAACCACTAAGCCCTCGTCTCCTTCCTCCTTTCACTGCCTCTTTGGCTGTTATTGTTCCCAATCTTCTCCATGTCCAAACACGAGCAAAACACACTCCCCCAACAATGTCTGCCCCTCTCCCTCCTCCCCACGGCTCTCCCTCCTCCCCATGGGCCACCCGCCTACCACGGGCAGAGGGCTCATCGGCAGGAGCAGAACGGCCGGACGCTCATGCCTCCCTCTGCGGGGTTCCCATGTTGCGCTGCCCTCGGCCCGGCCCCAGCCCGATCCCAGGGAACAGCCGGGGCTGAACCTGAATGAGAAGTGCTGGGATCCCTGGGAATGGGAGACTGGCCTGCTTTGTGAGGGCATGATGGCCAATTTGCATTTTACATTCTTATTACACAGGATGACTTAGTGTTCAAGTGCCAATTTGCCATGCGCAGTCCGTCTCTCAGAGATGCTTGAAATTCGTTCATCACGCTGTCTCACGTGCCTCGTGTTCTTATGCGCTCACTGAACATTCTACCTGCAAATCCTCTGAAGGAATGACGACTCACTGTAGGCCTCAGGGAGGGAGAACCGTGAGGGTCCTAACTCCTGGGCGGCCCTCGGCCTCACGCTCTTTAGCCCCAGTGAGACTATCAAAAGTGCCAGCCTACTGAAACCGGTGTGGCTCAGTGGATAGCGCGTCGGTCTGCAGACTGAAAGGTGGCAGGTTCGATTCCAGTCAAGAGCATGTACCTTGGTTGCGGGCACATCCCCAGTCGGAGTTGTGCAGGAGGCAGCTGGTCGATGATTCTCTCTCATACGATGTTTCTAACTCTCTATCCCTCTCCTTTCCTCTCTGTAAAAAATCAATAAAATATATTAAAAAAAAAAAGAAAAAAGAAAAAAGTCAGTGGCCAGCCTGCCTGCCAGGCGCAGTGACGGAGGCAAACACCGGCGAGGTACAGGCAGCACTGAGCACGGGCCCCATCCCTGGACCATCTTCCCACAGGTCCTCCCGCCCCCTCAGGCCTCCACCGCCTCAGGCACCTCGTGGGACTCTGCACCTTCCCCCCCCCCCCCCCCCCGGAACCTCAGTGGGAGGCGGGATGGAACCGCCAAGGGGCCGCCCCTCCCCTCAGAGCCTCTGGGAAGCCCACCTTGCTCCCTCCCTCACGTTCACAATCCTTTTCTCCGAAAACACGTTAGAGATTTTATACACAATATCCCTGTTTTCTAGGGATAAACTTCGGGGTGGGCGTTTCATTTCTCATTTAGTCTCTCCTTTTTGTGCTCATCTATATATTTACAAGAAAGTAAAAATAGCCTGGTCAGGTACGGCTCAGTGGATAGAGCGTCGTCCTGTGGACTGAAAGGTCCCAGGTTCGATTCCGGTCAAGGGCATGGACCTTGGTTGTGGGCACATCCCCAGTGGGGGGTGTGCAGGAGGCAGCTGATCGATGACTCACTCTCATTGATATTTGTAACTCTCTATCCCTCTCCCTTCCTCTCTATAAAAAAGTCAATAAATATTTTAAAATAAAGTACATGATCCCTGAAATATGGTATTTTTAATAGACTGTAATGCTGTTACCCACTTGATTTCTCCATTAAAAAACATGTGAAAGCAAGCCTCAAGGCAAACAAAACCATCATACCACCACCACCACCACCACCACCCCCCCACCCCCCGGTCCGCCCCACACACAGTCTAGTGCGGCCAGGACAAGTGGTATCAGTGAAGAGTTTGACCTTTAACCTAACCCAGCTGCCCTCCCATATTTCAAGAACTATCAAAGAGAAGGACAAAAGTTTTATCGAGGGGAGCGGCACGGTTTTGAATAACTATTGGGGCTGCAGAAAGAACGGGGCGAGGGGCGATGTGGTGTTAAGACTAGAACACCATTGAGATCCACACTCCGGCCCTATGCAGGGTGGAGCTAAAGGAGGTTTACAGCTCCGAGGAGTGAAAGCTTATTCCTGTTATTATTATTATTTTAATATATTTTATTGATTTTTCAGAGAGGAAGAGAGAGGGAGAGAGAGCTAGAAACACCGATGAGAGAGAATCATCAATCAGCTGCCTCCTGCACGCCCCCTACTGGGGATGTGCCCGCAACCAAGGTACATGCCCTTGACCGGAATCGAACCCGGGACCTTTCAGTCTGCAGGCCGATGCTCTATCCACTGAGCCAAACCGGTTCCGGCTTAGAGGCTCGATGCACGAAATTTGTGCAAGAGTAGGCCTTTCCTCCCTAACCAATAAGGCTCAATGGGTAGAGCGTCAGCCTGCAGACTGAAGGGTCCCGGGTTCGATTCCGGTCAAGGGCATGGACCTTGGTTGCGGGCTCATCCCCGGTGGGGGGCGTGCAGGAGGCAGCTGACGGATGTTTCTCTCTCATCGGCGTTTCTGATTCTCTCTCCCTTCCTCTCTGTAACAAATCAGTAAAATAATACTTTACAAATAGCGTAGGCCTTCCTTCCCCAGCTGCTGGCACTTCACCAGCTTCCCTGTGCCCGCTGGCAGGCAGCCGGAGCTCGGACTTCCCTCGTAGCCCTGGCTTCGTCTGCAAGGTCACCTGGAAGGATGCCAGGTCTAATTAGCACGATTATGCTTTTATTATTATAGAGTGTATTACTTCCCACACCGACCCCTGCACACCTCCTGTCGCCCCACCCTGTACAGCAAGGAACACGGTAAGAACACATCGCTGGTGAACAGCCCTGAGCAGCAGTACGAGATGGGAGTGAGCCACCGAGAGACGGTCAGTCCCCGGCAAGGCACCTCCCTGTCCTTCAAGTCCAACCCTTTCGTGTGATTGGACCACCGGCTGGAGGAGGCGGGACCCTACAAATTCTACATCACAGGGCACGAGGCACGGACTCACCGAGCTGGTTGGTTTAACAAATACCAGGAAGTGCAAATATTTAGAAGACCCAGGTTTTTTTTTTGTATATTAGAATAAAATGGCTCAAACAATCATAACTGTGCATGTGGATGGATGTCAGACGTCCTGATCACGTGACAGTCTGTACTCAGTATCAAGTCCCGCTGTCCCCTGACACTAGTATGTCAGACGGGTTTCCACGTGAATCTCATTCAGTGTTTTGGTAAGTAACACAAAGGCCGTCTTAACCCACATTTAACCCCAGTTGTTATCACACAAGTTATTCTGGAGTCATGTCAAGAATTATACTCAGGCCAGGCTGGTGTGACTCAGCGGTGGGTGCACCTGCCTGGGTTGTGGGCTTGGTCCCCAGTAGGGGGCGTGCAGGAGGCAGCCAATCAATGCTCCTCTCCCTTCCTCTCTGAAATCAATGAAAATACATTAAAAAATAAAAGATACTAGTCAGCCCTGGGTGGTGTGGCTCAGCTGGTTGAGTGCTGTCCCCTGCACCAAAAGGTTGCCAGTTCGAAACCTGCTCAGGGCCCAGGCCCGGGCTGTAGACTCCGTCCCTGGTAGGGGGCATGCAGGGGGCAGCTGGTGGATGTTCGTTCTCACATGGAGCAATCTCTCTCCCTCCCTCTTAAAAACAAACAAACAAACAAACAAAGAAGGATTACTAAATTTAAAAATACTAAGAAAGCACTTCACAGACTACGTCCAGGGGAGCCACTGCCTTCTCGGGGCGCCCCTGCCAGGGTCCTGCTCCAACACTACATGGAAGTGGTTGTGGGGGGTCTTAGCGGACTATGAAAGAACACCCTAAACTAGGGGTGTCGAACTCAATCAGAGAAGGGGCCAAAATCTAAAATCCAGCCTAAATCGCGGGCCGAATGGTTTACTGAACAGTCATAAACTGTCATTGTGATGGAAACGCAGCGGAGTGCAGTGATGACAGCGCGGTGCGGGCCACATTGCAAGGCCTGGCGGGACGGATTTGGCCCGCGGGCCTTGTGTTTGACACATGTGCCCTAAACCAACAATGACTGACGGCAAGCTGTCACCCAGGTGAAAAACCCCCAATGCCCTAAGTCAGCGGTCAGCAAACTGCGGCTCCTGCGCCACATGCGGCTCTTTGGCCCCTGGAGTGTGGCTCTCCCACAAAATACCACGTGCGGGCGAGCACGGACAGTGCGATTGAAACTTCATGGCCCATGCGCAGAAGTCGGTTTTCACCTCTCAAAAGAAATTCCAATTGCCAAAACCGGTGTGGCTCAGTGGATAGAGCGTCGGTCTGCGGACTGAAAGGTCCCAGGTTCGATTCCAGTCAGAGGCATGGACCTTGGTTGCGGGCACATCCCCAGTTGGGGGGTGTGCAGGAGGCAGCTGATCGATGTTTCTCTCTCATCTATGTTTTTAACTCTCTCTCCCTCTCCCTTCCTCTCTGTAAAAATATCAATGAAATATATTTTTTTTTAAAAAAGAAAGAAAAGAAATTACAATTGTACTGTTGACATTTGGCTCTGTTGGCTAATGAGTTTGCTGGCCTCTGCTCTGAGTGAGTGACAGTTCAGGAAAAACGCAGCAACGTGAACCTCTAACTCCGAAGCCCCGAGGCCAAACCAGAACAGCCCACCGCCTGAGACCAGCCTCACCACGCGGGGAACACGCAGACGCACCCACACAAACACGCGCGCTTTGAAATTTGAAGAAAAGATTTATTGGAGATCTGAAAAACAATTCCTAAAAGATTGGCGTTTCCAGAAAACCGCGGCTACAGGAGGCGTCGCGTCTATGGTGGGAGAACGTGCATGAGACACAAATACAAAACCGGAACAAGTCACCGTCCTCGGCCGTCGGAGCCCGCGGGGCCGGGGCCGGGCCGGGGCCGGGGCCGGGGCCGGGCGGCTGCGGAGAAGCGCGTTATGTCAGCACCGTAAAAAAAAGGAGCACGGACAGAGGGCGGGCGCTATGTACACGAGAACCTTTGGCACTAGGGGTCAGCGTCTGTCAGAGCATCACACGTCTTAGGAAAGTGCGTAGTGTCAAAGGAGGACCACCAGCGTGAGAGCAGCTTCGGCGCTAGGCACAGAAGACCAGAGAGCGCGTCTCTGTTGTCCGTCCGCACACTGGCAGCGACTTCCAAATGAAAGAGAGAGAAGGAAAAGGAAAAAGGAGCTGGAACCCCTTTTATTTCTCTGTTAAAATCCAACAGAAAACAACATGGACTCTGGTACACTAACGTTTGCGGAGGACGGCGTCTGTACAGGACGAGGACGGAGGCGGCCGGACCCGCGGGCTCACACGGCCTTCCGGTGGTACTCGGGGGGCGCCACCTCGTAGTCACTGGCGCTGAACAAAGCCGCCGAGTTCTTCGCCAGGTACCTGCCAACACGTCACTCATTAGAACCCGCACGTGGAACTGGAGGCCGCGGAACGAAATGCGTGTCCGTGTCCCTCAGCCCAGCCTGCACCCTCTCCAACAGACATCCCTCTCACAACCCGGGACTGCTAGCTCCCACTCACTCACCTGCCTGCCCCTAACCGCTTCTGCCGGCCAGCCTGATCGACACCTAACCAATCCTGTGCCAGCCTAACTGCGCCCCTGGCGGCCTGATTGCCCCTAAGAGCCCTCCCCTACCAACATGGTCACCCCAAACTGTCCTCCCCTGCAGGCCTCGTCGCCCCTAACTGCTGTCCTGTCAGCCTGATTGCCCTAACTGCCCTCCCCTGCAGGCCTGGTCACCCTTAATTGCCCTCCCCTGCTAGCCATCTTGTGTCCACATGTGGGCTGCCATCTTATGAGTTGGAGTGAGGTCAATTTGCACATTAGGCTTTTATTATATAGGACACGGTGTTAAGGAAATTCAAATACAGGAACGTATGGAGTAGCAATAGAAAATGTCACCCTTTCTTCCCAGTACCACACCATGAAATAATCCATTGTCAAGTAGAACTGGACTTTCCCCCGATGCTTGTCAAGACTGAAAATGTAGCCGGGACCGGTTTGGCTCAATGGATAGAGCGTCGGCTTGGGGACTGAGGGGACCCGGGTTCGATTCCGGTCAAGAGAATGTGCCTTGGTTGCGGGCATATCCCCAGTGGGGGGTGTGCAAGAGGCAGCTGATCGATGACTCTCTCTCATCGATGTTTCTAACTCTCTATCTCTCTCCCTTCCTCTCTGTACAAAATCAATAAAATATATTTTAAAAAAAAAAGATTGAAAATGTCGCCGAAACCGGCTCAGTGGATAGAGCGTCGGCCTGTGGACTGAAGGGTCCCAGGTTCGATTCCGGTCATGTACCTTGGTTGTGGGCACATCCCCAGTAGGGGGTGTGCAAGAGGCAGCTGATCGATGGTTCTCTCTCATCGATGTTTCTAACTCTCTATCCCTCTTCCTCTCTGTAAAAAATCAATAAAATATATTTAAAAAAAAAGATTGAAAATGTCACCGTGCCTGTTTGGTTCAGTGTACAGAGCATCAGCCTGCGGACTGAAAGGCCGGGGTTCGATCCCCATAGAGGACACATGCCTGGGTTTCGGGCTCGGTCCGCAGTGGGGGGCATGCAGGCAGCAGCCGATCCATTATTCTCATCATGGATGTTTCTCTCTCTCCCCCTCTACCTTCCTGACTGAAAGCAATAAAAATCCAGTAAAAACAAAACCAAAAACAATTGAAAATGTTTCTCTACAAACGAGGGGCGTCCCAGCGCCCGCTCCAGTACAGCCTGCTTGAAGCCGTGGTGCTGTCCAGTGTTCCGAGAGGACGAGCTTCCAAAGGCACGGCTTCCCACCCAGAGGGGACACACGTGTGGAGATGGAACATGCACCGCCAAACGCCCCAGAGCCTGTCCGATGGACAGTCCTCCCGGGTCTTCAGTCTTCCTACTGAGCTCATCGGCAAGGATGCTTTACTGTCCTCTTCTGACCGTCCGCGCCACTTCCCCGTCTGGATTCCCAGGTGTCCGGCTGCTCTGCTCGTCTCCTCACTGCACACGCTCCTCTGTATACTCAGGTCCCAGCATCCCATCACCCATCCCCTTTCAGAGCAGTCTCCTCACGCAGAATTCTAAGTATGTGTAGTCACATTTATCCACCGTTCCCGCTATTGTTTTGTCAAGGCCACTCTCGCCATAAAAATCATTAAATACTGCACCACCTTTTCCCCTCGCTGGCCTAATAGTTCAAGTGTTTGATTTGCCAGTTTTCACACGTGACAGCGCGGATCTGACTGTCTCCTCCAGACCGCCAGCTGCTGCCAGCCCTCCCCGGCGCGGCCAACTCGCGCCTGTGAGAGGCCCCGTACGCCCACCCTTGCACCCGCTTCGAGGTGCGGCACAGCCGGTCCCGGTCCCCCCGCCGGGACTCACTTGAGGAAGTCGTGCAGGTAGCTCAGCAGCAGGGCCAGGCTCTTCTCGTCCAGCGGCGTGTAGGCCAGCATGGCGCCGATGCGGACTGTCGGACAAACAGCTCGTCAGCCACACCCAGGGGCCCGAGGCGCACACGTTACTCATGGGGCAAACACACCCGTCATCAACTTTATAGAGACGGAGAAACTTAGATAATAACATCAGGCTCAAGGTCAAAGGGAAGGCAGTGTTTCAGAGCGCCATGTGGCGTCACTGCTGATATCACTGAGCGGAGGGGAGGGGAGAAGAGAGAAGGACCAGCTGGTGTGGCCCGCTGGAGGGTGTTAGCCCGGAACCAGGTCTCGGTTCCATCCCGCCAGGCCACACGCCTGGCTGTGGGCTCCGTGGGGAAGGGGGTGTGCAGGAGGCAGCTGATTCAGGATGTTTCTATCCCTCTAGAACAGCGCTTTTTTAACGAAAGGCTCGGGGGAGTGGCGCTGCGTTACCGAACAGCCTCAGCAGGTGCGGCGCGCCGTACACGTGGGACATGGGCGCGTCGGGGTGGTCCGCCAGGATCTCGGCGTACTGCGGCCGCTCGAACTTGTAGAGCAGCTGCGTGCCCAGCATGACGTTGAAGTACTCCTTGATGCCGGCCACCACCTCGTTCACCGCGTACTCCCTGCACAGGAGCACAAAAGCTGACACCCAAACAGCCACTGATTCAATCAGCATGCCTGCCGGGGACTAAGTAAAAGGTTATATAACAAGATGAGGGTTAGGGTAAAAAAATGCAAATAGATAAATAAGATGAAATCTTTACTAAACAGTTTTAAAAAGGGATCTAGCAAGAGCCCAAAAAACCACCCTATCCGGTGTGGCTCAGTGGATAGAGCGTCGGCCTGCAGACCGCAAGGTCCCAGATACGATTCCGGTCAAGGGCATGGACCTTGGTTGCGGGCACATCCCCAGTGGGTGGTTTGCAGGAGGCAGCTGATGGATGATTCTCTCCTATCGATGTTTCTAACTCTCTATCCCTCTTTCTCTCTGTAAGAAATCAATATATATATATATATATATATTTTTTTTTTTTAAACAACTTCACAAATAAAGCCCTCAGGCTATAAATGTTTTTTTATACATTTTACCTAAAATTTTACCATCTGCTCTGTAACAAAAAGCTTGCCAGCCAGACCCTCTGTCCAGCCAGTAAAAGTCTATTTTGCTGGTGTTTGGTGGCATCTTTTTTTAAGTATACATTTCTCTATTTGGAAATGAGACTACTCGGAAACATGGAAGAAGCATCTTTGGATCTAGTTCAGACAGGAGTATTCGCCTACTTGTTATCCGTGTTCCCGCGAGATTTCTTGTAATTTGCGTAATCCTCCAGGATGGAATCCACATTCTTCTTCGCGGGAAGATAAAAGAGCTGGAAAACAAGAAATGCACTTAAATACGGGCAGTCCCCGGGTTACACTGGACCTGACATACATCGTTTCGTGGTGACATCGCTATCTCCTATTTATAAAAAAAGTGCCGTGTACATGTGCCTTATGTTATTATTTATTTACAAGGTCAGAAATTATTTTAAACTCTTTTACTGTTTCACTTCATCACTGCTGTGTCTGTGCTCATGTGAGTGACGCAGGCGCTTACGTAGGTGGGTTCTGACTCACGGCGAAAATCGTGTTATGTCGCGCAGTAGGATCGGATCTCCGACGTAACCCGAGGACCTACTGTCCAAGCTTTATCTGTTTTACAGAAAAATTATACTGGCAAAGCTTTAATAATACAAAATATATATCCCTCAAGAGCTGGCCGGTCTGGCTCAATGGACAGCGTCAGGCGATGGACTGAAGGGTCGCAGGTTCGACTAACAGTCAAGGGCACAGGCCCGGGTTGCAGGCTTGATCCCCAGTAGGGGGTGTGCAGGAGGCAGCCGATCAATGATCCTCTCATCACTGATGTTTCTCCCTCTCCTTCTCCCTTCCTCTCTGAAGTCAATAAAAGTGTTTTAAAAAGATCACTCAATAATGTTTACTACAAAATAGGTAAAAGCACTGCACTGTCCATCACTTAAAACATGGCTCATGCCAAAACCAGTTTGGCTCAGTGGATAGAGCTGTCCGTGACCCAGGCCTCAGGCCGCCAGCACCCAGGGGTCTCCCCATCCCGCCCCGCCCCCTCACTGCTCGTCACAGGAGCTTGCTGCTCTGGCCTGGCCTCTCCTTGTGGAGCAGCTGGGGGTCACGCAGGCACCTCCTCACAAGGGCCCAGGTCCTGGTCCTGTTGGGGGCCATGCATGCCCGGCAGCTGGCACTGTGCGCTTCCTGTGCCATCCCATCAGCAGGGACACACGTAAGGACGTCCCACTTTCCACAGGAAACGCTTCTGTGTCTTTAGCCATTTTCAGAGTAAGCCTGCTCTAGCGGCTTCCGAAAAGGAATCATCTCCATCGTTTTCTATCACTGTAACTAAACTCCTGCCGAAACCGGTGTGGCTCAGTGGGTAGAGCGTCAGCCTGCGGACTGAAAGGTCCCAGGTTCAATTCCAGACAAGGGCATGTACGTTGGTTGTGGGCACATCCCCGGTAGGGGGTGTGCAAGAGGCAGCTGGTCGATGTTCTTCTCATGGACCATTCTAGCTCTCTATCCCTCTCCCTTCCTCTCTGTGGACAATCAATAAAATATATTTTAAAATAATAAATAAATAAATAAATAAATAATGAATGAATGAAAATAAACTCTTCTGTATGGACTTTTATCCTCAAACGCTCTCAGTCACAGCATGCACAGAGCCGCCTCCGCCGTGCAGTGCACACGCCTTCCCCCGGAAGCGCCTGTTCTCCGCCGGGAGAGCACGCGCCCATCCTGCAGAGGCGCGGCCGTTACCTGCTTCTGGCGGGTGATGAGGTCCCAATCGTCCACCAGCCAGGGCTTCAGCTCCTCGGGAATCTTCACTTTGACTTCCACTCTGTTCATGAACGTCTCCTCCTGCGGGGAAGGCGGGCGCTGTGAGCCGCAGTGTCTGCCCGAGAGGCCCTGGGCGTGCGCCTTTCCGGGCTCAGGGGCCGCCTCACTGTCTCCTCAGAGTCCGAATGAGAAGGCAGAGAGCGGCTGCTGAGAAACAGAGTCTCCTCGGGACAGAAAACAGTTCATTTGGGGGTTTTCATGTGAAGGCAACAACTCCTGAGTGAGTCCCTTACCTTCAGGAAGTGACCGCTCTGTGCTCACCGCTGTGCTGCTGGTAAGCTTCCCTCTTCGTGGATATTCAGTGTGCAGCCCGCACACACTCACTCAGAGGTACAGCACTCAGGGGAGTACTGACCACCAGGAAGCATAATGGCTCCTCACGGGGCCTCGTTTCCAGAACACGCCGTGCGTAAGACCACCACTGCCACGTCACCTCAGCGCCAGAAAGGTAAGCTATGGCCGGGACCGGTTTGGCTCAATGGACAGAGCGTCGGCTTGGGGACGGTGACCAGAATCAAACCCAGGACCCTTGAGTCTGCAGGCCGATGCTCTATATACACTGAGCCAAACCAGTTAGGGCTGAAAAACATTTTTTTAAAAACACTAACCTTGCTTTCAGGGTTATAATGCATAATTTTGGAAGTTATAAACATAATAAATTGGATATAAGACTTTTTATCACCTAACAATTCAAAGCTAATTCAGGCCGGTGCGACTCAGTGGATAGAGCATCAATCTGCAGACTCAAGGGTCCCAGATTCAATTCCGGTCAAGGGCACAGGCCTGTGTTGCAGGCTGGAACCCCAGTGTGGGGTGTGCAGGAGGCAGCCAATTGGTGATTCTCTCTCATCCCTGATGTTTCTCTCTTTCCCTCTCTCTCATCTCTGAAATCAATCAAAATATATTTAGGAAACTTTTAAATTCAAAGCTAGTATACACACACAACAGTCCTCTGGGTTTATGCAGCCGTCCTGCCACACACTAAGACACTGCTGAGTGTTTCCTGTTCAATGCACACTGCAGTCCTCCGTGTCATCAAGTTCTCCGACTCTTAGCAAAACGGCGTAAAACAAAGCCAGCTGCACCACACACACGGATATAAACAGGAGCTCCGTTCCCACAGCATCTCTGCCCGTTTAACAAAAGGAGGTCCAATGTAGTCACACCAGACACGTTTAATCATGTGCAGAGCCGAAACCGGTGTTGCTCAGTAGACAGAGCATCAGCCTGCGGACTGGAAGGTCCCGGATTCGATTCCGGTCAAGGGCATGTACCCTGGTTGTGGGCACATCCCCGAGGTGTGTGTGTGTGTGTGTGTGTGTGCGCGCGCAAGAGGCAGCTGATGGATGATTCTCTCTCATCGATGTTTTTAACTCTCTATCCCTCTCCCTTCCTCTTGGTAAAAAAAAATCAATAAAATATATTAAAAAAAAAATCGCGTGCAGAAACCCAACACTCACCAACATCAGATGAGCTGGGGGCGGGAGGGTATCTAAGACAGACACACCTAGAATTACACGCACGCGTGCGCGCGCCCTGTCCCAGCAGCAGGAGGGTCTCCATGGCAGTGAGCCCCCGTTCGGGCTCGGGGACCAGTCCTGACGCTCCCTGTGCCGCCCCAGGCGCTGACACCCGCGCGCTGACCGGCCGCTGCTACGGTGAAGGACACTCACGTTTTCCACAGTCGGATCCACTCGCGCCCTCTTCTTGCGAGGAGGCTGAGGGGTCTCGCTGGTGCTGCCACCGTCTCCATTCCCAGGGGCTGAAACATGGGAGGACGAGAGAGATTTTTCAATGATCAAATGACAATTTCCTAAGAAAAAGCTGTCATAGCACACCTTCTTTTCATTTTTCCCTGACATAGTTTTACTTGAATCTACGTTAAAGAATCACATTCTGCCGTAGCTGGTGTGGCTCAGTGGATAGATCATCAACCTGCAGACTCAAGGGTCCCGGGTTCAATTCTGGTCAAGGGCATATGCCTGGGTTGCGGGCTCAATTCCAAATGGGGGGAGGGAGGGCATGCAAGAGGCAGCCAATCAATGATTCTCATCACTGATGTTTCTCTCTCTCCTCCCTCTCCCTTCCTCTAAAAAAAAGAATCACATTCCCACCACAAATGTAAGCTGCATGAACATCTCTTAACACTGCCCTCTACAGCTATCTTCAGGGCGAGTCCCTGAGGATGAAGAGGATGGAAGTATTGCTCAGGCTTCTCCCTGGAAAACGAGGGTCAGGTCCACAGTGCTGCTCTGAGCCACATCTGAGCCACTCTGGGCCATCAGTAAACAGGAGCTTACTCCAAGGAAATCTCCCGCCAGCGGCTGAGCATTGACCTTTGACCCGGGAGGTCACCACTGTGACCGCAGGCATGGGTCAAGGCACATGGCTGGCAGGGTTGTGGCTCCATTCCCCAGCAGCAGGCCTGCAGGAGGCAGCCGGTCAATGACTCTCTCACCACCGATGTTTCCATCTGTCCCTCCCTCTCCTTTTCTGAACTCAGTAAAACATTAAAATAATAAGTAAATGGCTAACAGGTTTGGCTCAGTGGACAGAGCCTGAGCCGGTGGACTGAAGGGTCCCGGGTTCGATTCCATTCAAGGGCATTTACCTTGGTTGCAGGCACATCCCCAGTAGGGGGTGTGCAAGAGGCAGCTGATCGATGACTCTCTCTCATCGATGTTTCTAACTCTCTATCTCTCTCCCTTCCTCTCTGTTCAAAATCAATCAAATATTAAAAAAATACAATAAAATGCAATATTATAAAAGTAAAATAATTTTAACAAAATATGCTTACTTTTCTGTTTGTTCTTCTTTGTTTTCCTGAAAAGAGAAGGGAGAAGGACATATAATTATTGCTAGTAAAACTGCCTCTGTTCCAATTCCTTTTATCAGGGGTGAGTTCCCAGGGAAACGCGGCTTGAATGATAAAAGCAGGCCAGGAGTTTCCTGCTCAGACACAGGACTCTTACTGGTAGCTGGTTCAATCCCCCACCCCTCCTCCCCTTCCATACCGATGTTTTTCTCTCTGCCTCCTCCCCTTCTGCTCTTTCTAAAAGTCCACAGAAAAGAATATTCTCAGGTGAGAATTAAAAAGAGAAAGAAGAAAGTTACCCTCTTGCAGCTTCTATTACCCATAAGCCCTAGCACAGGGTAAGGGCACGCCAGGCCGTGGGCACAGGGACACGGGGAGCCTGGCTTACACTTCCACGCTCTTCTGCTGCAGTCCCGCCGTCTTCTTCCCTGGGGCCGCCCCTCTCATCTTGCCCTCTGCATACTGCTCCCTGCAAAGCAAGCGCAATGACGTCGTCGTAAAATGAGTCCTTAGGTAGAAAAATAACTTGAGACCTAAGAATTTGCTCTCTGTACCTAGCAAAGTTAAAAGTAAATGTAGAAGGTGATTATAATAGACTAGAGGCCCGATGCATAAACATTCATGCAAGAATGGGCCTGCCTTCCCCTGGCTGCTGGCACTGCCTTCTCTCCGGCCAGAGCCGCTTTTCTGCCTTCCCACGCTGTCCAGAGGCCCGGAGTGGCTGGGGCGGTGGGGCACACCTGCCCTGGGCTGCGCAATGCCTGAATGCAAATGAACCTGCCATCTTTGCTTGGTTATTTTGCATACTCACTCCTGATTGGCTGGTGGGTGTCACGAACGTACAGTCAATTTGCATCTTACTCTTTTATTAGTATAGATTGCGCTCATGATCGAAAATTCCATTTGTTTTGGAATTCACTAATCCCAATGTTTTATTTGATCTCTTTATTTCCAATTTCAACCTACATTTCAGCTTTGAAATGAAAACAAGACCGCCCAGTCTTTGTGTTCCTTTTCTCAGGGTGCTTCTACAGCTGCAGGTTAATAACGGGCGCCCCCAATGCTTAATCACCTCCCACACAGCTGCGCCTTCCTGAGCCGACAAGGGAGATGACAGTGTTTGCCGACTACGGGAATTTCCAGCGACACCCGTGTTCCCGCCTCCTCCAGAGACTGATTCGGGAACTCACAGCTGTGCTGCCTGCTTTCCCAGGAGGCCTCTGGCTGCATGAGGCCACAGCGGTCCCTCAGCAGCTGGCAAGTGCCAGGAATCACCAGGAAGCCAGGCCGCTGGCATGATGCCCACTGCTCACTGCACCCAAAGCCCTATCCCCATGCCCTCAGGGGCCACCGCACTTACTGATTGGCCTTCTGCAGTTCCCGCTGCTTCTGCAGGTTGGTGTCCACGTACTTGAGCACCCTGCTCTCCGGGACCCACTCATCCCAACTGCAGAGAGAAAAGCAGCGTCATTCAAGCAGCGTCCCCTCCACACAGACTGTCCAGTTACTCTAGAAATCCCCGAGGCCAGCCACCCTTCTGAGGGAAGGAACTTCCCAATCTCAAAAGCAACATTCCCACTCTAACTGCCAGAGTGCAAAGCAAATTATTCAATCGTTTCTCAAAACAGCGTACGCGTCTGGCATGTACCAAGAGCCTGGCATGTAGCGGAGCCTGGCATGTCACAGCGTGTTGAGTGCGCCTGGGCCCCATGGCACTCGGATTAGGAAGCCCAGCACAGAGCGACCTCAGGAACCAGGTGGCATGTCCCTAACAGTTATCTCACAGAATGAAGATACCTTACAGAACTGTAATTAAAAATAAAAAGCAGCTTTTTTAAAGAAAATCAAGTGGCTCCTAGCTGTAATAGCAGTTGCAGAATTATGCGCCTTCGTCCCACCACCTTAAAATGAGGATAACAGTACCCATGTCACAGCAGGTAAAACACATGAGAGTTTAACACACAAAAACATAAACACTCGAGGTATGTGATCAACATACTAGGAGACATACAATACTCGTGACCACTAGATGGACCCGGCTGACGCTGGGAATGAAGCACACATACAATGGCTTCTCAGACCACACCCTCTGAACCTTCCCTCACAAAGGAACGGACTGGCTTCCACAGCGTGACTGGAAAGAGGGCTTTCTCACATCTACACGGAGCCCCGCCCACTCTGTGAAACAGCTGGCTGCTAAGGCGTGCTGGCGGCTAGAAAAAAGCTCCTTGCCCTGCCCCATGTGGCTCAGTGGATAGAGCCTGCAGACTCAAGGGTCCCAGGTTCAATTCCGGTCAAGGGCGTGTATCTTGGTTGCAGGCACATCCCCAGTGAGGGGGTGTAGGAGGCGGCTGATCAGTGTTTCTCTCTATCCCTCTCCCTTCCTCTCTTAAAAAAAAATCAATATATATATATCTTTAAAACGCTCCTTCAAAATAGGGTTTCTGCCCTGGCTGGTGGGCTCAGTGGTCAGAGCATTGTTCCACGCACCAAAGGGTCCTGGGTTGATCCCTGGTCTGGGTGTGTGTGTGAGGCAACAAACAGATGTCTGTCTCTCTGTCTGCCTCTCCCTCCCCCTCCCCTCCTCGCTCTCGAATCTATGAAAAACGAATTCTCAGGTAATAATGGTTTAAAAAACAAGACATGACGCCTGGCCCCTCCAGGAACAGGAGGGCGACCTCCCGGCTCCCAGCTGCCGCTCAGCCGCGGGCCACGCCGCACCCCGGGCGCGAGTGCTGTCCGCGGGGCAGGAGCAGCGCCCCCTAGGGGCTCGCTGGCCGGGCCGGGGCCTCTTTCCTCCTCTGAGGGAGCTCCCTCTGACACCGGGCGCGTCCGCGGTCAGCCAATGGCTGCCCCTGACCTCGGGGGAGGACGCCAGAGGACCAGGACTGCAACCACCCTCCGCGATGCCGGAAGAAGGTGAAACATGCATTTACCTAGAGGTCAGGAGGGGGTGGTGTACTGAGGGAGCTCCTTCAGCAACAGGAAAAGGGGCTACAATATCCTCACGTGTCTTCCCCGCGCGTTCAGAGCGCCTGGGCCGCCCGGCACCTCTGATGCAGAAGCACAGCAGAGTCTCAGTAACCAGCGCACAACGAGCCGACGCTACAGATTCAGGCACAACCTAACTGGGGTCCGCCAGTCCCGGGGGGGGGGGGGCTTGGCAACGCAGAGGTCTCCCCTGGCGTGCTCTGAGCCACCTGTGCACTGACTGCGGTCTAAGGAGATCCCAGTTTGGACTGAGCTTTGGCTGCATGGTTTTCCACACGTAAGATACCCACAAACCATTTGGGAAATGAGGGTTTGATTTACGTCTCCTTACAGCTGCTCTAATTAGCTCTCCATTCAAGGGAACTGGCCGGCTTTTACTCCCCACACAGCTCATTGAGACCCTGCAAACCCCGCCCCCTCTGACAATGAGCGCCTCGCTGATTCCCCAAGGGACGGCCGGATCCCCAGTCAGGGCACATGCCAGAGTCAACCAGTGCATGCCTCACTAAGAGGAAGCAGCTGAAACCGGTGTGGCTCAGGGGATAGAGCGTCGGCCTGCAGACTGAAGGGTCCCAGGTTCGATTCCGGTCAAGGGCATGTACCCTGGTTGTGGGCACAGCCCCAGTGGGGGGTGTGCAGGAGGCAGCTGATGGATGACTCTCTCTCATCGATGTTTCTCACTCTCTATCACTCTCCCTTCCTTTCTGTAAAAAAATCAATAAAATATATTTTTAAAAATAAGGGGAAGCACACAAGTGTTTCTCTCCTACCTAAAGTTAACCAGTTTTTGCACTTTGATCTAAAGAATACAGTCACTCGGTGTCTCTATCTTCCAGGAGCTGAGGCCCTCACTGACCACGGGGAAAGGAAAGGCGTGCTTTGCTCTGAGAAACGTGGACGGCTGCTTAAGGAGGCCGTAGCTCCCGGACAAATCCTCAAACTGCGGGCGTAGATTACGTGCCCGAGAATAAAGGGGTTCGCTGAAGGCCGCTCGGAGGAGCCCGCACAGCCGGCGAGGCTGGGGGGCACTGAGTACCCCTCTCGGACGGGCTTCCTGAAGGCTCCCCAAATACTAAGGATGAGCGTTTTCAAACTCCACCTATTTACCTACATACCAAACACCACAAAGCACACCTCGGTATATTACGGTTCCTCGGTATATGTACAAAGCTAGTAATAAAGCTCTAATAGTTATCGCCGTTTTTCTTCAATTTCAAAGAACCACTTAATATCTGATGTAAAATTAGCTCAAAACTGGACTATGAACATTACAAAGGAAAAAGTGTTCTTAATGTATTTTGAAGCAGTGAAATGAGAAACTGTAGGAATTTAGTACTTTCCCAATTTCTTAAACTAGAAACGCCACTTACAGCCCGTTCTCTAGGCTGTACACACCCACACACAGTCTTATGGAAACACGCACCGTTTCCCCGAAAATAAGACAGTGTCTTATATTAATTTTTTCTCCCAAAGTTGCACTAGGTCTTATTTTCAGGGGAGGTCTTATTTCCGGGGGAACACGGTGTTACGTAAGAGGGAAGCTCAGAGGCTACGCTCCCAGCGGAAGGCCCGCAGTTTGCGCTCCCTGCCTGCGTTATCAGGAGTCTCTCCGTGACCGTTAACTGGGGGCTGCCTCAGGTGGCAGAACGGCCTCGGATCCCACCTTTCTACGGCTACACCAGTGGAGAAAGGCTCAGGTCTGTTTTTTGTTTTGCTGTGTTTTCTCTTTTAGCGAAAAGCATTTGTGGAAAACGTTCCTCATGATCTGACCCCCTGGGGTGGTCCCCTGGGAGGGAACTGTGGGAACAAGACCACAGCCGGGCATCCTCAGAGCGGGCCTCCCTCCCCAGCAAGAGCGCCGACCAATCAGGGGCAGGGCCACGGGGAGAGCGGGGACCACACACACTCGGGCACACAAAGCCCCACCTTTGCAGATAAACCGCCGTTGCTAACTAACAGTCACTGAAAACCTCCCGCGATAAAAACCACTAGCACCCCAAGGAGTAAACCATCAGACGTGGTATTTGTGGGCCCGGGTGCACCGGCTGTTGCTGAGAGGGACACCAGCTGGAGTGCTAGGTGCTCAATCTTCCCACTGTCCACTCCCAGCACAGACCGACACCCCCCCTTTAAAAAGATGCTCTCATCCTGGCCGGTGTGGCTCAGTGGATAGAGTGTCAGCCTGCGGACTGACGGGTCCCGGGTTTGATTCCAGCTAAGGGCACATGCCCAGGCTGTGGGCTCGATCCCCAGAGTGGGGCCTGCAGGAGGCAGCCCATGATTCTCTCCATCTCTCTCCCCCTCTCCCTTCCTCTCTGAAATCAATAAAAATCTTCTACTTAAAAACAACACTAATTTGCCAAGGTGGAGAGTTAAGCTCTGTAATGAAATGCCTGTCTGTAGTGAGCCATGTGGTAACACTGAAATACAGGAAATCACACCTGTCGACCTAAGTTCATCATTACTTGGAGGTCAGACAATCACTATCCCTTCCCCTTTTCTAGTAGAGAAATCCAACTCACTTTAACTGAGCTGACTATAACTGCTCGACATAACATACATAGTGACTGAGTTTTTGCTAAGGGCAAAAAAGTAAAAATAAATACATATATCTCAAACTATCCTAAAATATTCCAAAATGAGAGGAGAGGTGGGAGAGGGGAGGGTTGTAGGGTGGCGGGATTGAGCAAAAAAGAAAAAAAGAGACTGCATGGACAGCAGTGTGGTGACTGCAGGGGGGTCAGAGGGGCAGAGGGCAGAGTGGGTAAAAGGCGATGGGGAGAAATTAAATAAATGTAAAATAAAGTGTACCGAAACCCAAAAAAGGTTAGCTGGTTGACCAATGATGGTCAGAGACATTATACTAAAACACAAGAATTACTCCAAAAAATTTAAAATAAAATGGCTGGCTCTAACTGGTGTGGCTCAGTGGATAGAACGTCGGCCTGCGGACTGAAGGGTCCCAGGTTGGATTCCGGTCAAGGGCATGGACCTTGGTTGCGGGCACATCCCCTGTGGGGGGCGTGCAGGAGGCAGCTGATGGATGTTTCTCATCCATGTTTCTATTTCTCTCCCTTCCTCTCTGTAAAAAATCAGTAAAATACATTAATAAAATAAAATAAAATGGCTGCACCCTAATTTCTATCCTATTTCCATCCTACCCAAATGGCTCACCCTTGTTGTAAACTATGTCATGTTAAAACTGTACAATTAAGAAGCATGTTTGTGCCAGTCTAGGATAGACGTTACTTTAAAAATTATAAGTAGAAGATTGTTTTTAAAGACCCAATACTCACTTTTTATTCCAACCGCTGTAATGTATAAAGTATTTCACTTGTTTGTCCTTTATGGCAACCTTCACACACTGAAATAAAAAAGAAAAAATGTCACTCAGAGATATTAAAGAAGAGATGATTTTAAAGTATCCAATCTTTTCAAGATTCTTTCTACACTTAAACCCTTAGGTGGCCAAAATGAACCCCCACAATGTGACCCTCCACAAGAGCACGAAGGAAACTTTGTAAGCAATAAAGAATTCTAAAATTGCCAAAATGTCACCAGTTGCTGGAGTCAGTCTAGCCAAGCAAAGAGCCATAAGCACAAGGGGGCCCCTAACCCTGAAGGCAAGGGCCGGACAAGCTCCCCAAAAACGGCTTGTGAGTGGTAGTCTCCACTTTCTCAAAGTCTAAATAGCCAGAAACTGTAATTTCAATAAGTTTCCCTAGCTTATGGAAAGGCTATAAAATATTTAGGCCCTGGCTGGTGTGGCTCAATGGATAGAGCGCTGGGCCTGCAGACTAAAGAGTCCCAGCTTCGATTCCAACCAAGGGCACATGCCCAGGTTACGGGCTTGACCCCCAGTGTGGGGCGTGCAGGAGGCAGCCGACCCACGATTCTCCTTCACCACTGATGTTTCTAGCTAACTCTCCCTTCCTCTCTGAAATCAATAAAAATATATTAATTTTTTTTAAATATTTGGGTACAGAACAAATTAGAATAAACACAGGAGGCTGTTTACTATGACAAGTGGTAACTATGTAGTTTTAGATTGTTTGTTTTTTTATTGATTTCAGAGAGAAGGGAGGAGAGAGAAACATCAGTGATGAGAGAGAACATGGATCGGCTGCCTTTTGCGTGCCCTTCCCAGGAATCAAACCATGACCTCCCGCTTCACAGACCGACACTCGACCACTGAGCCCCCAGCAGGCCTGGTTTCTACTTTAAAACTCTTTACAAAGAGGAACCAGAAATGTGAACCGTCCCATGCCATGGCAGGTGCAGCTGTGAGCTCCATCCCCAGCAGGGGGCGTGCAGGAGGCAGCAGCGGATGGATGCTTCTATCCCTTCTCCTTTCCTCTTTCTCAAAAATAATCAATGAAAGGATTAAACATATATAGCTTGCTGTTTTGTATACTGTGACTCATTTTCTTAAAAAACAAAACACACAACTGTTAAAAAGAGTCATATCCTACTATTTGTCCTAAAGAAGTTAACAGAAAGTACTAGAAATGGCTTTGACTCTGGAATGCATTATCCCGTTCACCTTGGCCTAATTGTAAAATCGTTTTTAATCACCGCAGCACACACAGGTGGAGGAAAAAGAGCCCCGAGGATTCAAACTTTGTCATAAAAACAACAAATAAAAGTTAAACATACTCATTTCTAACGTCAGCTCAGTGCATTTAATTAGCTCAGTGCATACTTAGCATATTGCGTATAAAATTGACCTTGGGGGAAAAATATATTAATAAAAATAAAATTGACCTTGAACCCTAGACCGTCTTGCTCAGTGGAAAGACCATCTGCTCGCAGACGGAAGGGTCCCAGGTTCAGTTCTGGTCAAGTTCATGTGGGAGGCAACCAATCCCACATGATGTTTTCCTCTCTCCCCCTCCTTTTCACTTTTTAAAAAAATATATATTTTATTGATTTTTCACAGAGAGGAAGAGAGAGGGACAGAGAAACATCGATAAGAGAGACTCATTAATCAGCTGCCTCTTGCACAGCCCCTACTGGGGATGTGCCCGCAACCAAGCTCTATCCACTGAGCCAAACCGGTCCTAGCTCCACTCTTTCTTAAAAAAATCAATGGAAAAATATCCTCAGTGGAAGATTTAAAAAGAAAATTGAGCCTTAACCGGTGTGGCTCAGTAGAGAGCGCGTCGGCCTGCGGACTGAAGGGTCCCGGGTTCGATTCTGGTCAAGGGCATGGACCTTGGTTGCAGGCACATCCCCAGTGGGTGACATGCAGGAGGCATCTGATGGATGTTTCTCTCCCATCGATGTTTCTAACTCTCCCTTTCTCTCTGTAAAAAATCAATGATATATTTAAAAAAATAGAATTGATCCTGGTAGTGTTTTCTCACAGGTCTTGGATTACAGATGCTCTTGCTCCTCCCATCAATAACCAGTCTTCTCTGCTCACATGCTCCTCCCTACTCCTGGGAGAAGGGGGCGGCCCCCCAGGCAGCAGGACACCCCCACAGGAGGGCGGACTCCGCACGCCCGTGGGAAAGGTCCCTGAGCCCTCCCCAGCGCCCAGGTCTGCCTGCGGGGAGCGGGCTTCCTACCTTGGCTTCATAGAGAAGGGGCCCGTGGAAGCACAGCACTCGTTCACCTGGAAGGGAAGGGCAGGGGTTAGGGTCACACCTCCGCACGCAGAGCACTCACCGAGCCCTCACAGACCCAGGGGAGAGGGAGCGGCCGTGCGGGATCCCCACCGCAGACCAAACGTGCGTATTTCGTAGTTTAGCTGCAATGCTAACACTGAGTGCCCTACAACCACACACCTCCGTGTCTGCTGTAGCAGCAGGCACACGTGTCAGAGTGCCATCTGGTTAAACCACCCGCTGCCTCTCACCTGCAGCTCATACAGCCTGCGCTTCCTGCTGGAGGTGGCTGTTTTCAACATCGAACATGTACGTATCCAGGCGTAGAACCACATGCTCTCATATAGCTCCGCCTCCGGACTTTGTATTATAATTAAAACCAGTAAAACAATACACGTTAAAATGAAATGCCGTGTGTATCAGAAATGGCTGGGGGATTGTCTCTGAAGAGGCTCGTGCTCATGACTTCAGTGTGCTCATCAGCCGTGTTCTGGGCCCGGGGCTGCTTCCATGAACCCAAAACACACAAAGCGTCCCAATTCCTGGAGCTCACACGCCGTGACCCTGCCGTTAAGCCTCGCGGGACTGAGGAACAGAGGGCCTGGAGGCCAGTCCGGCAGGCAGGCGGCTCCGGCAGCGTCTCACATGTGATTGTGGTGGAAACGGAGCCTCCCGGTGGGTTACACAGCCCCCTGGAGGCAGGCCCCACGCACTCAGCTCCTGTAGGGCTGAAATCACTGAAACAGCCATCCGCTCAGTTCTGAAGAGGCTGGAGCAGTCTCCCTCATAAACACATCGCTGCTGCTTTTCCAAGTCTTCCAAACCTTCAACCTGAAATACCACCGCAAACCTGACTGTTCCTTTCCCACCTTCACCCGGTCCCCCGGCACCTGCCTGTTAGGCCGTCAGGCTGCGGGGGAGCCGGGACAGTGAGCCCAGGTTCGTGTTAACGATCTTCACAAACTGAGAGGGACGGAGGCGCTGCTGCCAAGGTTAAGGCAAAGGCCCAAGCGGAGGGTACTCCTCTTCCACAGGAGCCATGGCCGTCACTAAAGCACCGGGTAAGCACGTATAGGGAGAGGCCACAGTCTCCAGAGGCCGGGGTCACTGAATGCGCCCGAACCAAACCCGAGAGAAGTCAGGACGGCGAGGCAGAGCACCGAGTGCAGGAAAACCGGGAGGGAGGGAGGGAGGGGGCTCAGGTCCATCTCAGAAGATGCTACAGAGCCATGGAGCAGGCACTGAGTGCCCGCCTGGGGCTGAGAGACCTGGCGGAGCCGTCGCTGGGCACAGTGGGCCAGGAGCCCAGGCACAGGTAAGGTAGAGCCAAGCAGCAGCAGCACCAAAGATCTCACCTACGTCTGCTTCTCTCCAGGGGGCCTACAGGCACCCTGAAGCCTCACCCCCATCCTCTCGGCTCCTGCTGCCCAAGCCAGCTGCACCGAGGCCAAAGCCCGCTGGCCCATTCGGGCTGCAGGGCCCTCGGCATTCGCTGAAAACCAAGGGAAGCCGGGGATTGGAGGCAGGGCCAGCCACTGCACCGGGTATGACTGCAACCCTTTCTCCGCCGGACCCTTTGTGGCAGTGCCCCCGAGTGTGGTCCGCGGGCCCCCGGGGGCGCGGGAAGAGTCTGGTGGGGCACGCGTGGCACCGGAGTTTGGGGGGGGTACGCACTGCCCCGAGCTTAGCTGCGCCTCATTCTACGTCCTCATGAGTACGGGGGGTCCTCATTACGAAAATGATAGAAGGGGTACACGTGTCAAAAGTTTGGGAAACAGTGCTGTCTGGTATCAATGCTCGCCGCTGAACGACCCACAGGACTGCTCCCCCCTGCTCCCTCCAGGACAGACTCCCAGGCCGGCATCAGGCCCGTCCCGATCCCGGCCAGGCAAGGCCCCCCTGGGAACGGACCCCCCGTTTTCTTTACACGAAGACCAATCCGGTGCAAAACACTGTGCTTAACAGCTGCTCATATAACATGTGCTGCCCCACTAGGAAGTGAGAAAAACACTCTCCAGTTTAAAAGAATTACAAAAAATACCATTTCCGGCCATTCGTACTTGCAGCATTACATAAGTCAGTCCTCGGCAGTGTTTTATTACACCGTTAGAATACTCCTCTTCCTTACAAGGTGTTCTCTGAACTCGTCACATAAACGACTGTAATTTCTTATTATTCTTATGCAACTCAGCTTGGACCAAGAGCAGAAGACACGTGGGAGTGATGGCGAGGACAGAGACTCGGAGCTCCCAAAGCCCTGCTGCAAGGTTCCTGGTTCCACTTTCCGCTAACTCCCCCCGCAGCCTCGCTGTGGCGGCTCAGGCCTGCACAGGGGAGTGTCTCGGGTTCGAGTTCAGGTCAAGGGCAATACCTGGGTTGCAGATTCCATCCCCGCCCCTGGTGGGGTACTACGGAAGGCAGCCAGTGCTTCTCTCACATGGATGTCTGTCTGTCTGTCTCTCTCCTTCCTCCTTCCCCACACCCCCCCCAAAAAAATGGAAAAAATATCCTCACTCTTTGGATGAGGATTTAAGAAATAAAACACAGCCGAAACCGGTGTGGCTCAGTGGTAGAGCATCGGTCTGCGGACTGAAAGGTCCCAGGTTTGATTCCGGTCAAGGGCATGTACCTGGATTGCAGGCACATCCCCAGTAGGGGGTGTGCAAGAGGCAGCTGGTCGATGTTTCTCTCTCATCGACGTTTCTAGCTCTCTATCTCTCTCCCTTCCTCTCTGTAAAAAATCAATAAGATATATTAAAAAAAAAAAAAAGAAGAAAAAAAAAGAAATAAAACACCACTCTAGCAGCACAGGGATTCTCCTTTGTCATCCATGCATCTCACCCTACATCCCTCTATACCACATGTGTCGAACTCAATCAGAGAAGGGGCCAAAATCTAAAATCCAGCCTAAATCGCGGGCCGAATGGTTTACTGAACAGTCATAAACTGTCATTGTGATGGAAACGCAGCGGAGTGCAGTGATGACAGCGCGGTTCGGGCCACATTGCAAGGCCTGGCGGGACGGATTTGGCCCGCCGGCCTTGTGTTTGACACATGTGCTCTATACTGAGTGGCATGATAGTTATGATAGTAATCGGGCCACTCAGTGCATCTCCTATAGAATAAAAGGCTCATATGCACATGGTCCCCTCGACCAGGAGTTCGACCAGCAGGCAGGTCGGCCAATCGCCCATGTTCCCTCCCCCCTGGCCAGGCTGGCCGGCCCCCACCCATGCACGAGTTCATACACCAGGCCTTTAATGTGTGTGTACACACACACACACACACACACAGGCCAGATTATGGGTTCAGAGATCATCATAACCTGGCCACTCAGTGTAGTTTAGAATTTAAGAGTTTTTTCCTGAAGCCATGCTTCCTGTGGGAGGGATTTTGTCACCACCTGACAGTCTGAGGAAGCCCATAAGCCTTTCCCTGGAATGTTTCACAAAAACGTAACGCACACAGTATTACCGAGGAATCCACCTACACTGACATGTTAGCAAAACAGCACGCTATCTATGGCATTGACTCAGTTGACACAGAACATTCTGAAGTCATGAGGAGCACATATCTCCAACAGCTTTAATACGAAGAATATGAAAACATACCGCTAATACTACTTAACACTACTGGGTTGTTGTTAAGGGGGGTGGGTGGGAGGTGCCACATTCCTAATTGAAATACTAGAGAGCGTTTCAGTTAGATAATATTTTCCTGGTCCAAGTTTTCCAATCTTCTGAATCACATGCACTGACTCAGATTAAGAATAAGAACCCCTGCTCTGAAACACCAAGAAAAATAAACCCACGGGAGGGAGCCAATCATAAAAACAGACAAAGAAAAAAACAAACAACTGGCCAGTTTGGCTCAGTGGGTAGAGCGTCAGCCAAGGGGCTGCAGGGTCCCGGGGTTTTTTTGGGTTTTTTTTTAATATATTTTATTGATTTTTCACAGAGATGAAGACAGAGGGATAGAGTTAGAAACATCGATGAGAGAGAATCATCGATCAAATGCCTCTTGCACACCCCCTACTGGGGATGTGCCCGCAACCAAGGTACATGCCCTTGACCGGAATCGAACCCAGGACCCTTGACTCCGCAGGCCAACGCTCTACCACTGAGCCAAACCGGTCCGGCAAGGGGTCCCGGGTTTTGATTTCGGTCAAGGACACATGCCCGGGTTGGTGGCCCATCACCAGAAGGGGGCGCGCAGGAGGCAGCCAGCGATCGCGCTCTCTCTCTCACATCAATGTTTCTAACTATCCCTCTCCCCTCCTGTCAATAAAAGGTTTTTCTTTAAAAAAAAAAAAAAAAAGTTTTTTTCTTTTTAAATGGCCCTTAACCCCGCGCCCGGCAGGTATAACTCAGCGGTTGAGCATCCACCCAGGAGCCACCAGTTGGATTTTCGGCCGATCGCCAGTAGAGGGCGCACAGGAGGTGGGCGATCCAGGATGTTCCTCCTCATTCATGTTTCTCAGTCCCTTTCCCTTTCCCCTCCCTAAAAAAATAAATACATGTATTTTTTAAATATACATTTACTGATTTCAGAGAGGAAGGGAGAGGGAGAGATAAACATCATGATGAGAGAGAATCATTGATTGGCTGCCTCCTGCACGCTCCACACTGGGGATTCCAGCCTGCACCCTGGGCACCTGGCACCTGCCCCCCGCCGGAATCGAACCCAGGACCTCTTAGTCCGCAGGCGGACGCTCTATCCACTGAGCCATATCAGCCAGGACAAAAACATGTATTTTTTAATTTCCCTTAAAAACTTCTTCAATATCAGTTTTACAACACACTTAGGTTTGGGACATAGGATCCTATAAGCAATCCTAAAGAACACTCTGGTCTGAAAATCCCGGCTAGAAACAAATTCCTCTGGACCTCGATGGTAAGCAAGCACCCACCTGCCCAACAACAGGAAATTTTATTTTTAAATATATTTTATTGACTTCTTACAGAGAGGAAGGGAGAGGGATAGTTAGAAACATCCATGAGAAACATCAACCAGCGATGTGCCCACAACCAAGGTCCATGCCCTTGACCGGAATCGAACCCGGGACTCTTCAGTCCGCAGGCCGAGGCTCTACCCACTGAGCTACACCCGTTTCGCCAGCAAGGGAATTTTGAAGCGTTTTACTGCCATTTTAGCCCACGACCAGGCCTCCCCTTAACTGTGAAATCAAAGCGCTGTTTTGCCCTGGGGAGAAGAAGGGGAGGGGGGGGGCGGCCAGGTTGCACCCTTGGCCCAAAGCCCTACCCATCGATCGCCAATGAATACTCCTGGCCGGTGTGGCTCGCTGGCTAGAGCGTCGGCCAGCAGACTGAAAGGTCCCGGGTTCGATTCCGCCCAGGGGAACATGCCTGGAGAGCGGGCTCGGTCCCCAGTAGGGGGCGTGCAGGAGGCAGCAGACCCATGAGTCTCCTCTCATCATGGGTGTTTTTCTCCCTCTCCCTCTAAAATCAACTTTAAAATATGTGTTTTTTTAAGTTACAAAATATAAATAAATAAATAAATAAATAAATAAATAAATAAATAAATAAATGCCAATGAATAAACACACACTCCCTGGGCCCAGGAGGTGTGTGTGGTTGAGCGTTCATCCAGGCATCAACTGGCCCCGGGTTCGAGTCCAGCTCAGGGCACATGCCCGGGTAGTGGGCTCCGCCGCCAGCAGGGGGCGTGCAGGAGGCAGCCGATCCATGATTCTCTCTCATCATAGATGCTTTTCTCTCTCTTCCTTCATTAAGTCAACAAATAAATATATTTTTTAAATATTATTTTATTGATTTTTTTACAGAGAGGAAGGGAGGGGGATAGTTAACACCGATGAGAGAGAAACATCCATCAGCTGCCTCCTGCACACATACCCCCGTTGGGGATGTGCCCGCAACCAAGGTACATGCCCTTGACGGTAATCGAACCCGGGACCTTTCAGTCCGCAGAACGGCGCTCTATCCACTAAGCCAAACTGGCCTCGACTAAATATATATATATATATTTTTTTAAGTTTAAAAAAAGAAAAAAACAATAAATACACACTCTCCCGGGCCCCGCCGGATGTCTCAGCGGTTCGGCGTCCATCCGGGAACCCGCGGGTCGCCGGTTCGAGTCCCGGCTCCGAGCGCAGGCCCGGGGGTGGCGCGCTCGGCCGCCGCCAGCAGGGGGCGCGCAGGAGGCGGCCCCTCCAGGACTCCCTCCCCCCACCACCCCCTTCCGCTTCCTCCAAGAGAAAGTCCACAAAACACACACTTTAAAAAAACAAAGTAAAATGTTCGGAAAAAATAAAAAATAAAGTAAAACGAACTCACTGGGCTTCCCAGCCACTGCACCTCAGAGGCCTCCGCCCGGGAGCCCGCCCGCCCGCCGGCCCCGTTATCCGGAGGCTCCGTGCCCGCTGCCCCGGGCGGAGAGCGGGCCCCGCGGGCAGCACAAAGCGGCGCCCGCCCCGCGGGGAGGGGAGGGGGCGCGGGAGGCGCGGCCGCCATCTTGCGGCGGCCATTTCGCGGCGCCGCTCTCCGGCCGCGCGCCCCGCCCGCCCCGAGGGCCCCGCATCTCCCTCCCCCCGCCGCCCCCACCCACGTCGGCGCCCCGAGCCCCGGCCGTTGCCCGCCCGCCCGCGCCCCTCCCGCCGCTCCCGCCTCCGCGCCGCCATGGCGCCCGGCCGCCCACCGCCGGCTCCCCCGCCGCCGCCTCCCACACCGCAGCCGCCGGGAGAGGCCCGCACCCCGGGCCCCGGCCTCCCCGCGCTCCCCGCGCCGCAATGCGCCTCCGCACAAAGCGCCGCCGTTACCCCGTTACCCGCCGCCGCCGCCGCCGCCGGGGCCCGCACTCACCCTCCTGGAACTTAGGCTTCGGGTCCTGCTTCGGCGCCATTTATGAGGGATTCGCCGCCGCCGCCGCCGCCGCCTCCTTCTCCCACCACCACCCCGACGACCGCCCCCCACTCGCCACCCCACCCAGCTGCGCGTCAGACGCCGACGGCAGCGCCCGCTCTACATCCCGGGCGGCGCGATTTGCCGGCGCCCGAACACCTCACAGGAGCCGCCAGTGCGCAGCCGCGTTGCCAGGCGCCCCGCCCACGGACGCGCTCGCGCTCTGCGCCCCGCCGCCGCCGCGCACGCGCGGGGCATGCTGGGAACTGTAGTTCGGGCGGCCGCTCCTCACCCACCTTCCATCCCCTGACTCTGAGCTGGGTGGGGGGGTGTAGGAGGGAGGAGGTTCGTGGGGCGATAAGGAGCGGGAAAGGCCCAGTGGGTGCAGGCCGCGGGTCCCCAGGAGGTGATGGCTTGCAAAGAAAGGGCGTGGGCAGTGCTAGGCACCCCCAAGGCCTGGACGGAACCCACCATGACGGACCCAGGTCCCTGCTAGTCCACGTGGCCGGCGGATCCCAGGGGTTTGAGCCGGTCTGCTGGCGTGAGCTCGGCCCTGGAGCCCCTAGAGTGGGGTGCGCCACTCCGCTCCTCAGCCTTCGTCACCAATCTCTAGGGATGTGCACAAAACCCGCCAAGGATGGATGCATGGCCTGACGTCGCTCTCCTGTTTGCAAAAGTCTCTCTTTGGCTCAGCTGCAAAATGGATGCACAGTGAGAATTGCACAGAAAGGCAGTGTTAACGTGAAAACAACAACAACATGGAAACCTGTAAAGAATTTTGTGCTGAAACCGGTTTGGCTCTGGCTAGAGCGTAGGCCTGCGGACTGAAGGGTCCCAGGTTCGATTCCGGTCAAGGGCGTGTGCATTGGTTGCTGGCACAGGAGGCAGCAGATCGATGATTCTATTCTCTCTCGTTGATGTTTCTAACTCTCTGTCTCTCTTCCTCTCTGTAAAAAATCAATAAAATACATTTTTTTAAAAAGAAAGAATTGTGTGAGTTTATTGGAGCCAAACTGTCGACATATGTCGGGAAGCAGAACCTCAAAGAATTGAGGTAATACTCCGGTTACATCTGTATTTCTTTATTTTTTAAATATATTTTATTAATTTTTTACAGAGAGGAAGAGAGAGAGAGAGTTAGAAACATCAATGAGAGAAGAATCATCGATCAGCTGCCTCTTGCACACCCCCTACTGGGGACTTGCCCGCAACCAAGGTACATGCCCTTGACCGGAATCCAACCCCGGACCCTTCAGTCCTCAGGCTGATGCTCTATCCACTGAGCAACACCGGCTTCGGCTATATCTGTATTTATACATTGCAATCAAAGAAGGGACATAGATGGGTTCCATGAAATCCACTGGTGATAGATGAAGGAGGTGGGATAAAGCAAAGCTGAGGGGAGGGGCTCCTGGGATTGGACAGAAGTGAGGTGACGGACACACACTCAGGCGGGTGCGGGGACCGTGCACGTGGCCATGAGGGCGTCTGTGGGCTCTGTCCTGGCGCCCAGCACCGCGGGCTGTGCCCCGAGGGGCCCGGGAAAAGGGGGGCACAGGGCACCCAGGCCTCTCCAGGGGGTGTGACCCCAGAGGCAGACAGACAGACAGACAGACGGGCTCCGTGCGGGCAGAGGCCACCTTGTCAGGGAGACGCCGGCCTGGGAGGGGACCCCCCCCACCCCCCTCCCTGCTTCTCGTCCCAGTTCAATGTCAGACCGTCCTGTGGGGGGCGCCAGGGCTCTGAGTCTGCGAGGTCCCCCGTCAGGTCCGCACGGGCCCCTGGCGCCCCCAGCGGAGACCCTAATGGCGACCACAGCAAACTTCCTAAACCTGACACCTCGCTTAGGGAAGGCCTGCGTGGCGGCCTCACATACTCGGAGATCGGACATATCTACGTAGGAGGGTCCGAAATGAAAACTTTCTGCAGAAACCGGTGTGGCTCAGTGGATAGAGCTTCGGCCTGCGGACTGAAGGGGCCCAGGTTCGATTCCCGTGAAGGGCATGGGCCTTGGTTGCGGGCACATCCCCAGTGGGGGGGCGTGCAGGAAGCAGCTGATGGATGTTTCTAACTATCTATTCCTCTCGGTAAAGAAATCAATAAATAATATATTTTTAAAAATCAATAAAATATATATTTTTAAAAAAAAGAATCTGCTCCATACCTCCCCCATCTCTCCCTCCCCAGCACCTCCCCCTCCCCCTCTCTCGTCTCCTTTCCCTCCTCCCCTCTTCAGCCTCTGGGAGTTTCCTGGCCATCTCCCTGGTTTCCTTATAAAAGCACCACCCCATCCCTGCCTCTGTCTTCACACCGCGTTCTCCTGTGTGTGTGTCTGTCCCCGAATCTCCCCTTCTCATGGAGACACCAGTCTACGCAGGCATGACCAGACACCCTAACGAATTACGTCTACAGCAACCTTATTGCCACATAAGGCCACAGCCCAGCCTGCCCAGACTGGATGGCTCAGTGGTGGAGCCTGGACCTAGGAACCAGGAGGTTACGTTCCATTCCGGGTCTGGTCACAGGCCCGGGTGGAGGGCTCCGGCCCCAGCAGGGGGGGGAGGGGGTGCTAGAGGCAGCTGATCCGTGATTTTCTCTTATCATGGCTGTTTCTCTGTCTCTCTTTCTCTCCCTTCCTCTCTGTAAAAAAAAAAAATCAATAAAATATATTTAAAAACACATATACACTGAGTGGCCAGATTATTGCAATCTCTGAACACATCTGGCCACTCAGAGTGTGTGTGTGTGTGTGTGTGTGTGTGTGTGTGTGTGTTAGAGGCCCGGTGCATGAATTCATGCATGGATGGGGTCCAGCCAGCCTGGCCAGGGGGAGGGGACATGGGCGATTGGCTGGCCTGCCTACCGGTCAAACTCATGGTCAAGGGGACAGTTTGCATATTAGCCTTTTATTCTATAGGATATATGTCGAGTGGCCAGATTATTATGGGTTCAGAGATCATCATCATCTGGCCACTCAGTGTATATATATTTTTTATTGATTTTTGGAGAGGAAGGGAGAAGGAGAGAGAGTTAGAAACATCGATGAGAGAGAAACATCGATCAGCTGCCTCCTGCACACCTCCTACTGGAGATGTGCCAGCAACCAAGGTACATGCCCTTGACCAGAATCAAACCTGGGATCTTTCAGTCCGCAGGCCAATGGTCTATCCACTGAGCCACACCAGATAGTGTTATATATATATATATATATATATATATGTATATATGTATATATATATTTTAAAGCTTCTATTTCACCTCCCATCACCTAGTGATTAAGTACCCCTCTGTAATAGAATATTTAGAGACCTTTATTACTTTATTTTTTTTTAAATTATACTTTAGCTGAAACTGGTTTGGCTCAGTGGATAGAGCGTCGGTCTGCGGACTGAAAGGTCCCGGGTTCGATTCCGGTCAAGGGCATGTACCTTGGTTTCGGGCACATCCCCGGTAGGGGGTGTGCAGGAGGCAGCTAATCAGTGTTTCTCTCTCATCGATGTTTCTAACTCTCCCTCTCTCTTCCTCTCTGTAAAAAAATCAATAAAAAAATATATTAAAAAAATTATACTTTATTGATTTTCCACAGAGAGGAAGGGAGAGGGATAGAGAGTTAGAAATGTCGATGAGAGAGAAACATTGACCATCCGCCTCCTGCACACCCCCCGCCGGGGATGTGCCCGCAACCCAGGTACATGCCCTTGATCGGAATCGAACCTGGGACCCTTCAGTCCGCCAACTCTCTACCCACTGAGCCACACCCGTTAGGGTGAGAGCTTCATTTCTGATGCTAAAAATTTCGGTGTGTCCCTTCCCAAGTCTGAAATTGTGTCATGAAGTAACATTAATCATATATGGTCATTGTGAGGGATGTGGGAGAATTGCTGGGAATGATGGGAAAAATGTAATCCCAGCCAGTGTGGTTTAGCGATTGTCAACCTAGGAACCAACTGGTTTGATTGCCATGGGTTCGATTCCCGGTCAGGGCACAGGCCTGGGTTGCAGGCTTGATCCAGACAGTGGGGCGTGCAGGAGGCAGCCGATCATCGATCAATGATTCTCTCTCATCATTGATGTTTCTCTCTCTCCTTCTCCATTCCTCTTTGAAATCAATCAGAAATATATATTTAAAAAAAAAAGAAAAGGAAAGAAATGAATGACCTAATCGGTGTGGCTCAGTGGATAGAGCGTCGGCTTGGGACTCAAAGGTCCCAAGTTCAATTCCGGTCAAGGGCATGTACCTTGGTTGTGGGCACATCCCCAGAGGGGGGTGTGCAAGAGGCAGCTGGTCGATGATTCTCTCTCTTTGATGTTTCTAACTCTCTATCCCTTTCTCTTCCTCTCTGTAAAAAATTAATAAAAAATATATATTAAAAAATAAAAAATAAAAACATCCCAGAATACTCACTAGCCCTTCCCACAGGCATGGAAAGGAATTTATACATAAAAGTAAAATAAAGGAATTCACAGATATGCACTTAATCCACATCGTACACCCTTGAGGCACAGATGATCTAGCGCCAAAGGAATCTTGAACTTGGCATGACCTTCAGCTTAAAAAACACCAGCTGGGACAGCAGTGACCTCCGCCATGTTTGCAAAGCTCACAGTGTCAGGAGAGGGCCTGCCCCTGACCTCTGGCTTCCTCACCCGTATTTTTCTTGTTCTTTCTTTATTTTTTTATTTTTTCGTAACCAATATTTTTCTATATCAGATAACCTTTGCATACATATTCATTTAAATTTCATTCATTCATTCGTTTGTTTGTTTGTTTAAACCTTTGCGTATTTCTATTTATTTATGTATTTAAGCCTTTGCGTATTTCTTTCTATTTAATTCATTAGTTTGTTTGCTTTAACCTTTCCATATTTCTTTTTATTTAAATAAATATATATATATTATTAATTTTTTTACAGAGAGGAGGGGAGAGGGATAGAGAGTTAGGAACATCAATGAGAGAGAAGCATCCATCAGCTGCCTCCTGCACACACACACACACCACCACCCCGCCCCGGGGATGTGCCCACAACCAAGGTCCGTGCCCTTGGCGGGAATCGAACCTTGGATCCTTCAGTCCGCAGGCCGATGCTCTATCCACTGAGCCACACCGGTTTCAGCTACCTTTGTGTATTTCTATAGATTTATTTTGTTTGTATTTATT